TCATGGGGCGGGACGGCGCAGGTACCGGAACCCCAGGAATCCTCAACGCACCCTGCGCCAACAGCGAGAGGGGGACTGGGAGCAAACCCTCCCCCTCCGGGGTAGCCGAGGCGTCCGGACCTGAAGCCAGAGGCAATGGATCTACAGACGCCTCCAGGCCAAGGGATCGAGCCGGGCTCGGCGATCCCACCCCTGGACTCTCCGTCCCCTGCTCCGAGTGGGCGAGGAACTCCTGACGGAGACCTCCAACCGACTCGTGAACAAGGGACTTCACGGAGTCCATGTGCTGCTGAAAAAGCTGTGTGATAAGTGACATGTCAAAACCGCTGGGAGCAGTAGAAGGTGCCTGACTGCGCGACTTAGCCTTTTTGCCTGTTTTGGTTTTTTTGGCTTTAGACGGGGGGACCTGGGTCAGTTCCCCTCCCGCCTCTCGCAGTTCCCTATAAAAGAGGAAATCTGCAGCCCGTCTCTTCTGGGCTCGGGGGGAGAAGCCCATACATATTTCACATGTGTCGGGATTATGGCCTACTTTCTCTAGACAAACGAGACACTTGTCATGTCTGTCCGCTCGGGGTATACTTTGTCCGCAGACAGTACAACCGGAAAACGCCTGAAAGCAAACACACAAGCATGTAGCTAACAGCGGAGTCAGCAGCATAAAGATACACGTACAAAACATTGAAAATTACGTGAATGCGACCACGGGAAGAAATAAAACGCAATATGACAACCAAGTGGCACGCTAAACTTCCCGCCATGGCAAAGCAACAGGTGCGTAAACCACAGGAAAGTCAGCGTAAAATATATAATACAAAGTCACAATTATGAGACAACCGACCGCAAAGCTTTACTGTTCTGTTCAAGGACAAAATAAAGACCATACATACAGGTGGTGGTGTCCCATACATTATTCTCTTAAACTTCGATAATTGGAAGGAGTTCAGCTCTACAGGGCACATCCGTTCAATGGAGTGACAGCAGAAGGAATGATGATACGGGCCTATGTGCTTACCTGGTTGGCTGCGCATGCGTAGCGGGAGGTAACTCCACGAGGTGGGGGCCGTATAATATATAAAAAAGATTTTATTTATTGTACAATATTTTTATTAAAACGTTGATACAACTGTCACAGGACATTTTCAGCGCAGAAAATGCATATATGTACCCCAAGGCCGATCTTTATGAAAAAGAATCCAACTTGTGAGCAGAATAATGTTGTTCTGATTTCTTGAGACCACGACTAGCATAACTAATGACCCGTTTCTCTTCTTCCTCAACCTGACAAAGAACAGCACCGAGACCTTTTGTGCTCGTGTCAGCGCGTGGTTATACGTCGACTGGGGAATTAGCTCATAATTAAGATGAAGTGTACGTACAATACGTTGACAAGACGAAAGAATACGTTGAGCTCAAACTTTAGTTACATGACAAACAATCAAACGACCATGTCACAAGCTCAATAACGGGTATGTCCACCATCGGCATTAAGAACAGCAATGCATCGACGACGCGTAGAGCCTATCAAACGTGCAAGGAAGGCTTGTGGGATGTCACGCCAGATTCTCCCAAGTTCTGTTGCAAGGTCAAGGGCGTTATCTGGCGGATGAGGAAGACGGCGTAGACGTCGATCCATCTCGTCCCAAACATGCTCTATCGGGGAGAGATCCGGTGAATTTGCAGGCCAAGGCAGTAAGTCAACGTTGTGGTGTTGCAAGAAATTCATAGCAACCCTTGCCGTATGAGGGCGGGCATTGTCCTGTTGGAATGTTAACCCAGGGCCATGACGTTGCAGAAAAGGAATTGCCACAGGTCGAAGAATCTGATCCCTGCAGCCCACACCAGTTAAGTTGCCTGAACAATCACCAAATGAGTTCTTTGGCGTGCTGTGGTGTTACTCCACCCCAAATCATCACGGAACCACCACCAAAGCGATTCCTCTCCAAGACAGGCCTGTGCATAACGTCTATAGGCACGTTGACGTCCATCACTATGGGAAATGTTAAACCTGGACTCATCTGTAAACACAACATTTCTCCACCAAAACAAGGGTTTGCGGACATGATTTCGGCACCACATTCGGCGAGCTTGTCGATGACGTTGTGTCGGGATAAGCCGTATGGCGGGACGTCGTGGTCTGATCCCGTGATGACGTAAACGTTTTCGAACTGTGTTGGGGTGGATACGGCGAAGTCCTGGGATGGTTCGGGCAGTCATCACTGCAGTCTGAAACCTGTGGCGAAGATGGGTCACCCTTATCCATATGTCCTGTCTTGGCGTTGTTACACGTGGACGTCCAGAACGTGGCCGATCGATGACGTCATTTGTGTTCTGGTTGCGTCTCACCAGTGCAGAAATGGTGTTCCGGTGGCAGTGGCAGCCACTTGTCGTTGAGACATTCCCCCACGGACCATCCCAATGGCCTCATGACGTTGTACAGACGTGAGCCTTGGCATGCTATACGTTTCAATAGCCGTTTAATTTTTTGAACGATCGCAAGGGCAGGGGTTGAGCTTTCCAAAGTGACAGTATTGTGTGGCATTCATTTGCTCTGTTTCTCTTTCCCGGAATGCACGTGCAACAACGTATTGCACGTCTCAAGGACGAACCCACTGACGTCACGGGACGTGGCATGTGTATGCATGTTGGATACATGTCACTAATCTCCGAGTTTAAATCCTTATGTGTCTACACAGGTTTGATAAATTTTGATTTTAATTTTTTTGTATGCACAGTTTCTTTTATGTGCCTAGTATATAACACTCCATCAAAATACCTATTTTATCACATTCATTTCATTGCACATTATTCAGATAATTAACAATCACAGCACTACCACTGAACATATAAAGAGAACTCAAAACAAATGGACATCACAAAATCAATGGTTCAGTTTCATATTGAGATCCTTAGGAATTATGGAAATGCTCATTCTCACCAGTAACGTAAACGCACAATCTGTTTGGACTCTGAATCAATTGTAAGTGAAATTATTGACACCAACAATTTCTAACCATAGGTCAAAATATACCTCCACCAAATGCATAATTCAGTTACAATAAATACTGAATTAACCTTTCAACAATTTAACATATTTTTGTAGTTTATTCCTTTAAATAAAACCAAATGTAACTAACCTGTAATTCACCAAAGTCAAAATCCTCCATCCATGACTTTCAAACCACCTTGCCAGGCTGGGAGAAACACAGCAAGTGAAGAAACTTCACACTTTCCAAATGCAACTAAATTCAACATCCAATCAAGATGCTGCACATCTTCAGCCAATAAAAACCAAGGACAAGACATCAGACCTGACCTAATTAAGACTTGGCTAATTTGCATAGGAACTATTTTCAACCCATGACCCAGTGGTGACTATAAATAAATCATGGACTTGTGAAAATGTAAACCTTTTCACTGACAATTGTATTATTGTTTAAGGTGTTATGAATTGATTCCAAACAGGAACATAAGACAAGACATATTAAAATAAATTGCTTTTCCAGAACATTTTACAATTTGTATATTTATGTTGTACTTGTTACACACTTGTATTTGTTACACACTTGTTTTGTACTTGTTACAGCAATATGGCTGAAACACTGTCGATGTGACGTGAAATCCTAACTCACTCACTCTCCCCTACCCAACCCAATCGTAATAATGAATAGTCCTTTGGGATTGTTTATTTGTTGGCGGTCTGTAAATAATCGCGGATCGAGTCTGGACCAGACAATCCAGTGATCAACACCATGAGCATCAATTTAAGCAGTTGGGATTCGATGACGTGTATCAAACAAGTCAGCGAGCCTGACCCCTGATCCCGTTAGCCGCCTGTTATGATAACCATGCATGGGTTGCTGAAGACCTTTTCTAAACCGGATCTTCACAAATATGTCCCTAAAGACGCAAGACTGTCAAACGAATTACATCGTCTCAGATCACCAGGCAACATGTGCACATGTTCTCGGTGTTGAGGTTGACAGTGGTTCCTTAACATCATGCTGGTAAGTTCATTCTACGAAACGTTTGCGAAGGATCAAGTTTACATGATTTATAAAAACATCATCCAAAAGGGAGAGATTGAAACATTACACAATGATAACGTATGTACACATCAATTTCACGATGGACAGGGACGTGAAGTCGTGGGTACGATGTGCACGAGGTGCACGAGGTACTTGAAAACCTGTGTTTGGATGTATTTGACAGAATTGATACACATCATTTTCTGAGAGCACAACATTTACCGCTGAGGATTGTAACAACTACATGAACGTACGTACGCCCCCTCAGCGCCAAAGACGTCGTTTAACGATCAAAGAATTCAGGCAGATACGTATGCTTGAAACTGGCGAAGCACGGAGTACCATTGCTGTGGTCTTCGGTGTCAGTCCAGGTGAACTCAGCATCGCATGCATGGAATCGATACCTAAACGTCTTCATGGTCATGGACGATTACGCACGACCTCATCGACTGCATCGCTGATGTCCAATAAGAGCAGGAGTGGCCAGCCTTTTCACCAGACAATCGAACCTATGTGGAACGAGATTCTAGACGCCCGAACACGACATCCCGTCAACGCTACACCAAAGAGTGGAACAGTGTTCCTTTGGCAACCAGCTACTCATGATCCATTAATTGTTGCGTTTTTGTTCTTGGGGGTGGGGTGTCATCAATTTTGTACCCGTGTACTAGGGGGTGGGGGTGGGGTGTGTCATCAATTTTGTACATAGAAATATTTAAAAATTAGGCTTACAAAATATGGGAAGGGGGAGCGGGGTCATTGATTTTGTACATGACATGCAGAGGGGGGTCACTTACTTTGTACATGCTTCTCCATAAAATCATCACACACACACACACACACGCCCCACACCCCTAGCCATAAATTATGAACGGTCCCTAAATGAGGATTATTCCAGAGTCCGTGGGAACGAAAGGAGGCAAACGTGCAGGGAGTAACGGGTTATCTCCCCTGTTGCGAGAGAGTTGTTTACAAGATGGCGACCTCGTTGACTATGGCTAGCGAGAGTGTTGATGGTCTGCAAGAAACATCATATGTCTTGGTGCGCGTATTGGGTAGAGGTGCTTTTGGCGAAGCTGTTCTATACAGGAAGACAGAGGTACCACTGTCATGAATCATTTCAAAGTATAATTTGAAAATACCTCTACTTTTCTCTTTGAATTACAGTACCTCCGTTTTCGCGCACGAAAACCCCTTGACCCAACACCTCTCGAATGAAATAATCAGTCACGTGTAGACACAAAAGCAATCGATCGATATCAGTGCCAATTGGAAATCAGAAAGATTTCCGCCCTTTATCCCCGTTTTTTATTATTCTATGCCTAAGATTTATAGTAAGAGAAGTTTATTTATAGAAACCCCACCCTAACCCTAAACCTAACATAATGCTAAATCTAAACCCTAAACCGAAACCCTAACCCCTTGAAATAATCATGACAAATAGAATACATTTCAAGCGAGGGTTACTCTTACCCCCATATTTTCACAAAATATAAAATAATGAGAAAACAATATGATTAAATGTGTTGTTTTTTTACATTGAAATGTTTTCCACAGTTATATGACTGGTTATACTACATTTGGGGTTACACCAAGCACATCATTTATGACATTATGACATTTCATGTGCAGCAGATGGGCTAAAGGGTAAAAGTAATATTTAATATTGGCCTAACAAAACACCATGATGGCACATCTGTTTGCCCTCTAACACATACTTATTATTCCATAAGCATTTCAGTGGAGCTACATAGCTTTGCAATGTTATTTTTGTTTATCTATTATATCTTTAACATTTATGTTGGTATTATTTTACTCTGATCATGGCTGAATCATGAAACCCTCAACTCCCAATGCAGATTAATGTTACAAGTCAAAGTCAAAGTATGCGTAGTGACTATTCAATAAGATGTCTTAGCATAGTGTTTTATTGAAATAGTCATTAAGCATGCATTGCATGGATTGAAAATGATGTGTAGAAATTTTTTCGTTGTTTCAGGACAATAGTCTCGTAGTCTGGAAGGAAATCAACTTGGCAAAGCTGAATGAACGGGAGAAGAAAGACTCATATACAGAAATTGAGATACTGTCACTTCTCAATCATTCAAACATTGTATCATACTACAATCATTTTGTTGATGAAGATACGCTCTTCATTGAGATGGAATATGCCAATGGTAATTGCACAAAAACAGAATGTTGAAATACCTGTGTTTATTTCTATATACCTGCCACTAATGCCCATTGTTGGTCATGGACCCCTTTAAAAGCTACCAGGCGCATCTTGTTATATAAGTTATGGATTTGTTTCTAGACCAGTGTATAAAGCAGAAACTCAGAGATTAGGACTAGAGATTGTTCATAGTTTTGAAAAGTCGGTCACTGTTCCAGTATAAGAATGAGTTAGAAATAAATCAACTGTCAATTGCATATTTGTTCAGTTAGTTTTAATCACTGAGTGAGTATTCCATTATACAGTCTTGTACAAAGTCATGGAAGTATGTAGGGATATGTATACAGTGAAGCCCCGTTAGTCTGGACTCCGATAATCCGGATGTCTCGCCTCCCGGGCGATTTCAGCTTGTTACCAATCTATGCCTATATAATTTGCCTCGATAATCCGGAAATTCGGTTCCCGGAACCGGACGGTAAGTAGCTGTCACCAATCAGTAAAATAAACAGTAAATTGCTTCACAGTCCGGACGCTGTAAGTCGTGTTCACGAACCGTAACAACACCTCCCGGCGATGTTTACTTAATTAACTGGCCAACTGGGTTGTTGTTTTAATTAGACATTAAAAGCTCCCGACTGAAGATACTGTACATTTACACTTTGATTGACACCACAATACAAAGGCGTGGATGACAAGTGAGCTGTTTTGTGATTGGTTAATGTACTGGAAGGTCGGATCAACATGCGGATGTCACTCGGTAAAATTATTGATGTGATGAATTAAGCTTTACATTAAATGCTTATTTGTTTTATCCAGATTCGTGTCGTTTTTGTAATAGTTAGGGAAGCAACTTGGGTCTTGATTCAGTAGTCCGGACTATTCGCAATCCGGACGAATTTACTGACAAACGCAACCGTCCGGATTAACGAGGCTTCACTGTATATGTAGTAGACTAACATCAACCACAATATTTGAATACTGTTTCTTTTCAACTTTTTAAAAAGTAATATATCCACTTAACAATTTATTTTTTGTTACGTAGACATTTTTTTCTTGCTTACTCTAGCAAAGCATTTATTTAAAGTGAAATGGTAGCAATCCAATGAAGAAAATCATGGCTATAACTTTTGTCATTGATCCCTTTTATCTAAAATACACAATTTTACTCTTTTCTTAAAATGAATATGTTTTGAATGAAAAGTTGTTAAAATTGTTGAACTTGGTCATACCTACTAAAACAGAGCGTAATTACATTATTGATAAACATATTCAACTGCCCCTTGTCGTATGGACTGTTTTTCTGTAATAGTATTTGTTTCTTTAATAGTTGTTAGCAGTAAAGAGCACAAAGACATTACTCTGAACTCAGCTTCACTTGATGTGATATTTTTAATGGATTTAGATAATTGAATGTAAGCATGGTTCTGTAGATTATACATATAATTGTATGTAAGGATGCGATTTGAGACTAGACACAGTGTCTAATATCCAGACCTTCATCTTTCAGGTGGGAGTCTATTTGACAAAATATCGCATCAAACACATCTCTTTCCTGAGGAGGTATGTTGTATCATTCACTAAGGGTCAGGAATTCTTCAATTCTTAAGCGTGTGCATCCAGATGAAATATTGGTACTTGGCATCAAGGGCACAACTTATACATGGTGATGCCAAAACTTAATTGATTTGAAGCAAATTGATCATGGATATTTCGTGTGTGATTTAAAAGGTTTTTTGAGATGAATTGACCAATTTTGTTAAGATACAATGTCTTTTTGTATACATATTATCTAAATTTGGAAAAAAAACATTATAGGATTTAGCAATTACAATGATGTATACGGAAGCATCTTTCATCTCAGTAATTCAACATTTAAAAAAAATATTCATTTATGTTGAATAAATGAGGAGAGAGAGAGAGCGCTATATTAATGAACTTGTATATTATCACCTATGATACTGTACAAAGTAAGTTAACAATGTAAGAGTTTACAGGGTTTTACTCTTCTCTCAGAGATCAAGTATTTGCTGTGTTTGTTTCAGGTAGTCCGATGGTATCTCTTCCAGCTGACCTCTGCTCTGGCCTATGTTCATGAGTTTGGTATCATACACAGGTATGCAGAAACAAACATCCTGTTTCCCTAACCACACATCAGAGAAAAAGTTCAGTTCAGTTTTGTTTGCATGATCTTCCATCTCAGATAAATAGAAATGAAGAAATTCAACTATAGAACTCAAACCAGAAGTAACTGTTAACATGGATAACCATTCCAATAAGAAGTGACATATTGCCTCTAGATCTGGGTATTGCCACTTATGGAGATAAGTAGTACTTCTCTGTGCCCTGGAAAATACTAAGCACTGAACCAACCAACCCCAAAGAATTGACAAACAGCAAATTTACATATTGAGCTTATGTGTTTTTATACCTACCTAAGGTAATTTTTAGCGTATATTTATCTTAAAATATAATATATACTGTGTTGCCATATCATTCAGAGATGCCGTCAGTTGTCACATTTCTGCTGACATATTCTATATTCCTGTAGAGATATCAAGACTATGAATATCTTTCTGACGAGGACGGATCTAGTGAAACTTGGAGACTTTGGAATTTCTAAAGCTTTGGAGTCCAAGGGTGGAATGGCTGAGACTGTGAGTGTATTTGTATAAGATCTAATTACGTGAATAAACTGTATGCCAGACACAAACACTCAGAACACTCTCTACAGATTCATAGTATGTGGAGGGAGATGGATGGGCGATGGGCAAGTTCATGGTATGTGGAGGGAGATGGATGGGCGATGGGCATATTCATGGTATGTGGAGGGAGATGGATGGGCGATGGGCATATTCATGGTATGTGGAGGGAGATGGATGGGCGATGGGCATATTCATGGTATGTGGAGGGAGATGGATGGGCGATGGGCATATTCATGGTATGTGGAGGAGATGGATGGGGCGATGGGCATTCATGGTATGTGGAGGGAGATGGATGGGCGATGGGCATATTCATGGTATGTGGAGGGAGATGGATGGGCGATGGGCAAGTTCATGGTATGTGGAGGGAGATGGATAGGCGATGGGCAAATTCATGGTATGTGGAGGGAGATGGATGGGCGATAGTCATATTCATGGTATGTGGAGGGAGAAGGATGGGCAATGGGCAAGTTCATGGTATGTGGAGGGAGATGGAATGGCGATGGGCATATTCATGGTATGTGGAGGGAGATGGATGGGCGATAGTCATATTCATGGTATGTGGAGGGAGATGGAATGGCGATGGGCATATTCATGGTATGTGGAGGGAGATGGATGGGCAATGGGCATATTCATGGTATGTGTAGGGAGATGGAATGGCGATGGGCATATTCATGGTATGTGGAGGGAGATGGATGGGCGATGGGCATATTCATGGTATGTGGAGGGAGATGGATGGGCGATGGGCATATTCATGGTATGTGGAGGGAGATGGATTGGCGATGGGCATATTCATGGTATGTGGAGGGAGATGGATGGGCAATGGGCATATTCATGGTATGTGGAGGGAGATGGATGGGCAATGGGCATATTCATGGTATGTGGAGGGAGATGGATGGGCAATGGGCATATTCATGGTATGTGGAGGGAGATGGATGGGCAATGGGCATATTCATGGTATGTGGAGGGAGATGGATGGGCGATGGGCATATTCATGGTATGTGGAGGGAGATGGATGGGCGATGGGCATATTCATGGTATGTGGAGGGAGATGGATGGGCAATGGGCATATTCATGGTATGTGGAGGGAGAAGGATGGGCAATGGGCAAATTTGACTCCTGAGATAACTCTGGAGGTTCCATCCTGATCCATCCTGGATGGGGAAGAATGACTCTGCTAGAAATCTGCCTCAGTTAACACAACAGGGATGGTGTGCTTGTAGAAGTAGAAGACGTTGTGAACTGTCAAGCAGGCTGCTTTGGTTGTATGATCCCATGGAGCTGAGAATACAGTTTGAGTATCAGCTTTATTTTAGCCATATGGTGATGAGAATGCAATTTGAATACACACTAATCAGTTGACCTGTGTAATATGGTCATGTGCTGATGTATAGCAGCGTGTCTTGCTCTCTGACAGTGATCTATTGTCGTGATTATTCAGCTTGTTGCCCTGGCAGATCACAGCTTATCCAGTGATTATTTATATCTTCTTTTTTCAGCTTGTTGGAACACCATACTACATGTCTCCTGAACTCATGAAGGGAGAAAAGTAAGATGTTTACAAAACATAAAGTGAATTTCAACATGAAAACAGTATTATAGGAAATAATAATTACATATTATAATGTAAATGGGAAGTGTGTTTTGGAGAAGCTTGATGAGATAAGAAACTGCAACTAGGGCATTTTTAGAGATATGATGTTTTTGATAAAATAACAATCCTATTTATTTTTATTCAAATTTAACCTCACCTTTCTTAGAATATTTGTATCCTTTATCATGTTTAGGTAGATGTATGTCAATATTAATTTAGTGGGAATCATCAACAATAAAAGGTTATAATTCGTGGACCAGTTGTAAACAATGTGTTTGTAATTTCTTCACCCACTGACATCCTGTTGTCAAAAGGATGGGGTAACCTGGTGTTTGCTCGTGACGCCGACGACCCAGGTTCGATTCCCCACGTGGGTACAATGTGCGAAGCCCATTTCTGGTGTCCCTCCACCGTGATATTGCTGGAATATTGCTAAAAGCGGCATAAAACTAAACTCACTCACTGTTGTCAAGAATGAAAGTGAGGTGATGACATGCAACAGAGATTCTTCCCGTCAACTGCTTCTTGGCATTCAAGTATTTTTTCTAACATGCAGTTTGAGTAATCTGCAGGGCTCCAGATAAGGGCTGTATCGGCGTATGTACGGATAAAAAATATGCACGAACGTAGCAGATACGCACCACAGCAATGGTGTACGGTCTTAGAATCATTTACAGACGTATTTATCTGAAAAAAGTATTGTTTTATTGTTTATTGACCTGTTTACACAAGAGTAGCAATATTGTGGTGCATATATGAAACGAAACACAAGATTACTGATTGTCCATTAATTTTCATTCAGTACTCTAAATGTACACTTAAGGTTTTCCAGTACTCCTATATTGAACAAATAAGGAGTACAAACTCCTGATGTTGAAAAATTATCTGGAGCCCTGTAATCTGTGATGCAATGTTGTAAAGAAACGTATTTGAGTAAGTAATACATGTACATAGGGCTACAACTTATCTCCTTTTGAATTTGTCTCATTGAAAATTATACTTGATCAGGTTTCCTCTGACAACAATAAACTAAGCTGAGATGCAACCCTTGTCATTTCCAGGATCTGCTTAAATGCAAGATGGACCTTGGTTATGATCCTTGTGTTTTTTCACTTTGTTTCCAGATACAACACCATGACAGACATCTGGGCCTTGGGCTGTGTCCTGTATGAACTGCTGACCCTCACCAAGACATTCCAGGCCACTGTAAGTAGTCCACAGCTCACTGACCACTGTCAGTCCTTGGGAAGTAGTCAGTAGGACACTGTTTGTAGCCCAAAGTTTGTAGGTCTGTGTCTATAGTCCACAATCTGTAGGCCACGGTCTGCAATCAAATGTCTGTCATCCACAGTCAGTAGGACACTGTTTGTAGGATAAGAGTGTGTCTATAGTCCACAATCTGTAGGCCACGGTCTGCACTCAAATGTCTGTCATCCAGTCAGTAGGACACTGTTTGTAGCTCAAAGTCTGTAGGTCTGTGTCTATAGTCCACAACCTGTAGGCCACGGTCTGCACTCAAATGTCTGTCATCCAGTCAGTAGGACACTGTTTGTAGCTCAAAGTCTGTAGGTTTGTGTCTATAGTCCACAATCTGTAGGCCACGGTCTGCATTCAAATGTCTGTCATCCACAGTCAGTAGGACACTGTTTGTAACTCAAAGTCTGTAGGTCTGTGTCTATAGTCCACAATCTGTAGGCCTCGGTCTGCACTCAAATGTCTGTCATCCAGTCAGTAGGACACTGTTTGTAGCTCTAAGTCTGTAGGTCTGTGTCTATAGTCCACAATCTGTAGGCCACGGTCTGGGCTCAAATGTCTGTCATCCACAGTCAGTAGGACACTGTTTGTAGCTCAGAGGTATGATATTTAACATTACAATATTATCTATAAAACATTTGAATTCAGACAGTGACCAAACATAAACAGTATTGCATAATGTCGAGTGATGCTTGATGAGGTAACCATGGTAATAGATCTGCCTTGTCTCCAGAACCCCCTGAAACTGGCGTACGATATTGTCCTGAACGAGCATGGTGGGATTGACTCGATGTACTCCAAGGATATGGACGACCTTGTCAACAGCATGCTGCAGAAGGTACAGCCTTTACACACATCGTCATGACAATACATCACCATACAGTTTATCATATCTCAGATATCTGTTGTGGTAGATACTTTGGAACAACTTGCTGCCATGGCTTCATTCCAAATCTGATGTCACGTCTTCATCTCTCATATCACCACAATAGTACTGAAATAATAGTGACTTTGAAATAGAAGCCTAATGATTAAAGTGTCCGCTCGCACTGAAGACTCAGGTTTGATTCCCCACATGTGTGAAGTGATATTGCTGGAATATTGCTAAAAGTGGAGTAAAACCATACTCACTCACTCTACTAAGAGCAGTGAAGGGACAGCTACAATTTTTGCAAGTACTGAAAAGGTGTGATTGTTTGGTAAAGAAATATGACCAGTTTGATATGAAGTTATTCCAAGTTAGTCTTCATTCATTTACGATGTGAACTATGTCCTGATTTCAGAATCCTTCCAAGAGACCAACAGCAGAAGAGATACTTACAAACAAGCTGTTTTCCAATGCAAAGTGAGTTCATTTCTATTGTTTCAGAGCAAAAGGATGCAGTCCTTAAAGAAATAATTTTAGTTAAAACATAATGATATGAAATCTATGTGATAGAGTGCATTTAAAGGATGTTGATATATGGTTTCATGTCATGATACTAATTTGCCAATACACGGTCTGGCGTTGTTTATATGGTGTAATACATTTTTAGCTCTGTTTGTTGCATCCACATGTATGCTGTGCCAGTTTACCATTATTTAACATTTATGACTATGTTTGCACTTTTTCCAGAGATCTTGAGCAGAAGGTTTGGGAGTTGAACTCATCATCTAGGAGGGCTCGGTCTATGGCAGCCACCTCTACTGCTGTGCCAGTCATCAAGGCCAAGATGTGTGAGGTCAGGCCTTCTGTGTAGCAATATCAGCTTTAAAATGAATGTTATGCTCATAAGCACTAAGTACAATTGTATGAAGATGTCTTTTATTGATTATTATTGACAATCATAAATATTGTGTTAATTCCACAAAAATGGAACATTTCTAATTTTTGTATGTAGTGAACAGAGTTCCAAAGTTATATAGGGCGGTAGGGTAGCCTAGTGGTTAAAGCGTTCGCTTGTCACGCCGAAGACCTGGGTTCGATTCCCCACATGGGTAAAATGTGTGAAGCCTATTTCAGGTGTACCCCGCCGTGATATTGCTGAAATATTGCTAAAAGCGGAGTAAAACCATACTCACTCACTCATGTTGAGTGCAGAGAAAGGGACAGCCAGGTGTTAGAGAAGCACGTGCACAAGTGCCGACAAAGTTATTGATTCATTAACCTGTGCTGTGCCGTCTCCATCCTTTCTCACACACCTGGCTGTCCCTTTCTCTGCACTCCTCCCTCATAACAAATAGTGAACTGTGTCAATATTTTAATGATAGTTTGTGAAACAACTTTTTAATTTTTAGGACATAAATTCTGCAAAAAACTCACAGAGTTGGTCTGACGTTTTGATTATGATCAGTGTTTCATTGAGTATTTTATGTTTATTAGTTTTCGAGTTAGATTGCAATTCATCGGTCCGCTTTTGAGTAAAACGGACTATAAGGCTGGATATGATTGATAGAGGAACTGTGGCTGTCTGTAAGGAGACAATTAGAACTGAGCTGCATGCAATGGGTTGGCAGAAAAGTCGAGGAATTCCATCACCGATCATGAAACCTGAACAAAAGGAGCCAAGGTTGAACTGGTGCTTACAGCATAGAAATTTTAACTAGGACAATGTGATTTTCTCAGATGAAAGTTCTGTGTGGCTTTTTCCTAATACACTGAAATTCTGGACCAAACAAACTGAAAAACCTTTGTATCAGCGCCCAAAGTACAGTCCGAAATTTAACGTGTGGGGTGGCATATCTGTGTTAGGGGCAACGCCCCTCTGTGTATTTGAAGGGTACACAGATATTCTGGAGGGACATTTACTCCCATCTGCTCACGTGTTCTATGGACATTTTTTGATTTTCCAGCAGGACAACGACCCAAAACATCGTTCAAAGCATTCACAGACCTGGTTTCGGACTCAAAATATGACATTATTGGCCAAGCTATAGCCCTGATCTAAATCCAATAGAAAATGTTTGGGGACTTATGAAGGAAAGTGTCAATAAGAAAAATCTGACAAATATTGCTGAAATGAAAGAAGAGGTGGTCCGATATTGGGACAGCATGGACCACGACTTTCTAACTTCTTTGATCAGTAGTATGCCCCGCCGCATTGAAGCCTGCATTGCTGCCCATGGTGACTTGACAAAATACTAACTGTTCACATGTCTTTGAATCTGGAGTGAAAATGTATATAAAAAAGTTCAGAATTGATGCTAAGAGGTGTACACATCACACAAACGATGCCTAGACTAACGACTGAGCAGAGGGGAATGTCCATTAGAAAGTTGCATGGAGGTAGCTCTGCAACCGCTGCAGCTTGATAATTGGGCTGTCATCTTACCACCATTACACGAATTGCTCAACGTCATCAGCAAACCTGGATTGCTGCTGATCGATCCTGTACTGGACGGCCACGAGTGACAACTCATGCGCAAGATTGGTTCATCCGGGTCACTCATCTAAGGAACCAAACTCAAGCAGCAACAGTAACAGCAGCCTTAGTTCATGGGTCAAGGGGAGCAGTGTCCAGCAATACGATTAGGTGTCGTCTTCGGGCTGCTGGAATCCCCTGCCGACGGCCATATGTGGGGCCAATTTTGACACATCAACAACGCCAGCGACGTTTACAGCCCTCACACAGTAAGAGTGTCGATGGATTATCTGGCTCAGAACAACATTAACATTCTTCCATGGCCGTCTCTTTCCTCGGATATGGCTCCCATTGAAAATTCTGGGAAGAAATTGGACGTAGGATTGCTGCATGTAGACAGCCACTCACTCTTCCACAGTTTGAACACAGATTGGTGTTTGAGTGGAACAACTTGCCTCAGGCATTCTTTCAGACTCTAGTGAACTCAATGAGGCGACGTTGCACACCTGTGTGCAAACTCAAGGTGGCTATACGCGCTACTAAAGAGACTGTCACTTTTCGCGTTCAAGGATATCTCCATTTGACGGACTGTGATCAATTTTAACTTATTGCAATTCAGTGTCAACAGCAACTTTCAGCTGTTAAACTGACAGTATTTTCTATTGAATAAATGATTAGACATAATTTTGGTTGTCTTCTATTTAAAAACTTGACAAAAGCCATACTTGCGTTTCTTTTGTTGTTCAGTATATTTCTTCTGCAAAATGTTCATTTCAGAGACTAAATGTCACGCTAAGCTTCTGTTACATCTGTTACATCTTGATAAGGGACACAATTGGTTGTTAAGATGTTAATTACATTGGTATGTTTGTCAGGTGTACCAGTGGGGAGGAGGGAAACGAACTCCGCAGAAACTGGACCTGTTCAGTAGGGAGAAGAGCCCAGTTCAGGTGAGTATTGGCTGATCATGTGTGACTGTAGCCTGATGGTATGGTTGGGTGTTGGACCTGTTCAGTAGAGAGAGATCCCAGTTCAGGTGAGTATTGGATGATTGTGTGTGACTGTAGCCTGATGGTATGGTTGGGTGTTGGACCTGTTCAGTAGAGAGAGGATCCCAGTTCAGGTGAGTATTGGATGATGGTATGGTTGGTGTGACTGTAGCCCCAGATGGTATGGATGATTGTGTGGACTGTAGCCTGATGGTGGACCTGTTCAGTAGAGAGAGGATCCCAGTTCAGGTGAGTATTGGATGATGATGTGTGACTGTAGCCTGATGGTATGGTTGGGTGTTGGACCTGTTCAGTAGAGAGAGGATCCCAGTTCAGGTGAGTATTGGATGATTGTGTGTGACTGTAGCCTGATGGTATGGTTGGGTGTTGGACCTGTTCAGTAGAGAGAGGATCCCAGTTCAGGTGAGTATTGGATGATGATGTGTGTGACTGTAGCCTGATGGTATGGTTGGGTGTTGGACCTGTTCAGTAGAGAGAGGATCCCAGTTCAGGTGAGTATTGGATGATTGTGTGTGACTGTAGCCTGATGGTATGGTTGGGTGTTGGATCTGTTCAGTAGAGAGATCCCAGTTCAGGTGAGTATCCCAGTTCAGGTGAGTATTGGATGATAGAGAGAGGATCCCAGTGTGTGACTGTAGCCTGATGGTATGGGGTGTTGGATCTGGTTGTTGGACCTGTTCAGTAGAGAGAGATCCCAGTTCAGGTGAGTATTGGATGATTGTGTGTGACTGTAGCCTGATGGTATGGTTGGGTGTTGGACCTGTTCAGTAGAGAGAGGATCCCAGTTCAGGTGAGTATTGGATGATTGTGTGTGACTGTAGCCTGATGGTATGGTTGGTTGTTGGACCTGTTCAGTAGAGAGAGATCCCAGTTCAGGTGAGTATTGGATGATTGTGTGTGACTGTAGCCTGATGGTATGGTTGGGTGTTGGACCTGTTCAGTAGAGAGATGATCCCAGTTCAGGTGAGTATTGGATGATGATGTGTGACTGTAGCCTGATGGTATGGTTGGGTGTTGGACCTGTTCAGTAGAGAGAGGATCCCAGTTCAGGTGAGTATTGGATGATTGTGTGTGACTGTAGCCTGATGGTATGGTTGGGTGTTGGATCTGTTCAGTAGAGAGAGGATCCCAGTTCAGGTGAGTATTGGAGGTGATTGTGTGTGTGTGACTGTAGCCTGATGGTATGGTTGGGTGTTGGACCTGTTCAGTAGAGAGAGGATCCCAGTTCAGGTGAGTATTGGATGATTGTGTGTGACTGTAGCCTGATGGTATGGTTGGGTGTTGGACCTGTTCAGTAGAGAGATGATCCCAGTTCAGGTGAGTCCCAGTTCAGGTGAGTATTGGTATGATTGGGTGTGTGACTGTAGCCAGGTGAGTGATGGTGATGGTATGGTTGCCTGGTTGTTGGATGTTGTTCAGTAGAGAGAGATCCCAGTTCAGGTGAGTATTGGATGATTGTGTGTGACTGTAGCCTGATGGTATGGTTGGGTGTTGGACCTGTTCAGTAGAGAGGATCCCAGTTCAGGTGAGTATTGGATGATTGTGTGTGACTGTAGCCTGATGGTATGGTTGGGTGTTGGACCTGTTCAGTAGAGAGAGGATCCCAGTTCAGGTGAGTATTGGATGATTGTGTGTGACTGTAGCCTGATGGTATGGTTGGGTGTTGGACCTGTTCAGTAGAGAGAGATCCCAGTTCAGGTGAGTATTGGATGATTGTGTGTGACTGTAGCCTGATGGTATGGTTGGGTGTTGGACCTGTTCAGTAGAGAGAGGATCCCAGTTCAGGTGAGTATTGGATGATTGTGTGTGACTGTAGCCTGATGGTATGGTTGGGTGTTGGACCTGTTCAGTAGAGAGAGATCCCAGTTCAGGTGAGTATTGGATGATGATGTGTGACTGTAGCCTGATGGTATGGTTGGGTGTTGGATCTGTTCAGTAGAGAGATGATCCCAGTTCAGGTGAGTATTGGATGATTGTGTGTGACTGTAGCCTGATGGTATGATTGGGTGTTGGACCTGTTCAGTAGAGAGATGATCCCAGTTCAGGTGAGTATTGGATGATTGTGTGTGACTGTAGCCTGATGGTATGGTTGGGTGTTGGACCTGTTCAGTAGAGAGATGATCCCAGTTCAGGTGAGTATTGGATGATTGTGTGTGACTGTAGCCTGATGGTATGGCTGGGTGTTGGACCTGTTCAGTAGAGAGAGATCCCAGTTCAGGTGAGTATTGGATGATTGTGTGACTGTGACTGTAGCCTGATGGTATGGTTGGGTGTTGGACCTGTTCAGTAGAGAGAGATCCCAGTTCAGGTGAGTATTGGATGATTGTGTGTGACTGTAGCCTGATGGTATGGCTGGGTGTTGGACCTGTTCAGTAGAGAGAGATCCCAGTTCAGGTGAGTATTGGATGATTGTGTGTGACTGTAGCCTGATGGTATGGTTGGATTGTGTTGGACCTGTTCAGTAGAGAGAGAGGATCCCAGTTCAGGTGAGTATTGGATGATTGTGTGTGACTGTAGCCTGATGGTATGGTTGGGTGTTGGACCTGTTCAGTAGAGAGAGGATCCCAGTTCAGGTGAGTATTGGATGATTGTGTGTGACTGTAGCCTGATGGTATGGTTGGGTGTTGGACCTGTTCAGTAGAGAGAGGATCCCAGTTCAGGTGAGTATTGGATGATTGTGTGTGACTGTAGCCTGATGGTATGGTTGGTTGCTGGACCTGTTCAGTAGAGAGAGATCCCAGTTCAGGTGAGTATTGGATGATTGTGTGTGGACCTGCTGACTGTAGCCTGATGGTATGGTTTGGGTGTTGGATGATTGTGTGTGACTGTTCAGTAGAGAGAGGATCCCAGTTCAGGTGAGTATTGGATGATTGTGTGTGACTGTAGCCTGATGGTATGGTTGGATGTGTTGGACCTGTTCAGTAGAGAGAGAGGATCCCAGTCAAGGTGAGTATTGGATGATGATGTGTGACTGTAGCCTGATGGTATGGTATTGGTGTGCCTGATGGACCTGTTCAGTAGAGAGAGATCCCAGTTCAGGTGAGTATTGGATGATGGTGTGTGACTGTAGCCTGATGGTATGGTTGGGTGTTGGACCTGTTCAGTAGAGAGAGGATCCCAGTTCAGGTGAGTATTGGATGATGATGTGTGACTGTAGCCTGATGGTATGGTTGGGTGTTGGACCTGTTCAGTAGAGAGAGGATCCCAGTTCAGGTGAGTATTGGATGATTGTGTGTGACTGTAGCCTTGATGACGACCTAATGAATATGGTTATCAGACATGCTGACCTGTTAGCGTGTCACTGTACAATGATTGTGGGGATTGGTGTGCATAATGTCCACCACTGGATTACCTTGTCCAGACATTATTTAGACTGTAATGTCACTGATAACAGTTTGAAATAATAAATTATATGAACCTATATGCCCATCATCATATTATGACAAAATTTGGCTTATGTTGTCCATGAATTCTCTTTGAAATCATCAAGTTGCTGTCTCATTTTATAATGTGTTGACCTTGAGATGGGGACCAATAATCTGTGTTGTGGGATATTGTTAATGTTTGTCTCTTCCCGACCTGTTTAAGTTTTGACTAATGTCATTCACTGTGGCAAGAACTACAACTGTTTCAACACAAACACTGACCCTTTTGGATTTTGAACTGAACCGGTTTACCGGTATTTACCGGTTCAGACATGAAAACGATACGTATTGCGATACGCTGATCGAAAACCTGTATTTTGACATGCATTCGGAAAACTTCATAACACTCGGAAATCTTCGGATATTTCCGTTTTTTAAGTTGTTCCTTTCCTTTTTATATTTGTGCCAAATATTATTTACATTTGTTTTTTGTCATGATTAAAAGTTTTTATTAAATCTTAATCAAGCATAGTGATTTTGTTGTGTTTTTGCTTTATAAATCAAGCATTAACTCGATTATACGTAGTTTTTTGTTGAAAAAAAACTTCTTGCAATATATTGCAATACATATTTCAATATACGCTTTTGCATCGCAATATGAAAATTCTCTGCAATACCCACTCCTAATAGTACACACTTTTTGTATAAAAACTCATAGCTGTGTGGAGGGGGTTTGCATTTATTTTCACACCATAATGAATATTGATGTGTTATCCCCATGTACAGTCATTACTATGAACATGTAACACCGGAAATACCATGTCAACGATCCGAAATTTAATACTCAATATAATCATGCAATTTCACTGTCTGGTTATAAAAAGCATTCATTATATACCTGGTGAATTTGGTAATGGTGTTTGCAGGTGTCTGCAGGCCACTCCCACTTGGCGACCCTGACAGTGGAGAAGGAGCTCTACACCTGGGCGGTGAGTCAGCTGGCAGCTCATGTTGTCCATCTCAGATTATTATAATTACTCACTTACTTCATCGACAAATTCAGACCTGGTGAGAGTGTCTGTTTCCTTATTGTTGTTTAAAATGAGTTTTTTTAAATTACCCAGTCATAGAATCCCTCTCTATTTTTTTATATTGTATGAGTGACGGTATTATCAGTAAATAATAATTAGTTATCTATATAGCGCATGTTTCCAGTCCATGAAAGTCTGCTCCAAGACTCTTTTAGGAAAAACAGCTCTGCCAAAGGGTATTATATTACATTAAGCTTTTCAAATGATATGTATTGAAGTATTTTTTCGGTGTTCTCGTATATTGGGTAAAAAACATTGTAACAAGGTTTCTTTTTGTATTGTACGCAGTAATTCATTCACAAATGAGGTTTCACTTTGAACTTGATTGAGAAAACGATAGAAATGGGGAAATGATTTTTGTTTTACATGGTTATCTCCCTTGTGTCCACTACTAGGTAATCATGGCAGTAGACCATACTGAGTAATTTTTACTTTTGTCTGTAGAAAACAGATCACTCAAGCTTCCAGTGTGTCGCAATGCATAGCAATACAAATATTTAGCCATTACACAGTCCTAATATACAGATATATACAATGCTGGTGGCCATTTTGTAGTTTTGGATACGAACAAGACATTTTATCCAATGTGATCCAGTAGTGAGTGAGTGAGTGTGTATTGCTAATTGTCCCCCCCAACACATCAGTGATTAGGGTTAGCAATGATTGACAAACAGACAAAGTATTTCAGCTTTTAAATCACAAGTTGATGATTTCTTGGCATCGGGTGGATCGATATAAGATGGTCAGAGACAGTTATGATAATTATGTGCCTCAAGACTTGTCCAGTGGGCTAAAGATCTATGATTGTTAGTTCATCCTGACACTCGAGTACACTCAAACACCCATGAAAAAGACTTAGATGAAGTCAGTTTTCAATGTATGGGATGTTACTATAACTTACATTCGTTTGTTGATGCTATTCACATATGTTATTTGCCCTGCATGTTACTCAGTAGACACTAAAATTCAGTGAATGTAATCATTTTCTTTCAAATTGTTTGACTGGCATTCTAGAAGTTGGTGAGTCAAAGATGAAACATACAACTTTATGGATGACAACTTCTTGTTTATTGCATTAAGCGATGTTTGATGACGATGTAAGAATCTTCATCGGAACGTCGCTTAATGCAATAACAAGAAGTTGTCATCCATAAAGTTGTATGTTTCATTTTCCTTATGGAAAATATAATACAGAACTCATGTCAGTTTCATAAATACATGTGGGAATATATGTTGCAACAGAAAATTCAAAAGTAGGAATCTAAAATTTCAAATAAATTTGTCATGTCGAATCATGTTAAACAACCAATGAAATGCTCATTTATCATAGCTTTTCCAGAATGGTTTCATAAAATTTGAGGGGTAACAGTAGTAATAGAGGGGGGGTACTACCTCAGATGCGGCTTAGAGGCTTATTTGTGGGAATTAAGCCTCCCAGCCCCCCTTAAAAAAATATCAAGAGCCATCCTTCGATGTGCAAGTTCAAATAAAAAATAGCAAAAGCCCTCTGTGGCCACAACCCACAGAGGGAGCAATTGGTGTTTCAGACATCCTTTGCAGGACTATAGACGGAGCCCGGTTTAAGAGGATGATGCAATCTCAGGATAGCCCTGTTAAACCGAGCACTCGACTATCAGGTCCTCTGTGGCTCAGTCGAACGACTGCTGGGTACGATCAAGGTACAGAGTTGCGCATCTCTGTCACCGAGGTTCGAAGCCTACCATTCGGGAAAAAAGCAACAAGGAGCTCTCAGGGAGAGCACAGTCAACCACAACCCCACGGGAGAAATACCAGCGCACCACAAACATCATCAGACCAGGGACCAGGCGGGTCTCTGATCAAAACACCAATTGCTATTTTTTATTTGAACTTGCACATCGAAGGATGGCTCTTGATATTTTTTAAAGGGGGGCTGGGGGGCTTAATTCCCACAAATAAGCCTCTAAGCCGCATCTGCGGTAGTTCCCCCCCTCTATTACTACTGTAACTGTTTCTGCATATCATATGAAGTTACGGGGTAAGAAACTCATTCTTCTTGTAGAATCTTCAAGGTGACACGGCCATAGTTGGTCAACTGGGTCATGGAGATGTTGCTGCGTACAAGGCCCCCAAGAGAGTCGACGCTCTTATTGGCATCCCCATCAAGCAGGTGGACTGTGGGGAGGATTTCACCTTGTGTGTCACAGGTAACGATCACCTGTAGCTGGTTCACCCATGTGTAAGATGTATCATCAGTACGTGATATTTGATAAATACACTCTCAAGACGTACAGAATTGAGTATAAACTGCCCCTTTGGGTTGAGGAGTTTTACCTTATATTGATGTATTTCATGTGCTAATGAAGACATTATATTATATCTAGTCATGAAGAGATGATACATAACCAGTTTCTTTTTCCATAGATGAAGGAAAGGTGTACTCCTTTGGTTCAGACTATTTTGGTTGTCTTGGAACTGACAGTGGAGATGATGTACTGGAGCCGGTGCCAGTAGACTACTTTAGTCAGATACCAGTGGAGCAAGTGTCATGTGGAGAGTCCCACTGTGTTGCCATCAGTAAAGATGGGGATGTTTATACATGGGGCTGTGGGGAGTTTGGTGAGTTGATTGATATCAATTTTCTTCAGTAGGAGCATATTCCTGTTAGGAAGTATATTAAGCCTTCATAAACATGAATTTCTTTTATTTTTAAACGTAGTCAAACTATCATCCATAAGTTGTTACATTTATATGGCTAGTGGGGGATGAACATTCATGCTGGAGGCACAGACAGCTGGGAAAGGAAATTCATGTTTGAGGCACAGACTCATGGTTTATGTGACAAGTAAATGAAATGTGTGATATTTCAGGTCGTCTTGGACTTGGTTCAGAAGATGATTACAGTCTACCTCAGAAGGTAAGTAAGAGTCCAAAGGCGGGGAGGAAAGGAAAGTTACAACATCTTCATATTCACTGAGAATTTAATGCAAATGGCAACGATTGAATCTGTAACAATTGCAGTACCAATTTTCAATGGAATAGCTCTGAGTGTGTAACTCTTTGTCAGTAAAACTGCCCCAGAGTTCTACAGTATGCTTGTTGTCAGGTGTCCACTCCAGGCAAGCACCTTATCAAGTCGGTGTGTGCGGGATCAGACGGAACGTTCCTCATCACCACCAATGGCCGCCTCCTGGCCTGTGGCAGCAATGAGCACAACAAACTAGGCTTCAATTCAGAAACATCCGGGTTGAGAAAACGAAAAGCAAAGGTATGTTTGGATCACTGTTTGGCCTGTATTTGTACAGAGGTGGAGGCATGTGGTATCCTTGTGGTTAATGCTTTTGCTAATCTTGCTGAAGACCTAGGTTCCTTTCCCTTCAGTGGTACAATCTGTAAAGTCAATTTCTGGTGTTCCCAGCTGTTATGTGTGTAGGATAAAGCACGACTCCGAGGTTATGGTTGGGAAAGTAAGACCCGAGACCGGAGGGTGGGGAGAAGTAAGACCGAGAGCGTGTAGCGCTCGAGGTCTTACTTCTCTCCACCCGATGGTCGAGGGCTTACTTTCCCAACCATAACCGAGGAGGAGTGCTTTATTATACATATAAACCGTCAATGATGGATAATTAGATGATCGTGTAATGAAGCTACGTAACAGTAACTGAAGCGCTAGTAAAATCAATTGAATGACAGTAGGCCTAACTATAAATACATAATTCAACCCTCGGTCTTTGTCGGCCCGGTGATGTGTGGTAGACTGTCCGCTTATGAATGTGAAATATGCGGTTCAAATCCTGCTAGGGAAAACATTTGCACATTTAAGTTGATCTTTGACGATATTTTTCAATTGATTTCAAACACTAACATATCATCTGCATTTGAATGTTGATGTTAATATAGAGTTTGGAAAAAGTAAAACCTGGGAAGAGGTCTTACTTACAAAAAGTAAAACCAAGAAATAGGTCTTACTTACGAAAAGTAAAACCTGGGAGCAAACAAAAACCTCAAATGCGTTATTCAGGGAAAAGAAGCCATGTCTAATATATAGTGAGAAGCAGCTTTCAGGTTTATATTTTGCTAGAATATTTGCTACAAAAGCAACATTATAAAAGCAAACTTGCTCACACACTCACCATGCATATCTGCAGGGCTCCACCTAGCTTGGTCATCAGGATTCCCTGCGGATTGTTTTCAAGTGCTGGGCACAAGTTAATATTTCCAAGAATCAGGCATCAGTTAATAACAATAATAATAATAATTCATTTATATAGCGCCTAGTATCCATCTGACTAGCTGCTCACTGGACGCTGTAATCAGAATCTGATTAATATTACCCCGGATAACCCAAGCTGCCTGTTAGGCGCTAGAAGGTTATAGTCAGATGACTTTATCCAACCGGATACCCATTTTCTGCTAGGTGAACAGAGGCAATTTTGAACAAACTCACTTGCCTAAGGTGAGACCACATGTATCACATGTGCTTCGATCTGGGGCAGGACTGAAGTCCTAGAAACTCTCAGGAGTCAAGCTGCCAAACACGGTCACACATCCTAGGACTGTCCGAGCTTGACGTCACTTACCTTCAACTGATTCGTGACCTGAGCCGCCACTGATTGATGACAGAAAATAACATGTATATTCTGTTGATTGAAACATTATAATGAGAAAGGAAACAATTTCTCTGATAGAGAAATGTTACAAGAAACATGACTTATCAAAGATGATTACGGGTGTTGCGGATGTACACTGCATTGTGTACACAGGAGCCTTGCTTCATGTGACCCTACAACTTTCACTGGCTAGCTGGCTGACATTAAACTCAACTACTTACAACTTGGGTTAAAACACATTCACTCAGTCACTTCCCGTCAGCAGAGTCTTTGCACAAAACATTTGAATCTTCACCGAACATGGCTCTAAGCATCATCAGTTTATGTTATCATATGTGCTGTTATTGGCTGAGCTTACTTGACCAGACAGAATTCTACTAGACTTGGACTTCAGACAAGTGGCTAAAGTCACAATCCACTGTCAAGTCAGCAAGAGGTTGTTAAGGCAGACACAGTTGAACTTCTGTAGAACACCCTGTTAGTCCAGGCATTCTGTGATCTAGATGATTTCTGTTCTAAACAGCTTTGCCGATTTGTAATTGGTGATTTTGTTTGGAAGATTTCTCTATGAATGATAACATCTGGATTAAATGGGATTTCAGTCCATAGATAGTAAGTGAGTAAATATGGTTTACACTGCTTTTAGCATTATTCCAACAGTATCACAGCGGAGGAGTGAGTGAGTTAAATTTTACGCCACACTCAGCAATATTCCAGCTATATGGCGGCGGTCTGTACATAATCGAGTCTGGACCAGACAATCCAGTGATCAACAGCATGAACATCAATCTGCGCAATTGGGAACCGATGACATGTGTCAACCAAGTCAGCGAGCCTGACCACCCCGATCCCGTTAGTCGCCTCTTACGACAAGCATGGGCTATTACTGAAGATCAATAACCCAGACCTTCACGGGTTCACAGTGGTGGACACCAGCAATGTATAGTTAAAACAATAAGGTGTGGTTGTATGCATGATTTACAGATTTTGTATCTTGTGTTTGCAGGTGTACGACATCCCCTGTAAATACATATTCACTACAGTGAAGCCACTCAGCCGCTACAACATCGTCAGTGTGGCCACTGGCAAGACACACTCCGCAGTCATAGATTGTAAGTGGCACCCAACCTGTGTTATCATACATTCCCTGGAGAGGTGTTATAATATACTACCCATCAAAAGGTTAGACTCACTAGTGTAAATATAGTAACTTACTTCAGTCAACTGTTCTTAACTTGATTTTGCAAAATATTCCATACTGTTTAAAGGTACTGTTGGCACATGAAGTGATGTATTGTAACACAAATTCGTATTGTTGAAAAAAATTATTGTCATGAGTTCAATAAATCATGAAACTCAGTGAAAATTGGCAAATTCTTAACAAAACTATACACCAAAACGCAGCTGTTATTTGCACATGCTTTTCAGCAATTTGATGCATGATCCTTGTGCAATTCATCTGTATAAGGTTTGCTGTTGGTTCCCCCAAGTTCTATGTAACCACATATATATACATAACATATAGTGAGTGCTTTAAGTGAGTCTAAACCTTTGATGGGTAGTATATGTGATGTTATTCAAGTTCAAATTGTGAGATTGTATCGAAGTTTCCTACAACATGGTTTGTGTGTACCAGATTCAGGGGAATGAAACCTGTTTTAATCTTAGCGACCTTAAGATGTCCTCCTTTGATTTTGGGTTGAATGTCTTTGGATTGACTGAATATAAGTTACCATGGTTACAGTAAATTTGTTTATCTCCTATCTCTGTAGCAATGCAAGTTGAGAAAGTTCACATGTTGTTTCCAAAGAATGAGGTACCAGGAACGCCTGAAAGTCTCATAATTTGTTTCGGAAAACATTGAAGAACATGATGAAAGACATTTGTCATGTTTTTTGTTCTATTGCCTTGAAGTTTTGGACTGATGAAATGGCCAGGTACAGAGGTATGCATGAAAATAATGGAATTTCTTTTTCCAAGTTCTTGAGAAAATTAGACCATGACCTTGACTGATCTTTGTACATACTTGTAATGGTTCTAAGTCTGCATCTCCTGAGAATACCGTGATTGTATTTGAAAGTTTTGGGCTAGATCAATTCTATTAAAATGTTACTAAAAAACCTGTAAAAATCAACCTCTTTTAAAACAATAATGCACATTTTTGGGTATACCTTCTGCTCTGGTGTTGTTCACAGAAGTCCAGGGCCCCGTTTCACAAAGCTCTTGTAGGCTTAAGATCTCGTATATTTTCTCGTAGCATTGGTACCTGCTATACTGTAACATAGGAGGTACGAATGCTATGAGAAAAGTTACGAGATCATAGGCCTACTAGAGCTTTGTGAAACGGGGCCCAAAACCTTTTAAAACTTGAAATTTATTTTAGTTCTCATTCATATTCGGATCTTTGATAAGTTCCATAATGATTTCAATAGTTTTCTAGACTCTTTTAACGATGGAGATCTTGGAGATCCAAAGGCATTTCAAACACCTAAACCTTTGTGATACAGAGCTGACTTTTAGAGTAAAGTATTCAGAAAAGGTGGAACAGTGCTTTGATTGCTTCTCCTGAAGTCTTCTTGCATCTTTCTACAGTGTATGGCTACCTGTTTACATTTGGTTCCAACAAGTATGGGCAGCTGGGTCTGGGGGACTTCAAGAAGCGGGAGTGCGTGTGTCGTGTTGGAGGGATGCTTGCAGGGCAGAGAGTCGGTAGGGTCGCGTGTGGCAATGGATTCACTGTCATCTCTACTAATGGTAAGAAGTTATGTTTTGTCAAGTTTTGTCAGTATATATACATTCATACTTGGTTCTTATTACCTAGTGAGATAATTTTGTAATTACAAGTCAAACTCTGCAAACTCCCGTGGGGAATTGAGAAAATGTCAAATACAGTAATTACCGCTCCTGTCTGAGGGTCAGCAAAACCAGCAGTTGCGATGACGGTTCACGTTGCTGTGCGTTGGTCTCTTGTAGCTTGATAAGCTCAGTGGTCTTTAGACTTGGATAGTGTCTTGACAAGGACCATTGATAAAAATAATTAAACTGTTACCATGGTTACCTATATATATGCTCTATTCTCTCTCCAGAGAACCAGATCTACTCGTGGGGTAACGGAGAGAGTGGCCGTCTAGGTGCTTACATCACCGACCAGGGAAAAGGTCCGAACAGTCAGTGTACGTCGCTGCCTCGACCCATGTTTGGGTGTCTGCACATCGTAGCAGACATCTCCTCTTGCCACTGGAATACACTCCTCATTGCAGGTACTTGGCACTGGGCAGCTCAGATCAGAATGATTCTCAGATGCTGGATGTGGAGGTGGCTAGATGCTCTTATTTGCAGCCATTTGCTGTACAGAGTTGCCTTCCTTAGTAATGCCAGGATCTTCTAGTCATGATATTCAAACTACACATGTGCCATGCCCATGAACCATGGGTTTTCAGCACCATCCCAGTATTTGTGGGTTTCATGAATGTCCTAAATGGCTATACCTTCAACAGTTTGGATTTCATTCAACGATAGGCTGTGATAGAAATGAAATTGGACAAGGAGTATTAATATGGAGGACAATTTATATAATACATACACTCCCCTAGTGAAGGGGAAAGAAGTCGGGATGAAATAATGTATATGTATGCTAAAGAAGTTGTTATGAGCCTCATGTAAGTCATCAACCTCTTTAATATACGTTTGAAGATCCGGGTTAGAATTGGTCTTCAGCATTTCCTGCTTGTCATAAGAGGCGACTAACGGGATCATATCCCAACTGATGTTGATCACTCGATTGTCTGGTCCAGACTCAAATATTTATAGACAGCAACCATATAGCTGGAATATTGCCAAATAAGGCGTTAACAAGAAACAAACAAATAATAATAATACATTTATATGATGTTTACATCTAACCTCTAAATGACTCTAGACACTCTCAGAAAGGAGCCTTATTTAACACCAAATGAAAATCAGGTCAGAGACTCACAGTCATGAAAATGCAGAGGATGTTAAACACTTACATGTTTGTAGGTGGGTAAGACAAAGTAAGGTATATTTGTTTGTTGTTTATGCTGGTTCAGGAATATTTTGGCTGTAAAACATGGTAAACAAATAATCCAATAAGACCAATTCTACCCAGATCTTCACAAGTTCATTCTATTAGTTATGGTAGGAATACTTCAGTGGGAGAATTCATGGGTCCAGAAAACGTGACAATCAATACGATTCTTTGGTTTCACAAGCAAGCAACAAAAAAACAATGGGAATTCCTGGTGGGAATTGGTCCCAGCAACCTATGCTTGTGGTTAGAGAAGCACCAGAAGAACCTATGGCCACACTTGGATGATTGTGTGTCAACAGACGTGGATGCTGTTGGTCATTGCTCATGATATCAATCACTGGATTGTCTGGTCTAGACTTGATAATTTACAAACATACAGCTGAAATATTACTGTGGTGTTAAATAACAAGTAGCATGCCTCCAACATCTAACTTATGAGTAGATGGTTTTTTATATTTTCACAATTATTCTATTTTCTTTTTCAGAGAAAGTCCTCAACCAAAAAACGCTCAAGTCAAGGGTATCCTCCCCTAAATGTATGTTCCCTTCACTGTCAGTATATGGTATTCTGTTGCTTCAACTTTGTTTTGTCTATGCAGTAGTGATCAGCTGTCTCTTCTCAGTTCTACTCTAGCTCCTCCACATCTGTTAGAAACGCACAAAATACTACTATATCAGATAGGCTGTTACACTCATTTCTCAAACTGTCTGCTAGAAGTGTTTAGTGTATACTCATATGCCATAACTGCAAAAAATCAATAGTATATTTTATGTTGTGTATTGATATTTTGAAACATTTTTCATAAAACCCTGCGTTACACATACAAAAGTGTAAATATCTCTTTATTATGCTTACTAAGCATTAGTGAAAACATATATGTTATTTACAAGTAATCAATCCTGAGAATACAGTGTCTACCTGATGGTTTGAGGAAGGTTTGTCTCTACAAGAAACGCCTTGTGGACACTGGAGTGGAATAGGTCAGGATGACATTGCAGGTCGTGATGACCCAAGTGTATGGGTAGAGGAGGATACTTCCACCATGGGGCATGGTGGGCAAGCTGTCTAAGGTGCCAGGCTAGTGATCCAGCGAGCTTGAGATGACAGGATCGAGCCCACATGTGACCAGGTGTAAAAACCTTGGAGTCAACTTTGTGTGCAGACTCTTTCAGTGTTGTCACAACCCCTAGTGTACAGTACACAACCCTGTGCACTTAAAAGAACCCACGAAACCATTGGTAAATGACCAGATGGTGGCCACATGAATGCATGCAAACACCTAGTTGCAGGTACAGCAACGCAGTAAACTTGCAGTAAACTATGTGCCCCAGTCCACCCAGCTGTGAATGGGTATCTCGTAAGGATGGGAAAGCTGCAATAACTTGGTGCGCCTAGAGGCTGCAAGAGTTGTATAATCCCCAGGGAGTTGAGATTGATAATATGTCGTGCCGTTGAGATTGACCTGCAATGATCGAGGAAAATAATACCTTGAGCATGTACCAGTTTTAAGGATATGTGTGCTATATAAATATCCTATAATACTTGACTGGTTCCATGTCATTGAGGCCTGGCACTGTGGTTAGTGTTCATGCTTTCACATTATTTACAGGCCCTATGATATAACAGGAATATTTATACTTGAGACCACCTCGAAGAGGAAAACTATTTAGTAGAAAATGTTGAAGTGAAAAACACTTTCTGAATATTGATGCATTCTGAACAGTTTCTAAACACTGATGCTTTGTAAATCTCCTATTCCACTCTAGTTTGAACTGGATTGTATTAACGAATTTCTTTTAATATGAAACAATAAAATTGAAAGCCCCAGTTTATTGATGCAGAACACTTTATCATTTAATATGGTTCTTGTTTGATATGAAATATATGATCTGCCTATGATTTGCTTTAGACAAGGCTCCAGAATCAGGTAAGGCAAACTGTGATTGCTCTGTGCATGCCTTCAGAAGGGTTGTGTGTGTTGACAGTGAGATAAGGACTACAAGCATTTAAAATAATAACAATTAGATACATTAATAAGGCTGAAATGAATATAACCTAGGACTTCAAATTCATTATGTTGAAGTAATGATGTATTGTAATCATCCTAATGATGTTAATTCTATGACAGTTTGCAGAATCAGTTCATGACCATCCATTTAAAAATACTAATGGACATCTGAATCAAGAAATGTTTTTGTTTTGATAATGTCATAAAGATTTTGTTCATGTTTATAATTATTCATCACTTTAAAGTGAAACACATCAAGAGACAGTGATATTAGAATCAAGACAGTTTGTATAGTTTTATTATTGTTGTAAATATTTTATTCATATTTATAATTATTCATCACTTTAAAGTGAAACACATCAAGAGAAGTGTTCTGTGTGAGCTTGCATGGTGTCAGTGCATGGTCAATATTGGGTGATTGGAGTGGTCTGCATGACCTTGTCCCATGTCCCTCACTGCCGTGTCCGATTCAAACATCTAACATGTCCTTTCCCTGGTGGAGTAACAGATACCTCCTCCATGACGCAAATCTCTACATATCAAGATAATATTGGTTCATTTAAACCCAATAATTCAATACAGTTTCTTGTCTTCTGTTCCTCTTTGGAGCTTTCCTGCTTTTTTTTCAGTGAGGTCACAGCAAAATGTTCTTCAGATTTTGTTTAAGATACTGGGCACCATTATTGTTTTGGAAACTTCCATTCAACATTCTCTTGATTCATCATGTTCATTTGAATATTTACTAATGTCACTTTCTCAGAGGTTAATCAATACCTCAACACCTGATATATATTAATGTATATTTGATTTGATTTTTAATCATGCCTAACTTACAGTTAATTTTGTGCCTATATGTTTTTGCCCAAGGACAATACATCTGCTAGAGGCAACAGTGTCCACATTGCCTTGATATAGACCAGTGGACACTCTTGCCTGGCAAAAAGGAGATTCATCTATAGTATTGCTCCCAATAGTATGACTATCCCTTTGTCTTAAACATTTTTCTGAAGAACATACTATTTGTTGTGTTCTCACAAAACCAATTTGAAAGTAATTTTCACCAGCTTTAACAATTGACATGTGCTGATATGCTTTTTATTTCCAGCAGTATTCTATATTGACAAAATTATTCTGGCAACTGGTTGGTTATGTTTTCAAGTACAGTTAAATATAGTAATGTTAGAGTAATATTTGCAAGAAGTCAGCAAGTGCACATTGCCCACTGCATGCTGGGAATATCTGCTGGGTAGCGGTTGTGATATTGATGTTATTCAGGTAGCCGTCTGCTCATAATAGACTGGAATAATATATCCTGATGTATGAATATTGCTGACCTGTTCAAACCTGGCATTACAAATTCATGTAGTGAAATTGTTTAATAAATGTGGTAGTTCGTATTTATGTTTCATTATTTGAATGTATAGATAGTTTATGTCAAAACTCACATCATTTGTCATATTTGAATAATGTTGGTTGATAGTTTGTTTTTAAATGCCATAAATTGTAGGAATTTGTTCCTCTGTGGCCTACCTGTTTGAAAGCATTCCTTGTACAGAGTCAGGGTGCCTGGCGGTGCCATTATCAAGGGTCACAAACATCAGAACCTCAGATTCAAACCCATTATCATTGAATCATTACATACCTAAGGTACACATCTCCACACAACTACTTACATCCTTTAAATGACTGTGCCATCAGTGCTCCAATACTATTCAAGAACACCAGGTAACTCTTTTCCACACAATGTAAATAGCGAAATGCTGCTGTTATCATTTTATCACAACTGGTTGGCTTGGAACAATTCTGTTTTCCATTTCAGTGTAGTCTAATTATGGCTGGTACGGGGTGTTGGGTTGGCCCAGTTCGCTTGTCACACTGAACGTCCGGGTTCCATTCCCCACATGGGTACAATGTGTGAAGCCCATTTCTGGAGTCCCCCACCATGATATTGCTGGAATATTGCTAAAAGTGGCATAAAACTAAACTCACTTACTCATCATGCTGGTGCATTTAATAGGTACACAATGACCTTTGTAATCCCAATGGAGACTGTGTCAGAAATAGTTAAGCTTCATTGTGGCCAAGCCGGCATGTTATGAATTCAGGTTATGTCTTTGGCAATGCATATAAATAACCAAATTGACAGTGTTATGTATTCCATGTGTGTAGTGGTGTAAAGTCAACAGTGAATATGTTATAGACCTTGTGTAGGTATTTGCAGGTTTTTGATAGTCTGATTACAGTAAACTGATATACATTTCAAGGGTACAGCACCCTTAAATATCTAGATGTTGAAGTAGCTAGATCACAGAAAGTTCCAAATACTCATCAGCCATGCATGGTTAAGAAAAACATTTCTATAGCTTAGCAATGTGTGTATTTTTAGAAACACAAATGTGTGGTTGAGAAACACATACACACACACATGCAAACACATGGTTGAAAAATACAGGTGTATTGATGAAAAACACATGCTTGTTTAAACAGATGTATGGTTAACAAAGAAATAGCATTGCTGGACAAATGCACATGTATAGTAAATATTGTGTATGTACAGTACGTAGTTAAGAAAATTATGGTTAACAAAGATATGAATGATAAAGAAATTATACAAGTATTCTTATTTCAGAATTAGTGTCATGTTTGTATTGCAACGATTTGAAAACAAATACTTAACATTTCTGTTGGATTAGGACTTTTGTATTTTGTGTTCAGTAATTGAAATGTTTTGATATTTCATATTTTTTCACAATCCACCTGACGAAGAGGCAAGGAATAGCCCAGAAACGTTGTGACATACAATAAAGAAGAAGTTGTCATCAATAATAATTGCGTTTTAATTTTTTCTCCAGTTTGATATTGTCTGTGATACATGCATTAATATCCCCTGCTGTTTGTTCCCAGTTGAGTTTATCCAAGTGGAGACTGTCCCAGAAGACAGTGCCTTCGTGGATGATGACATTGCCAGTCCCCCAGTCATATCCAGCAGCCCCCATGTCCCTACCCTGAGCGGGGACTCAGGGAAACCCAACACCCCTCCCGAGTCAGCTCAACACACAGCGGCAGTCACCAACAGCTCATTGCCACCCTGGCTGGAAGCGGTGAGGGGACAGCCTAGTTTTACCTGTACATTTCTGTCATTAATGATGTTTGCTGATCTTGAATCAGAGTTTATATGTTTTTTCTAAGATCACGTAAGTGTACATCCAAATCAGCAAGTAATTCTTACAGATTATACAAATGTCTAACTTTCCAAATGTAAAGAAAAAGGGTGTTGAAGTCAAAAGTCAAAAGATGTTTATTGTATTTCAGGCCTCTGGCCCATATACATTGGAGTTACATGCATTATACTATCATATACAGCTTGAATACACATGATTTTGACAGAGTATCATGCTTAGACATTGCATTGTAAATGTATTGTGATAGTTTTAAGTTGATACAGTTGTCATTGGAAGACAGGAATTGTTTAAATGCTATACTAGGTGACTTGGAGAAGTAACATTCAGGAATATATTGTTTACGTAGATCTATGTACGATGGACAGATAAATAAAAAATGAATTTCGTTTTCAGTAGATAATTTACACAATGGGCAAATTCTTTTATATCTGTTGATGGACATACGTCTTCTACGTGTTAGATTGCATTTCACTGCTTATTATTATTATTGTTTTTGTTGTTATCATTATTATATGCTGCACCAAACTCAATTTGACAAAAGAGACATATAGGAAAGTCCTTTACACTGAAGTTTTATTAAGTGTTTGTAACTTTTGAAAAATATGAGAATTTCTATAGGTAATATAACAAAATGTGTAGTGAATCACCTCTTTGTTTGGTATATATCTTTGTATGTATATGTTATATTGAGAGAGTGTTTGTGTGTTTCACACTAGGGATGTGTGTGTGTATGTGTGTGTAGGCATGTGTGTGACATTGTGAGCATGTTCCTGTTACAGTCAAACTAAAAATGTTCAAGTAGAACATATTACAGAGTATGTGCAGTGTCCCCTTCTCTCCTAATCTCACCTCATATATTACAGGAGTTAAATGATGCTGAAGTGATACCCATCCCATCCTGCACCCCGAGTCCAGACATCGGAGGCTCCGACCAGCCAGCCAGTGGATCAAGTGGTCATCCGTCTCTCAGACTACAAATGCCAGATTTAAACATGGTTTCACAGCAGATGTCAGTTTCAGACAAGTGTAAGTGTCAGATGTCAGTTGAACAGTATATCACATGGTTTCACAACAGATGTCACGTAGCTGCTCAGACAAGTGTAAGTGTCCAGGATGTGTCTAGTTGAACAGTATATCACATGGTTTCACAAGTGTAAGTGTCAGATGTGTCAGACGTAGCTGCTCAGACAAGTGTAAGTGTCCAGTATGTGTCTAGTTGAACAGTATATCACAGGGTTTCACAGCAGATGTCAGACGTAGCTGCTCAGACAAGTGTAAGTGTCCAGTATGTGTCTAGTTGAACAGTATATCACAGGGTTTCACAGCAGATGTCAGACGTAGCTGCTCAGACAAGTGTAAGTGTCCAGGATGTGTCTAGTTGAACAGTATATCACAGGGTTTCACAGCAGATGTCAGACGAGCTGCTCAGACAAGTGTAAGTGTCCAGGATGTCTAGTTGAACAGTATAATCTTCAGTAACCCAAGTGTAAGTGCTTGGTTTCACAACAGATCGTAAGAAGGTCTGTGTCTAGTTTCAGTAACCAACAGGATCGGTGGTCAGGCTCGTTGCTGACTTTGGTTGACACTTGTCATCGGTTCCCAGTTGTGCAGATCGATGCTCATGCTGTTGATCACTGGATTGTCTGGTCCAGACTTGATTATTTACAGACCGCCGCCATATAGCTGGAATATTGCTAAGTGAGATGTAAAACTAAACTCACTCACTCAACTTACACAATCTGCAAATGTGCATCGATATATTAAAAGATATGTCACTGAGTCATGAATATTGGACACAAAATATTCACTGAGTCCAGAGGGATGCACAATATTATTCACTGAACCCACAACACATCTATGACTTTGCTAAGTGTTTGGTTGTTTGTTTCAGAGCAGTTAAGTGCATCATTTCATCCACCAGTCCAATCAATGATTCATTCCAGGCTCTAAATAAATTATCAAAACATACAGCCTCTACTCCGTTACTTCAAAGAACCCTTGTATTGCCTGCAAGGACCCTTAAAACTAATAATTAGCGGTCCCTGGGACCTCCATGTTTGTGAGTCGAGGTAAAACCCTGATGTCAATTCTGTCACTGAATGTCAGTTCTGTGTCAGTGGCAAGTTCACGGTTTTCAGGAACCATGAAATAAGTCGGTTGACAAATCATGAATCCTAAAGTAAGGCTCAATATTCAAACCAACCATCATGGGATTCTTGCATGACTAGTGGATAGATGCATGACTAGTGGATCATGACTATTCAATAGATGCATGACATATCACTAGTGGATAGATGCATGACTAGTGGATAGATAGTAGTGGATAGATGCATGCCTAGTGGATAGATGCATGACAGTGGATAGATGCAACAATAGATGGAGTTATGGTGTGTTACAGGGACTGAGGATAGTGGAGTCATGGTGGATACAAGAGTCTGAAAACATTGTTCAAGGTTGTTTCCACATCAGGGTCATAAGAACAAGAGAAAGTGTATAATGTGGGATAGGATAAGTATCATAAATATACAATTTATATGCTTGATTGGCATTTTAGAAGATGCTATTTGATGAACATAGAGATTTTTTCTGGGTTACATCTCTTTTAGAAAGAAGATGTAAACCAGAAAAAATCTCTATATTTATAGTTAAAAATTTAAATTCCAGCAGGACCATGAACCTGATAGTCAGAATGTGGGCCATCTGCAAGCCAGGATACAACAACTAGAAACTGAAAATAAGAAGGTATGATGTTCTATATTAAGTGTGCCATTCAATATCATTTGTCACAAATGTTAGAATCTCCTTACTGCGATATCTCATCCCCAGGACTCTGTACTATCACTGTAAGAGCCTTTCAGGTGGGCAGTTGGATCTCAGTTCCCATATCGCCATGACCTACCATGTTGGTCATCTTTAGCTGACTTTTGACATTGTCCACGTCAGCAAATGTCTGAGCTCTCCTTCTGTCAATTACCACTGAAAGAAGAATATACTGTATTAATCATATCAGGATTATTAATTACAATATAGCATACTTTTCATTTTTGAAAATTCAAATATGAAATTTTTAAATGTTCATTGCCGAAGCTCATTAGAGTGGAGAATACAGATTTCATACTAGAAATATATAGTTTATTAGAGGATGATATTGAAACTAGGCTCTCATGTCATTTTAATCAAGGTCTGCAAATGCTTGGACTTTGCTCTTTTGGACTCTTTTTATAAAGGTCAATATTATAAGAATGATAAAAGGCAATTAAGCATGGATACATTTTGGGAATCTATTCTTTGTTATGCAAACCTATTCATATATAAATGTCACTTCATGTCAGTTATCAAAGGTGAGCTTCTGTACCTTTGGGTCTTTGGTTTGATTTATTTTTATAACAGTTCAGTACATATAGCAAGGTAGCAAGAAAACATTTGCCTGACATGTATACCTATTGCATTCTATAATGGCCCAGCTATAGTTTGGTGTCTTTTATAGACATTTGAATGGTTTATTTCAGTTGTGGAAACTGGTGAGTGAGCAAGAAGAGCAGATAAAAACATTGATGCAAGACCGAGATAAACCCAGAACATCCTGATAGTCATATCCAGCTTTAGAATGCCATATTATAGCTAGCATTCCATCTTAAAGCATGGTGTTCCAGTAATCCACCCTGGGCCCATAATTGTTTGCATGTTGCTATTGACTGCCATCTTGTACATGCATAATGTTCTGTAGCATAGTGTTACTGTGTTCCAGCCATGATGAAGCCCTGAGGCCCATGGCAGTCTGTATGTTCTGGACTGACATCTTGTAGTGGTGTTCCTACATGGTACCATTATTTTGAAACATGGTGTAAATGCTGACTTGAAGGATAGTTAGTTCTACAAATGGTGCTCTTATGAGAGGCCATGATAATCTGTTGATAGCTGTTGACTGCCATTTTGTAGCATAGTGTTCTTACATGAAGTAGAAGTGTGGTCCTACATGAAGTTGTAGCAGTGGTCCTACATGATGTATAAGTGTGGTCCTACATGATGTAGAAGTGTGTTCCTACATGACATAGAAGTGTGTTCCTACATGATGTAGAAGTGTGTTCCTACATGATGTAGAAGTGTGTTCCTACATGATGTAGAAGTGTGGTCCTACATGAAGTTGTAGCAGAGTGTTCCTGCATGATGTATAAGTGTGGTCCTACATGATGTAGAAGTGAGGTCCTACATGATGTAGAAGTGTGTTCCTACATGATGTAGAAGTGTGGTCCTACATGATGTAGAAGTGTGGTCCTACATGATGTAGAAGTGTGGTCCTACATGATGTAGAAGTGTGTTCCACATGATGTATGGCATAGAAGTGTGGTTCCTACATGATGTAGAAGTGTGTTCCTACATGATGTAGAAGTGTGTTCCTACATGATGTAGAAGTGTGTTCCTACATGATGTAGAAGTGTGGTCCTACATGATGTAGAAGTGTGTTCCTACATGATGTAGAAGTGTGTTCCTACATGATGTAGAAGTGTGGTCCTACATGATGTAGAAGTGTGTTCCTACATGATGTAGAAGTGTGTTCCTACATGATGTAGAAGTGTGGTCCTACATGATGTAGAAGTGTGGTCCTACATGATGTAGAAGTGTGGTCCTACATGATGTAGAAGTGTGTTCCTACATGATGTAGAAGTGTGGTCCTACATGATGTAGAAGTGTGTTCCTACATGATGTAGAAGTGTGGTCCTACATGATGTAGAAGTGATGAAGGTGTGTGTAGTCCCTACATGATGTAGAAGTGTGGTCCTACATGATGTAGAAATTAAGTGTCCTAGGAAGTGTGGTCCTACATGATGAAAGTGTGGTCCTACATGATGTAGAAGTGTGTTGTAGAAGTACACATGATGTAGAAGTGTGGTCCTACATGATGTAGAAGTGTGTTCCTACATGATGTAGAAGTGTGTTCCTACATGATGTAGAAGTGTGTTCCTACATGATGTAGAAGTGTGGTCCTACATGATGTAGAAGTGTGGTCCTACATGATGTAGAAGTGTGTTCCTACATGATGTAGAAGTGTGTCCCTACACATGATGTAGAAGATGTAGAAGTGTCCTCCTACATGATGTAGAAGTGTGTTCCTACATGGTGTAGATGATGTAGTGTTCCTACATGATGTAGAAGTGTGTTCCTACATGATGTAGAAGTGTGGTCCTACATGATGTAGAAGTGTGGTCCTACATGATGTAGAAGTGTGTTCCTACATGGTGTAGAAGTGTGTTCCTACATGATGTAGAAGTGTGTTCCTACATGATGTAGAAGTGTGGTCCTAATGTGTGTTCCTACATGACATGATGTAGAAGTGTGTTCCTACATGATGTAGAAGTGTGGTCCTACATGATGTAGAAGTGTGTTCCTACATGATGTAGAAGTGTGTTCCTACATGATGTAGAAGTGTGTTCCTACATGATGTAGAAGTGTGGTCCTACATGATGTAGAAGTGTGGTCCTACATGAAGTTGTAGCAGAGTGTTCCTGCATGATGTATAAGTGTGGTCCTACATGGTGTAGAAGTGTGGTCCTACATGATGTAGAAGTGTGGTCCTACATGATGTAGAAGTGTGGTCCTACATGAAGTTGTAGCAGAGTGTTCCAGCATGTAGATGTTAATGGCGACATGATGGATAGTTAGTTCTAGTATGATTATAGTTATAGTTGTGTATATGAGTGATGTTGATAGCAGTGTGATGAATAGTCTGTTCTACAAATCCTGCTCTTAGTATACACAAAAATTGACATATCCTGAAATTATAGTAAATTAAATCTGATCAGTGATTCCAGAATTCTTCGTGTCACATCACATAAGTTGTCAATTTCAGAATCTAGTCTGTCAATTGTTTCTTCATTACATATTTATTTTCACATTCTCAGTGGACCAAGGGAAGGTAATACACCTTATGTTAAAGTTAATTGGTTGTTTAACGTAGCACTCAGCAATATTCCAGCTATGTGGTGGTGCTCTGTAAATAATCAGTCTGGACCAGACAATCCAGTGATCAACAACATGAGCATCGATCTTCACATTTGGGATACAATGACATGTGTCAACCAAGTCAGTGAGCCTGATCCCCCGATCCCGTTAGGTGCCTTTTACAACAAGCATAGGTTGCTGGAGGCAAATTCTAACCCATATCTTCATGGGTATCTGTATGTCAAAGACCATCTTGACACAGATGGCACAAACATTTAACTAATTTAATCTTGAATATTTTAACAAGAATAAAAGTGCATATATAGAAAAAGGTTTACCTAAATTGTCGCTACATTTGCATATAGATAGTATCTACTTACATGTGGAGACATGATGTGCATGTGTGGATGAATACAGAAAATACTAGAACTATTCTAGTTTTTGGAGGAATTTGATGCTGTATATAAGTCTGAGAGTACAGTTCCTGATGTAATGTTGATTGTGTGAAGTTATGGTTGTGTGATATCTGTGATATGACATATGTGATAATGTGTGCTATGACATGGTGATCTGGTGTTATAATGCTTATTGTTATTGTTATAACAGCATTTGATAAGGAAGTAATTTAGGAATATGTGTGATAGAGAATGTTTCCTGCATACTCAGGTTCCTGATGGTTCTGCTTGTAGATGTTACAGATACTGTTGCTGTGTTTTACAGCCATGTATATACACTGTTCATGTACCTTGCACACTTATGTATTTATTCACTGGTGTATGATGTTTTAATGTTTAATACAGTCATGAATATCCTGTACAAATATTATTATTTTCACTCATTGTTTATTAGAATATGATAAAGTAGGTATTTACTGTCCCAAATCTGGCATCCTAACACATACATATTAAAAATGGATGAAAAATTGACAGAATATTTTTATTCATGTTTAGGAATGAATATGGCAGTGTTTCTTGATTTGGGAAGACTTAAAAATATTATTAATAATAAAATATGACCTGAAAATGATAATGCTTTACAATCTTCTCATCCTAACACTTTTAGATTGACTTTAATTAATATTTTGAACTATTGTCTTCAGAGCAGGCTAAGTGTTTCGTCACTTGTGGCCAAGCACTATAGTCAATTTCTGGCATTTGTCAGGGACCCCCATTTTTTAACCTGGAACCCTGGACCTCTATGAAAAATAACCCTGGTAAATCTCTGTTCGAAGTGTTCATGTTTTATATTGTCAAATTAGTAAATACATTTCTTAAAGAGGAACCATTAGTAAAGGTAGAACCTTTGCTGCACATGTGAAACGTAAATTAGATTGTCAAAATCTTATCAGATATTTTGTTCCTTATTTAATTCAAATTCCATAAATGATTTTATATTCACTGTTTTTATGTATAAATATCTGTCATTTTATTGGCAGTGGATGAAGTGACACTTATGTATAGATCTTAGTTGCACTGTGTTACATGAATGGTTTCATCTGCTGTTTGATGTCATTGTATAAAGTATCTGGGCCTATACAGATGCTAGTGTTAGAATATTCAAGGCAGATGAGGTACAGAGCTGTTCAGATTACTGATGTCGTCCGTACAGATGTTGATGCTTTTCATCATTATTTTGTAGAATATTCAGTGAAAGTGTTTTTGTAATTGACTCCATGCATTGCTCTGGCATTTTTCATGTTGCTGGAATCATATCAGGTTTTTAAATGTGAATTTCATTATACTATTCAAAAACAACAATACAGTTGGAAAACAATGTCTATTTTATTATTGAATTTATTTATACATTATGGAAAAATATTTTCCATCACATTTTTATTAATTAATTTTTCCTACATTTGGAGTTTGATACAAGTTTGTCGCACAAAAATCCCTCCAAAATTAGCAAGGCATGCATGTAACCCAGCAGCCATGGCTATAGTACAGGGCCTAGATTTACAGGGCTCTCTTAGCGCTAAGATAGTCGTAAGTTAATGTTAATGTATGGCACTTACGACTATCTTAGCGCTAAGAGAGCTTCAAAAATCTAGGCCCAGGAATATGTGTGATATATATGATTACAGTTTGTTACCTGCTTGATAGTGTTGTCATTGTACCTGGACATCACAGATTCCTGTCCAAGATGGTCCAAATGGTTGGTCCAGTCCAGGTTCTAATATTCTTTAAAGAATGTATATGTTAATCACTGCAACCAGATCACTCACATGTCAGTTTATCATGGTTGAGTGAATGGGTGAGTTTAGTTTACGCCATTTTTAGCAATATTCCAGCAAATATCACTGCAGGGACACCAGGAATTGGCTTCACATGTTGTACCCATGTGAGAATCGAACCCGGGACTTCGGCATGTAAATGCTTTAACCACTTGGCTACCCTGCCGCCCCCATGGTTGAGTGAACACATACCAAGGGTAGAAGTCGGAAGCAGTATGTCCAAAGTGACATGAATTATCATTTGTTAAACAACCTCTCCCAAATTGTGTACATATTTTCAAGTGCCTCTGTATGAGAATCATTTTACACTTGTTGTTGGTCTTGAAAGAAAGAGACAGTGTTTTTTTTACATTTTGTGAGCTATTTGTGTGTATTTCTCGTTATTGTTATCAGAATTTCTCTGTGTTGCATTCCCTGGAGGAATGATCCTACACTTTCTATAATGAACAACACTGTAGTATTGGTAATTGTTTTGTGGATGGATGTTTGATTTTTTGTCTGTTATTGCATTCGTTCATCAAAATATTACATATATTACACTATTTTCAACACATTGCATTTTTTGTGAAAATGATCTCATTTTGTTGATGTTTGTGACAATCCACTGCTTTTTTACATATTGTTTTCTGCTTCTGAGGTTTTTTTACACCACAGTATTAGATATGTCCTTGCACTAGATCATTGTTTCTTATTTGACACGACTGAAATGTATTTTGAACGTATTGTTTTGAGGTCATACTGTCACCTTTGGCTGCCATGTTTTACAGCTACTGAATTATCAGTAACGTATGGCTTGTAATCTGTGTAAACTTCTTACTGTGGAAATGATACAGTGATGGCAATTTTGTTCATAAGATTAAATTCTTAACATGACATTTATCTGTTGTTTTCTTTCAACAGGAAATACTTACACTGTACTGTTGATTAGTTGATTAGTAATAATAGAGTCAGGCTGCTCTTATGGATGACAGGCTTCATTCTTGCTTGACAACTGTATGAGAATCTATATCAAACCAAATCAGTCTGATATGGAGTCACATCATATGGAACAAAGACGTCATCAATAAAAGCATCCTGCCTTTATTGTCATAGGAAGGCTATCCAGACTTTCACAGGAAACACTAAGGTACAAAAAGACCAATATTACATTTTTGCCATTGTCGTAAGTACACTGTGGAACAATGAATTTGTAGAACAAAAAGTACTATATGAAAGACAATATTTTAATGTATAAAACATCACTGCTGGGCAATACCCTAACCCAAGTTTCTGACAAAACACATTCTATTGGGCTTAAAATCAAAATTGCCGTAAACATTATATCACTAAAACTTTGTGATGACAACAAGCAAGTAAACATGACCTGATTAATTTCAACTAACTAATCCACTCGGAAGTGTTCGGAAGATATCTCAGAGATATTGTGAAGTAATTTTCAATATCCGAACTCATTTTTGTTCTTTCTTCCAATGGTGTTCCTAAACCATGATAACCTTTGATAACAAAGCTTCTTTATTAGGTATTTGTAGCATTGTGTTATTTTGCTTGTTTCAGGTTATATTTCACACATAATAAATGTTATATTAGTACAAAATGACTGCCCCACCGTCCAGTAACAGTAAATCCATTGGATTGTTAAAAATATAATACAAAACTGACATTTCAGTGAAGTTTCAATGATGCACAATCCCCAAAGGTACCGTTGTTGATCGTACAGCCCATACCTTGCCATGGACGTACTATACTCTTGACGCTAAGGTTGATTTGAACAACCCCACAGATGGTGACCACCAGTGTTTGTCCACATTTACATACCACTGACCACTGCATGACTCGTTGTACGACTACAACATAAACATCTTTTTACGAGTCACTATCAATATCAGTCATGACATGAGTCATGACAGCAATTGGTCGAAAAAAGGTCAGTGTGTCCCCACCCGTAGGTGGCACCCGTCACAAATACATGCAAGGCACGTCAGGGGTTTACCTGAAGATACATGGGACATATATTTTAAGTCCAATATGGAATGCCATCAGACATCTTTTTAATATTTAATGCTTTAAATTGGAAAATATATCCAGTAAACATTTGGAAATCGAGACATTCATTGCTCTCATTTGATTGAAACAATTTGAGCAAGTGTTGTTTGGGGTTCTTTCATATCTTGGTAGGAAGACCATGCCCGATTGTTAAAAGTTATGATATATAGAAACCTAAAGCTGGAGCTATTTGAGGATTGCTGGAAATGAAGGGAAACGTCATCCCTCTAGTCTTGTGGATAGGTAGTTATCACTCTGAATCACTATTGTCTTATTATAAAAAAGACGCTGCGATTCAAGTGGTCACTTTGTTTCAGGTGGATAAATAAGTGGAAGGGAGTCATGCTATTGCATAAGCAATTCCTGTGCATCAATTGGAAGACATACTGTCCTTAATCGCTTTTTTAACAACGATCTCTGGCATTTCAAACAAGAGACGACATTTAAACCATGCATAGGCGTTTATTTGCTCATCATCAGCACAAGGAATCACAAGCATCAGAACAATTATCTAACAAAGAGTTCCTATATCTGGACTACATTCCTTCCTGTATCGACCAGGGTAAGAAGTTCCATTTATTGATGCTGATATTATTCACTTGTATCCTGTTTTCTTAATACAGTAACAATTATAACATGGAGACATTTTACAGACACGATGAGAGAAAAATCTATTCAAAGAGGTACTGTTATTCTGTTGTCCGAATATGCTTATATGCTTTAAGAATTTACTTGTGTGTGACCTCATATGTCTGTCTTTGGTATAGATTATTTGCATTGTATGTTTTCCTGATGAGTGGTGAGATATGTCCCCCTTTTAGTGACATTGCAAGTTTGAATATCAAAGTAAGGGTTTGTTTATGATTGTATCAGTGTATTCAACGGGTTGTAGTATGACATTCTGGATTGTCTGTTTTAACACGTGAGGTGGGTACAATTTCGAGAAAAGCTTAAATAAGAAGAAATATATTTCTCGTTTTGAACTGACTGACTGAGTTTGGTTTTACGCCGCTTTTAGCAATATTCCAGCAACATCACGGCGTATATTTCTCGTTTTGAAGATGTAAGACACAGCGTTATTGGTTTTCCGTTTGATCGATTAAACCGAACGGCGCCCAAACACATAATCAGAAGATTATGTTTTGAAAACATTCTGCAAATGCGATGTTTGGAGAACAGGGCGTCCTCTGACGGCACAAATAGACAAATAAAATGTACATGTTACTGTACATGTAGCAAACATGAAACAGAATTAGTGGGTGTATTTAAATTAACGCGAAACCCCACATAGCTTCGTATGAAATGGAATACCCGTATATTGATCTGGGTACCGTTATGTAGTTTTACTTTCGATTTTAAAAAGCGGGCACCGCTAGACGGAAATTGTGGGAGTTCCCTGAAATGTATGAATGTATCCGTGTCAGTTGTGTAGAATTAATGTTTATAGTCATTCGCATATCAGCCATTCCCACACTCACAGGCACAGGCTCCATACTTCAATCGTTACATACGTACAACGTGCTCTACACGTTTGAGTACCTGTATATGGTGAATGAGTTTAAATACCGCTTGGAACAGTTTTCCAGTTTATCACGGCGTGTCACCTTGAGAGCTTGGGAGGAAAGATCGAGGTGATGCAAGCACCACTTCGACGAAACTCACAAACACGTGTGTGGTGCAGAAAAACCTAGACTGGACATAATCGGGTCGAACCGAACCCACGATTATAGGTTTCTGGGTCTCCCAAGGGAGACAACTCTGCACAGGGCCTCAGGCGACTGGGCCATCACTAACACCCAGTTGTATTCATGAGAGGCACTGTTAGCCCGTTCCTCTTATCTCTCTTTCTATACTCCAATACAAAATAAGTAGGATGCCAAATGGTTTAATTCTTCCGAACCAAATTTTCATTCTTTTTATGTATTATCAGTTATTCCTAGATCTTTAACAAACGTAGGTATATTAATATGGGTTTTGTTTGCGATTCACGGTATCAAGACAAGTATTAAAAAACGGTTTATACCGTTTGTACGCTGAACTGTCATACGTTTGTTTTCTTATAAAGCAATGGGGATAGCTGGACTTTAGAGCTCATTATTTGTACTTCACTCAGTAATACTGAAAATGCAAGAGTCAAAAAACAGTATACAAACAATTTGCATCTTTGGAAGAATAACACTGTCACAATGGTCAGCACCATGTGAGTTGACTAGTTTCGAGATCAGTCTTGAGTGAAGTTATTAGTTCGTTCAGGTGAAGGTGGCGATTAGCTATGAATCGGAAGAAATAAACTCTACTGTCGTTTGGCGTATTGGAGTGTAGTCTAATTTTCATTTTCATTTCATATGACCATTTGAAATAAGGTGTTTGACAAATGGTCTTATATGACAATGACAAATTTCTCTTATCGAGGAGATTGAGGAAGGAGATTTTCTTATACACACACACGCACGTACACAACAAGCACACACACTTAGCATTGCACAGACGCACACAAACACACACAGCATTGTACGGCCGCGCGCGCGCTCGCACGTACACACACAGCAATGCACGGACGCACACAAACAGAACATTGTACGGCCGCGCGCGCACGCACACGCACACACACACACACACACACACACACTCAGCATTGCACGGACGCACTGATAATGTAAATCTTTAGGGGTCCATAGATGTAAAAGAAATAATCATTTTTTTGCTAGCTTTATAAATACATATATATCGACATTTCAAAACGTGTACCAAGTTTCCACTGTTAAAAGTTAAGATCGTAGTTTAGGGACGGGACGACATGCGCCAATGTTTCACACAGACTCTCACCCAATTTCCTGACGAATTCTTTCACAAAAGTTAATGTATTGTATTTCAAGCGAGGTTTACATTTCTCAACTTATTAATGTCTGTCAGTATTTGGTGGGGTTTCTTTTGTTCCATGGCTTACCTCTTCCTTACCCCCACATCCGTATATAATGGTTAGCGGTATAAGTGTATATGTGTTGTTTGAGATGCTAGATACGTATATTTTCCTGACTACTATTAAAGGTATTCCAGTTACATATTCTATCAATTTTGCATAGAAAAATGTAAACGTGTACGTATCATGCATTCTATGACGGAATAACATAACTAAAGCATTCAGTGTCATGGTTACGTTAACCTAGAATTTCATCATCCCCAGAGCAATTATATAACTGACTGAGTTTGGTTTTACGCCGCTTTTAGCAATATTCCAGCAATTTCACGGCGGGGGACACCAGAAATGGGCTTCACAAATTGTACCCTTGTGGGGAATCGAACCCGGGCCTTCGGCGTGACGGGTGAACGCTTTAACCACTAGGCTACCCCAACGCCCGCTAATTATATAAAAGAAATATAGTAATGTACACGCTATATCGAGAAAACAGAAATACATATTTGAAATGCTAAACGATGATATGATAACTCTATAGGGTAAGAAGACTTAGAATGACAAACCAGATGATTACTATTTTGGCCAGATTCGAGTCTGTAGGCTGTCTATTTTGATACCTATTATCACATATTTGAATATGGATATTGCTTATCATGTATATAATGCTGTCTTCAGCCAGACAGCTATGAGCCTTCTTATATGCCGCAAGCTGTCTGGGGTTAAAACCACTTTGAACAGTATTATCACAGCATGTTAGCTAGATGTAAAGCCCCACTTCACGCAGATCCTTATGTCTACCATTTTTGGGAACACGGATTCAGGTAAGGTGCTGACCAAGAACCAATTTGAATTTGGAAATATATTTCATTTTACCCGAAAAAAACTTAACATGAGATAAATAAGAGTTGACTATGGATAAAGACAGTGTGTATAGTCGGCCTAACATTAACGCTGTATGCTCTATTCTACTGTTTCGTCGTCATGTTTCCAATCTCTGTCCACGGAGACGCTGAAGAGGATGCCGGACACGAGGTAGAGTGCCCCTGCAGCCAGGGTCAGCCAGAAGGCGAAGAAGAAACTGACCGTGGCGTCCAGGATCTTAGCTTGAACTCCGTATAGGGTCAGCCCTGCGATCAACAGAATAGCTGCAAAAATAAAGTGCAGGGCGTGAATTCGTTACACATCGTCTATCAACAGAATTGCTGCAAAAATAAAGTCTAGGACGTGAAATTGTGGCAATTCGTCACTAATCCTCTAAAACACCGAATAAATAAAAGCAAGCAATAATTTATCATGAAAAGCATTTTGTCTTTGATATGCAAGTACATTGTAAGGGGTTAAACCTTCACTGGACAGAAGAGTGAATATTGTGTGTGTATTTAGAGCATTTCACCCTTTTCCTAGCAGGAGGACGTTCATTGTGAAGATTTAAATCCTTGTGTGAGGACACAACTCCTTTTTAGAATGGTTGAATCCGGCAATAAGGGTATGCATAGTGAGAAGGATCGCCTTCCGTACCGACCAGAAGGGCATTGAAGTGAGAAGGGACAGAAGCACATGTATAAGAGAAGAATCTACTCCCTTACCGACCAGGGGCCTTATTTTCGAAACATTCGTAGCCCTAAGAATTCTTAACTTTGATCGTAGCCAATGTGTTAAGAATGGGCTTAAGAAGTTCGTATGGCTACGAACGTTTCGAGAATAAGGGAACAGAAGAGCAAGTATAGTGAAAAGGATCGACTCCCTTACCAGCCAGAAGGGCATGTATAGTTAGAAGGATCCCGCAGGCGTTGAAGCAGTTGAACAGACAGGCAGAGCACATTATAGAGAGAGCGACGATTACGCCCAAGAAGGCGAGGCCAAAACCGATTGCCTGCAGTATTTGGTTAGCAATGAACCAATCTGAACCTGTGAACATAGAATAAATACATTTCAGTTGTGTTCTGCATGCGCAGCTTCTACAAAAGAGGGGCGGTGGGGTAGCCTAGTGGTTAAAGCGTTGGCTACAAAACATGACGTCCCATGACGTTTGCTGATACGTCGATATTGAAAGTCCTTTATGGACATAATCATTATATCAACTGGCAAACATACCTATAAGCCTATACAAGTACTGAATAAAGAATTAAGACATGCATGTATATCTTAGCGTCAGGGCCCGAGCGTCTATTACTATAGGTCTTCGTCATTTACAAATCGACTTTATTACTCTTTTTAGTTTATTGAGGTATAAGCGTAATTAATAATGTTCTTATAATTAAATAAGTCAACAATAATAACCCCCCCTTCCCTCCTGCCCAATAAATGAATGAATGAAAGAATTAATAAATGGATAAATTAATATACAACACTTAAAACAAAAACACAGCATACTAACAAAATAGTATCAGAAAAATTCGGCAATAAGGAAATCTGATGCCCCCTTAAACATGATAATGTGCCAAACACTATCAGCCGGAGGAGAACCGTAATCAGGTTGGGGGCGTGGCCTAATTCTTCTAGGCGTACGGGAAAATATGTGCGAAAAATATCCTGGTATCACGTTACATGCCAAAGAAAGAAATAATAGTCAGATCGTCACTGTTTGTTTGAACGCCCCTGTTTCACGCGCATATCTAAACACCACCATCCTACCACCCCACCCACCCCTAATCATCCCCGCCACTGGTGTTTTAATATGAACGTTACTGCCAAGTGACAATACAAACAAGCGCCCGTCGCACTAGTTGCTAAACGTGTGTGTGGTGAATTAAACTGTGGCCTTTTGCATATTTCAACATAATTTCGTTTTCTGTTGAAAAAACAGTCAGCCCTCCCAGCCCTCCCAGGTACTTGCTAAAACGTACGTGTCTTTAATGTACAACAATCACCGGATGGTTACAAAAGCATGAGAGACATTGTGTTTATGAGGAGACATGACTGGACTATTGACGTCCTGGCGTTGTATGAAGAGGATTTATTTTGACTGTCATCTTTACGGATAATGTTTTCTATATGTATATTTTATAATGTTGAGAGATTTTCATTCTTTAACAATTTCGTCTATAAGAAGATTCAGATTGATATATTTCATGTATAACTGGTGCTCATATGTATATAGCATAAATTCACAACGCTTAGAAATCAAACATGCAATATGTAGACTTGACGTAGACATGCTTTAAATTTGACCAAGAAATCAGCACTATTCCAGTTCTATTGTGTTGGCTTCTTTATAATCATCGAGTTTTCAACAAACTAGTGATTGATATTATGAGCATCGATCTATGTAATTGCAACATTATGACATGTATCAATCAAGTCACCGAGTCTGAGATCCCGACCCCATTACTAACCCCGAAGGTTTCAGTGAGTAAATTTACGTTTGACTGTATGGGTAAATAATATTACATTTTTTAAATATTAAACTTTAGGAAAACCCTAAGTAATCTCTGAGTGACACAGGAAGGTTGTGTGTGTGCTGTGTGTGTGATGACGCTGCTCAGGGGAAATGTACGATGAAGGCTGAACCAGACAACCCGGTGATTGATATTGTGAACAACGATCCACCTTCGTTGACATTCCATTAACCAGGACAACCAGTTTGATAACCCAATCCATTGTGTTTTCTGAAATGGCCAGCTGACGAGCACCAGTGCTAACCGAAATCCCTGTAGTGCTACAGGACGTAGACGTTCACATGGACACCCAAGAACATGATCGGGGCCATTTAGAGGTTCCAACCCACACCGGGTGTCCTGGGTACCTATGTGATTCCTACAGTCCCTTATCTCCGTATTATCGAGATGATCAAGACGTGGGGCCACGTGCACAAAGCGTTATTAGCGCTAAGATGATAACAAAGAGGAAAGATGATCGTAGCGCTCAGACCTGCAACTTGGCCCTGCCCTACGCCCTGTTTCACAAAGCGATCTTACCGCTATGAATGTCGTAACTTAAAGTATAGGATACGATAGTATAGCGCTATGATCGGTTTCTGAAACGCGGCCCTGAGCCTAGATTTTCGAAGCTCTCTTAGCGCTAAGATAGTCGTAAGTGCCATACATTAACATTAACTTACAACTATCTTAGCCCCAAGAGAGCTTCGAAAATCTAGGCCCAGGATTGTACAAAACAACCTTAGCGCTACGACTGTCGCAAGTCTATGGTAAGATATCGGAGTTACGATCGCCTTAGCGCTAAGATCACTTCGTAGAACGGCACCGTGGTCAATATATGTTGTATCGTTTGTAACAATGTATCGTACGAAATAACGTAAATCTGTGTTTGACGCAGCATGTCCAAGTTTCAATATTCTCTCTAACGGTATATATACTTTATTGTCAAAACTGCACTTACTTGACAAGGGATTGAAAACTGTTCCTTCGCAAACTCCATTGCTGCAGATCTGCCACAAGCCTTCGACATCCGGAGATCTGTTTGACCAAAATGGCGATGCAAATCCAATGGCATTGACGATGACGCCAAGGAACAGTATGAGAGAAGCTACCTTGAACAACCTTGAGCATCCCACTAAGCATCCCATCTTGCTTTTCGTTCCGTTAACGTCTGGCTTCAATGGGTATGATTAATTACCACTCTCTCATTACTAGAACGGATGAGTTTTGTTCTAAGTGCTGAGGCAAAGCTATAGCGGGTGATTTATTAGGCATAGCACGACCTTCAGGTCACATGACATAGACCTTCGTTTTCATTGGTCCAACAACTGAGTATCCAAATACATGACCGAAATGAAATATTTTGGACATACGTGCCAAGAATGAACAGTCAGCGAATATGATTTATTCTTAACAGGTTGCTTCAAAACCAGACCCGCCCAGCTGAAGTTCCACTGTAATAGGTATTTATGTCGTGTCTGGTGTTCAGGGAAGGTGACTGCCATCCATAATGCATTGGCCAACGTTGAGATCCAAATCGTATGAATATTTGAAACCTGATTTCTCGGTACAAAGCAACATCTGATAAGTTCACCACAGTGGGCTTTAGAGTAGAATGTGTCCTGCGAACATCTAATTGTGTGCTTGACCACCTGGACACCCGGTGTTGTCAGAGTTCTGGAAATCTTGCATTTAGTGAAACTCCCTCTCCCGCTCTGTCTCCGTCTCCGTCTGTCTGGCTGTCTCTCTCTCTCTCTCTCTCTGACCGCATCCGTCTGTCTGTCTGTCTGTCTCTCTCTCTCTCTCTCTCTCTCTCTCTCTCTCTCTCTCTCTCTCTCTCTCTCTCTCTCTCTCTCTCTCTCTCTCTCTCTCTCTCTCTCTCTCTCTCTCTCTCTCTCTCGCTCTCTGTCCGCCTCCGTGGTGTAGTGGTTAGAGCGTCCATCCGGGGAGCGGAAGGTCGCGGGTTCGATCCCCGCCGCGTCACTCCAAAAGATGTTAAAATATGGTACTTGTTGGTCCCTGCCTGGCGCTCGGCATTAATGGGTACAACAAGGACTGGTCAGGTTCGTTGTCTTGGTTGACGCATGTCATCGCATCCCATATGCGTAGATCAATGCTCATGCTGTTGATCACTGGATTGTCTGGTTCAGACTCGATCATTTACAGACCGCCGCCATATAGCTGGAATATTGCTAAACTCACACACTCACTCACCCCTAAAGTGGTAAACGTCTGAGACGTTCGTCCCCTTGGGTTTTCCTCCCACACCAAGCTGCCACGCCTCAATGGGGCGTGATACCCAACTCACTCACTCACCCACTCACGCATGTATAAAAATACATTTTCACATTTAGATGACATTGTCAGAATGTTTAAAATAATATTTCATGCGGATCTGGTGCTATATTATCAAATATAACGTGGTCAGAGAGGTTTTTTAATGTTTTCACGATTAAATTGAGAACCATGTTCTTCGCAATATAAATATGCATTACCAGGTATACGTGGCGTATTATCTGGCACATGAGAAATGAATGTTAAATAATAATGTACAATTGAAACATATACTAGTCGCGGTTTGATGGCTTCGCATGTAAATCAGATGAACCAAGAACATACTTTCGCCAATTAATATTCAGTTTATTGATTAAACTAATGATTGTACTCCTGGGATCGACACAGATTTAAAGATGGTATCAATTCAACTTAACCGCCTAAAGAGCTAACCAACTACTATTTTTGATTCATGATTCGATATTAATATATTCAAGAAATATATGTATATCATGACAACCAGAACAAGGGAGTGTGTCACCAGTGTATTTGAATGACCTCCTTGGACACCACTCTGTTCAACTCAGTACATCTCGCCAGGTACCTCTAGTGTGTCATACAGACCCTGAAACAAATACTACCAAGAAAGCCCACGCAAGTCTAGATTATGTGGCAAATCTAGATTTCCACAGTTTCAGGGTTTGTACCAATCTTTGCATGTGCTGTGAAATTCCAAGAAATAATCGCTCTGCAGATTTGTTTAATCTCTGAAAATGAAGAATGTCTCTGGACTCCGTTTTATTATATCTTCTGATCATAATTTAGGATGTGTTTATTTTTCTGTAAAATACGTTCATTATCAGAGACTAGATGTTAGTCTACTAACACCTTCAGCAGCAATATTACACGAAATCTTTGCGGATTAGTTTTGTTGCTAAATGACAGGCGTGTTTGAAAAATGATTATTCTATGAATAAGCAAAATTCGTAGTTCGCTTTCATTTTATACGAACATTTTCAAATGTCTTATAAACTGTGCCGCTACCAGTTTGTGTTGTATCATATGACAGTCACGTGCCTGATATGGATGTGGATTCCTGCTGCCAGTGCAGGGTGAGTCCAAGTGGACTGGGTCGAGCTGAATGCCCTGGGTCTTTCCTGTCTAGCGACTCGTGTAATGAAATACAAGTCTCCGTGCTATGTACAATTCCTAGAGAACCTCTCTGGCATTTGTATACATCACCTAGGTCTACTTGTCCAAAGCAATCTCCCTTAGCTAACTTAAATACTGCCAGAGAGATTTACAAAAATGATTATCCATGATGGTGGGCGAATAATTATCATGAAAACTATGCTTACTCAGAAAAATACACATCATGTACCTAAAATACAGATAACGTTAAGACCACAAAAGATGCAAAGTAAGAAAAAATATCAGAAAACATTTGAATCCAAAAAGAGATGATTGATAAAACCATCCGTGTTTATTGGATAATTACTCCGAAAACTGGGTGACACCCAAACAGAAAAATGACAAGAGTTATTGATCATATGCGGCCTTCCTTGGCTGTGATACAGGCCGCGCATCGGCGTCTCATTTAGTCGACTTGTCTTTGGAAGACTGACTGAGTTTAGTTTTATGCCGCTTTTAGCAATATTCCAGCAATATCACGGCGGGGAACACCAGAAATGGACCTCACACATAGTGCGTCTTTGGAATGCTTGCGGAATCCCGTTGTATTCCGCACCAAACAGGTTTCCATTTCCTGAACAAACCCCGTGTTTGGTGGTAAACCTACTCGTTATTTGATGGTTGGTGGTTAACGAATTTATAACAGGTATAATTAGTGGTAACACCACTCAGATTACCCGACAATGGTTCCCATTTGGCAGCGTGTTATCGGTTAATCCTTTGATCGATGTTTGTTTTTGTAACTCAGCTGATAATCCCTCTTGTTGCACTTCCATGTGCATTTAACATAAGATGTAATACATTTGCCACATCAGACCTTAATTTATAATGTTGAGTATTTAATTACTCCAGACACGAGAAATGCAAAATGGGAACCTTCCGGGTAAACTGAGTGATGTTACCACTAATTATACCTGTTGTAAATTCATTAACCATCAAGTGAATGATGACAAATAACGTGTAGGTTTACCGCCAAACCCCGTGTACAGAAAGGGAGTAGTAATCGCTGTATTACATGCCATTTTGATTGCCTGACAAAAACTTATAGGCCGACACTGTTTTGAGGATACAAACGGAACTGCATTATTGCGTAAGCAATACATATACGCATTTGCTGTATTAATACCTATATGAAGTAAATTTTCAGATTTTTCTAGCAATGGCAAGGTGGGGATGCTAAGTTTACGGATTCAAATAAATCAAATGTGTGTTTTCAATATCATAGCATATGTACTAAACATCATATTTTTGCATGACATGATTGAATATCGAGGTAAAAAACACAGAATTTTATAGGATCAAATTGGATCAGTCATTATACCATCCAGGCATTAGAAAATTTAAAAAATGTTTACACTGCTGGGATTCTTTATTACAGTCAGACAAGAACTACCGGGGATATTTTCAAATAACGGGTATCCACCTTTCCTAGTGTCCCACTGTTTAGGTTGAAGAAAATCTGCCACAGTGGACAGTAGCCCAGTCCTCGTGCCCGTCACGGTCGAGTGAGTAGGTACCGACAAGCATGCAGCTTGGTTTCGTAATTAGACTGTTGGCGAGAAACTTTAATCGCTCTGGATCAGTGGCCTTTTAAACTTAAAAATATTTTCATTTGTTATCAAATTAATGAGATGAAAATATTATCGAGTAAAAGATTTCCTCTTTGTTGATCAATCTAAACTTATACTATCAATTGCGCATGCAGGTAGCGCAGCAGAGGTCACGAACCAGTCAAGAATTCTGGGATATCATCCGGGTTCTCACGGGAGGAACATAATAGCAAAAGCAACAACCAGTTCACGGAAATTGCTCTGGATCAGTGGCCCTTTAAGGGCTCTGACTTCTCGTCATCGCGTTTTCAGAAGTGAATAGCCATTGTGTGTTCTCTGATATTAGCAACAAATTGGGATGCAGTTGAGATGCAACGTAACATTGATAGTCTGCTGCACGATATGAACACCACGTACATTTCAGTGTCTGCTTGTCTGTCGTACAGACCCTGAATTATATGTACCCAATGTAACCCATGCACAGTCTAGAATGTGTGGCAGGTCTAGATTACCACAGTTTCTGAAAACGAAGAAAGTCTCTGGGGTCCTCTTTATTATTTTTATTTTCATTTAAAACCTTTTTTTCTGTAAAATATATTCATTTCAGAGACTAGCTGTTAGTCTAAGTGTCTGCATCTTCTGACAATGTCCCAAGATACAATGTGTAGAGAGTGAACAGACTCTGGCCTTGGACAGATCCCTGCGTAACACTGAACAGAAAAGAAAACCCTTTGTACACCCACCAGAAATCTCATGTAAACAGATCGATACAGTCCAGAGATAACGGATGCATTCGACGGAGTTGTTATTCTGCTGATACCGATTCTCTTTTCGAATGTTGACAGAAGAACCTCATATTTATATCGAAAGATCTGAAACGCACCCGAACTACAGTTTCATTACTATGACAGTGTTTGTATGCAGTAAATTTGTAGCAGTAAATGATTTTCCTTGATATTTATTCACCATTTAAGCATCTTTTTTTTTTCTCAATCCAATTTATAGAGAGAGGGAAAGAGCGAGAGAGCATCCACAGACATGGCAAAAAGTGCACCTGGAGCAGTTCAGATACTTAACACGATTTATTTTACAATGTCAGATTTACGGATTTTTACAAATTTCTATGTTGACATTTCCATGATCACGAGGAATTGCTGTTCAAGCAGAGTCCACAACATACTCCCGTCTATGTATCCTTACCCGTGAAGATCCGGGTTAGAATTGATCTTGTGGTTGACACATGCCATCGTATTTCCAATTGCGTAGATCGATTCTGATGCTGTGGATAACTGGATTGTCTGGTCTAGAGCAGATCATGTACAGAACGCCGCCTCATAGCTGGAATAGTACTTATTGCGGTGTAAAACTAAACTCACTCACTCACTCATTATGCATCGATGATAGAAAGTGCCTCTGTTGCTCGTTTTCTGAAAAATGGTCTTATATATAGATGTAAAACGTGATAAGTATGTAAACTTTGAACATATGTAACTGTTCTATGGGTCGTTTGGCCTCAAATGCTGAATACACTGTCTGTCTGTCTGATAGAAAATGCTTGAAAAACAGTGAACCTCCAATACCTTACCGGTGGCAGCTGTCGCACAAACACATGCAACGACAAGTTACGTGCAAGTGTTTACATGAACGTTTGGTGTAAGTCAAAATATAGAATTGCACCGGACATCATGATTGTGACGTAAGAGGTTCAGTTGATGTTTGAATGTCAGTTACTTTAGTGTCTCAGTTGACGTAAGAGTGTGACGGGTGTGTTAGAGTCAGGTAAATTGACAGATGGCATGCATATGATCGTAACGTGAGCGTTACTGTTGATCTGTGTATGACAATCATGTAACAGTCACAGGTGACATGAATATGACAGAGACGTACGTGTGACGATTGACGTGACTGTTACGGTTCAGAGATACAGTTGACGTGACGGCTGCGGTTTGCGTTAGGGATACTGCTGGCGTGAAAGTTACAGTTGACGTTAGAGGTACAGGTGACGTTACGGATGCGGTTTGCGTTAGGGGTGCAGTTGAAGTGATTCTTACAGTTGACGTCAGAGGTACAAGTGACGTCAGTTTGAAGCTGACGTGTGCATGACAGTCGTGTGTGTGATCTTTGATTTAAATGTGAGATGGCATGAAGGTTACTGTCGTTAGTGTGGTGGGTATGACAGTCGCACTTGAGTATGAAGAACGTTTGGTCGTTGATGTAATTATTTCAGTTAGGAATGTGTGATGTAACAATTACGATTTACCTGAGTATGAGAGACGTAAGTGCGACTGTTGGTGTAAATGTAACAGTTGACGTGAGTACGAGAGACGTAAGTGCGACTGTCAATGTAAATGTGGCAGTTGATGTAAGTATGAGAGGCCTAAGTGCGGCTGATGATGTAAATGTAACATTTGACGTGAATATGAGAGACGTAAGTGCGACTGATGATGTAAATGTAACATTTGACGTGAATATGAGAGACGTCAGTGCGACTGGTGATGTAAATGTAACATTTGATGTGAGTATTAGAGACGTAAGTGCGACTGATGATGTAAATGTAACATTTGACGTGAATGTGAGAGACGTAAACGAGACCTAGGTATGACGTTGACAGACGCTGAGTATTTGAGGAATTGTAAGTGTAATAGTGCTGAAGTTTGACCCGCTGGATTGACACAGTTCCATGTAATCGTTCAATGTAACGGAAGTCTGACAGTTGATACATTCACAGTTGTCTCACGTGTGACAAGCGTTAAGTGTAACAGGTGTGACTGTTTGACTGTATGACAGCCATCAAATGTGACGGCGCGACAGAGGTCAAGCGTGACACAGTGACAATCGTCAAGTGTGGTAGTGCGACAGTGTAACAGTCGTCAAGTGTGATGGAAGGGTCATACTGCTTTATTGCTGTTGTCTTTTTATGTTCTGAAATAATGACAGAGCTCAATATCGTTCTTGCAATTTATTGATAATCTGACAAATAATGATATACAGGCAAAAATTGTATATATTGATCTCTGATGTCCTATATCAGAGATCACTCTCTTGTCCATACACACAGGTCCTTAATGCCCACATGCAAACTGAAGAAACAGAAACGGATTGGTAAAAAAATAATTTTAAAGATCGAAGTTTAGTTTCCCGGAAGAACAAAAGGTTTAATTTGAGTGTGTCCTAAGTGTGACAAGAATTACATTTCATATTGCATATGTAGACAAACTTCGATATAATTGCCATAGATGCAAAGTAAGGATAGTCTGAAATACCTTTCATAAATTTGTATAGTGTGACTGTGCTACAGGGTAGCTCGTTCGACTGACTGGTCGATTAATCATTGTTGGGGCTGTTGGGGCTGTTGGAGTTGCTGAGGTTATTGGGGTTGTTGGGGTTCATGGAGCTGTCGCGGTTGTTGGGGTTCATGGAGCTGTTGCGGTTGTTGATAGAGCTTGATGTGGATGCTTCTTCCTCATCCATGGCTGTTTCAGCTTCATCCGCTTCGACTTCAGCAGATTCCCCGTTCTCGGCGTCTGCTTCACCCTGGAAAATGAAAACCGTTTGTGTGAGTGAGCATCGTTTTTACTGATTTTATCAATATTCCAGTCATATCACAACACGACTGGAGGACAGAAACCGCTTTCAAACAAAGTACCCTTATCTTGAATCGAACCAGCTTTGACGAACCACTGGGTAGCCCAGTGGCTAAAGCGTTCGTTCGTCCCACTGAAGAGCCGGGTTTAATTCCCACATGGGTACAATGTGCGAAGCCCATTTCTGGTGTCCCCGCCGTGGAATATTGCCAAAAGCGGAGTAAAACCATACTCACTCACGCTTAAGACAGGCATGGGATACTGTGGGTGTTTTAAAATCCACATCAAGGTCGTTATTTTCTGATTCAAAAATTTGTGTCTTGAAGTTTAGAAGATCGAACTATATCAATTCATGACACTTTTTAACGATTCAACCAAGAAAGGGTCAAACCCTTAACCACCGTTACAAAGATTAGGCAAGTTGTGTCATGTATGTGATGTGATGTGATGTGATGTAGTCAACATAATTCTGTTGGAATCCAAGATTTACCTTGTTACCTTCACACCCTTGTTTTGTGTTTTAATATACGTAACAAATTACATAGAAGTAACCAGTGTTTGGACCCTGGTTCTATTCCCTACATGGGTACAAAGAGTGAAGCCTATTTCTGGTGTCCACCGCAGTGATATTGCTGGAATATTGCTAAAAGCGTATTTACCCGCTCGCCATAGGCGGATTCACGGTGTGTGTGTGTGTGTTGTGTGTGTTGTTTTGCAGCGGTGCGCATCCCCACTGTTCTGAAAACGTTTATTAAATGACCATTGAAACTCTCGTGAAAACAAAAAGCTGTATCTGCCCCTGCTCACTTTAATTGAAGTTGAATTTAACACACTGTCTAGCGAAACCACAGGTGGTTCATATTTAAAATCGTCACAATTGGCAGCGTGGGTGAATTATTTTGCGTAATAGAATCCCATGATCCTGCTTTCAAATCAACGATTCGTCCTGGTTATTGTTATCAGTTTGGAAGCGCCATTACCGGTATCATGGGTGTGACACAATTCACCAAAACATCACAATGTCCTTCCGTTCATATGCTGGGTTAGCCTAGTGGTCAAAAAGTCCGCTCGTAGAGCCGAAGTCCCGAGTTCGATTCCCCACACTGGCGCAATGTGTGAAACTGATGTCTGATGTTCCCAATGCTGCAATATCTGTGTTGCTAACAGCACGCAACATCCAACTGACTTACTCTATCATCTAGCAAGATCCAACTGACTCCCCTATCCCCATATTATTGACATGCCGACATGTAACAATTGTACTCTACAATGCGGTGTTAAACCTAGCTCACACCGGGCTGTGGGTTAGTCTAGTGGTGAAGGCGTTCGCTCGTCACGCCGAAGACCCGGGTTCGATTCCCCACATGGGTACAATGTGTGAAGCCCATTTCTATTGTTTTCAGCCGTGATATTGCTGGAATATTGCTAAAAGCGGCGTAAAACTGAACTCATTCAGTCACTCTAGCACACCACCCGAGCCCATGTTGTTGTGAGGTGTCACCCAAAGGACATAACAGTCTTTTAGAAGATGAAGAGCTTACCTCGTCGGCCTCCCTCTCCTCGTTCACTTTGTGGTCAATATCTGCGGCCAGCATGAGAGCCAAGATGAAGTAGCCGAAGATGGAGATGACCGACAGGATGTAGGCGAAGCCCACCTCGAACCCTTGACCAAACAAATCCTCGAACAGCACACTAGCCCGCACTCCATACACCGTCACACCGATCAGGATGAACACAGCTGCAGATGGACATACACTGATGGGTATCCAAGGTCAGTTAAAGCTTATGACTTATGAGTTTCATTGAAAGATGGGACGTTTGGGAGCCAACTTAAGTGCACATCACAAGTCTGGTTTAACGGCATCGATTTCGAAGTATATTTTCCTATAATATTTCACAATACTTTAGGGGACGTGGGGTAGGTTCAATGTGTGAAGCCCATTTCTGATATTGCTGGAATATTGCTAAAAGCGGCGTTAAACCTCTCTCGCCGATCTTACAACATGCCGAGGTTGCTGAACGCCAATTCTAAATAGGAATCCCATGAGGGAGTTGTGTTTCGTCATCAAAATCTAAACTGTGTTTGGTTGGTATCACAAAAGTTGGAGACTTTGCTCGACTACAAGTTTTTCTCTTTCCTCACTCTCATAAAAGGTACCCGTGAAACGCCTGGTTAGAACTGATTGATCGGGTGGTCAGGCTCGTTGACTTGGCTGACACATGTCATCGTATCCAAATTGCGTAGATCGATGCACATACTGTTGATCACTGGATTGTCTGGTCCAGACTCGATCATTTACAGACCGCCGCCATATAGCTGGGATATTGCTGAGTGCGGCGTAAAACTAAACTCACTTACTCACTCTCATAAAACGTGATCCCTGAAGAATCAGGCTAGAACTGATATTCAGCTACCGATGTGGTAAAAGGCGACAAACGAGAGTGGGTGCTCATGATGTCAATCACTGGATTGTCTTGTCCAGACTCGGTTATTTTCAGACCGCCGTGTTATAGCTGCGATATGGCTGAGTGCGGCTTTAAACAACAAGCAAACAATCTGTGATATAATTAATCGCCGTGATGCTGCAGCGTCAACCCAAACCCACTACCTCACTCACAGTAGTATGTGCCTTACCTGTAGCTACTGCAAACGTCAGGGTGGCAATGATGAGAGGTACAGAGCGTGCCATTGATGCAGCAAACAGCAACACCAGCGTCAGAACGACAGTGACGACGGCAGTGATGAAGGAGACAATCATCACACCTTGCACTGCCTTGAACCAATCTTGGGCTGGAACACATCATTACACATAAATCCGTTGATAAATACTTCCTTCAGAATTTACTTCCCTCCTTTAGCATGGTGTTTCTGTAACGATTCCACATTTCACTTTTTGTCAGTACCCGTCATTTTTGTTGTATGTACATAGACTATTTTTCCCTTTTTATTTCACATATTCAAAACGTCTAATTATCAGCTAGTGCAAGAAGGCGTCTGTTTCAGGGTGGAAAGAAATGAATGAAATTGTAAATGATGAATGTATTACGGATAACAAGACAATATTACGTGCGTTGTATCACACAGCAGACAAGTGTTTTCAGCCAGTAACATGTGAAATCGTTTAGTCCAAGGCCTCCTTTCACATAGACCTAAGGTGATCGTAAGTCACTAAGGTAACCTTAGTGCAAGGTTAAAGAATGGGAGTTAAGGTTAACCTTAGTTAAGGTTGCTTCGTGAAAGGAGCCCCTGTTTTCCAGTGTGTGCTTTCTTTTGCTGACAGTCTATGTCTGTGCAAGGAGGAACCAATGCTGGTTGAAACCAATGACTGACTGACTGAGTTTTGGTTTTACGCCGCTTTTAGCAATATTCCAGCAACATCACGGCGGGGGACACCAGAAATGGGCTTCACACATTGTACCCATGTGGGGATTCGAACCCGGTTCTTCGGTGCGACGAGCCAACGCTTTAACCACTAGGCTACCCCACCGCCCCTGAAACCGATGAAGGGCATGGACGTCCACATTATTTTATTTTTTCAGTTTCCAAAGCCAATGACAAACTAAGGGGAAGCACTATTATTTAAGAATAGGCCCTTCACATAAATGCCCAACGGTCGTTCCTACATGGAATTTAGCAGCTATGTCAGTCAGTGGTGAATATTAATATTTTGTCGTGTTTGTTCCGGTGATCACGTGACTTTTCGAAACCTACTAGTGAATCACAAACCCTGGCTTCCACAAGCCGCAGTCGAACATGCGGACTTGGTTTTAACATTTATTGTGAACATGGAAGGAATATTCTCGCTTATATTGGGTATCAAATACCCTCATTAACAAAATAATTTTTAGACTTTCATCAACGTACACAAATACATCTGCCATGGAAATCGGAAAGGAAAGATCCAATAAAACTTACTCTGCAGAAGAGGAGACGAGGCCGTTGATAGACATATTCCGGCTTGACAAGCTTCCCAAAGACCTTCATTTGAGTTGAATCTCTGACTCCAGAAGGGTGAGGCAAATCCAATCAGATGAAGGAGAAGAGCTATGAAGAGGACAAGTGCAGACACCTTCAGAAGCTTGGAAGTCTTTCCACAACATTTGTTCATGTTTGCTGGGTTGTTTTGCCGACGCTGATGTTAAATGATCCTATTCTTCCAGGCTTCTTTGCGTTCCTTCTTCTGCTCAGTGACGTTAATAAGCGTCGGTCAAGTCGACCATAACACTGTCGGAGGGAATGACTTATTGCTTGTAAGCGAAATCCAATGTACTCATAACTTTATATCGATATGGTTCATATACATAAATCGTGTCACGACTACTCATAGCACACTGTCACCCAAGTCACATCATAATGTCTAAAATACACATATAACTTTACATACTAATCACAATAGCTGGGTTGATCCAGTTTGAAATTCGCTTTGCCAGCATTTTGTGTATTCCATTCCAGTCTGTGCATAGGGTGTGGTTTGTATTCGTATATGTGGAAATGTCAATTTCTGTCAGGCTGCGATGACACTGTGTATGGGCATTCAAATCATCGGCGATTCTCCATAATACAATGTTGATTGAAGCCCTTCTGTTACCAATTACAATTTTAAAATTCAAAAGAAGTTTGAAAGAAAACTTATGCATATTTATATAAGCAATAAACCACCACTGAGGCCTTTCCGAGTTCCACTCTAACCGGGACCAATTAGGTCCCTAGTGTGATAGTGTGATAATGGAATAATTTTTGTCTCTTTATCATATGCACAAGAAAAACGGTTAAGAACCGCCCCTTCTTTAGTTTATATACCCCAATCTCATTTGTCTTTGGGAATCATCGAGACTATCTACTAGGTTAATTCTGATAAGAGGGACGGTGACATGACCTTGTGGTCAAAGAGTTGGCTTGTCACGCCGAAGGCCCGGGTACAATGCATGAAACCCATTTCTGGTGTCCCCCTCCCTGATATTGCTGGAATATTGCTATTTGCGGTGTAAAACCATACTCACTCATTCATTCTGATAAGTATGTATGATACTAAGGATATCTGCTGGGTATGCGGTAAGGAAAACTGTGTGGGGTATAACATGATACTACCGGGAAAGTACGTGGTCAGTACTTGCAGTATTAATGTCATGGGGCAGATATGAAATATGATCGACTTGGGTCGATGTTTGTCAGTGGGACAATGAAAACAAAAAACACAATGAAAATATATACATCCATTAATTTAAGGTTTTGAATACGAAAGTAGCGTTGGGTTTTCGAAGTTTCCATTAATTTGTTTCTAAATGTAATGATGTATTGCCAACAAGCACACAGGCCACGTTGTAAGTGTAAAGGTTTGAAATGCAGTGTGCTGCATCTCGCGGCTTAGTAGACTATTACAACCTACATTGTATCAGCTGCCAGACCTTCTACCTAGCTGTAACCCAACCACGTGGACTCTGTGAGGACTGCTTCTGTTATATTGAATACTGAATGTTAAAATATGGGTCGGATGTGAGTATCATTAAAACATCCCTTTAGTTTGAACTCGGGATCTGAAAGTCTGGTCCAGAGCCTCTAACGATAACAGACATTCAGTCATTCACGTTTAAAGTCACGGATATGTTTGGATGAACGTATTCCCTTATGAAAAACCCTTTCTACCTCCTGATGCAGTGGTTGCAGTTGACAATTTATCAAAGGGAGACAAGCCATTGTCCATGAAGTGGTTTCATACGCCCATAAACTATATCACCACCACCGCCAGTGGTTTCATAACTTCATCAAAGGTTAGCTACATCCGGAAGTTTAACACTGCGATCTCGGTAACCTCATCTAAATCTTTCAGGACGAATCCCTGACAAGTTCGACTTGAATGACATATCAACCCTAACAAACAGTAGTGGATCATCACACTCCACTATTTTTGTGCCACTGCCGAGGCCAACACCATACTAAAGTTAGGCAGCGCTGTTGTAGGAAAACCGACATCGCCGTTTCTTTGTTTTCAAGGCAAATTGTATGCATGGAAGCTGATGAAGGGACACAAGTTCAGATTCCGGATGACCGATATGCGTTTTTGTTATTACATGGAACATCATGTTGTCGTTTGTTGACATCCCCTTCTTATTCTCTGTATAGGTCTCATGTATCTCTGTTACCAATCACCTTTCACGTGAGTATAATATTATATGTCTTGGCAGCACACATTCTTGGACTTGTTGACTCTTCCCAGAGAAAGTGGCGTAAATACGTAACCCATTACTCATGAAAACACACATGTGAAACTTCTGATTTTATTATGATTTTATTATGATCAGCGCATCAACTATAGGCATGCTCATAATTGCTCTCACCACAATACTCAGACGCATATGTCTTCGAGTTGACTATAATCATTAGCATGGGTATAAATGTGCAGTGCCGCAATATCCAAGATGCTCTACAAACTGAAACTTGAAACTGTCAGTTTTTTATATTGATTGCCATACAACATAGAATATATCACATGACAGTTCTTTTGCGTTCTTTCACGTGCAGGCCATGTTTGTGCTGTGCTTGTGGAACAGAAATGCTTCACAATTTGGGTCCTTGATATTAATGACCATAATCCTAGTGCAGCGAGTCCATTGAACTCATTTCATAGAACTATCATAAAATTATTACAGTTTCCTACCAAGACAAACTTTGGTGAGCCCAGACCATCTGTGGATATTCCATGTAAATCAACATCTCAGGCACTCTCCGGCAACACAATTATCCCTTCTGTTGTCAATGATGTAACTGTACCTACATGTAACATGGTGTCATGCCAGAACCAGAACTGCTTATCCGAGGCCCAGTTTCAGGAAATTTACACAGAATTAAGCTCTTAGACAAGAAAACCTCTGACTGAAGGCGATGTAACATCCTCTGGTGAAGCGGATTCACGTCTGACCTGGACGAGACGAGACCTTCAGACACCATTAGACAATTGGGTAATATATTCTGACGAGCTTGATACTCTTGATAGCCATACATGAAGAATTCGTTCTTGTAATGAAGACGTATGAAAAGTTCTGCAAACGTGTTATAGAACATAGGACGATGTCTATTCATGAACTCTGAAGGGAATTTATTAACCGTTGTTCAGCTTTCCACATAACCGGCAAGGTCAAAGGATGAAAGCTCTTAAAAACATGCAGCACTATTCGTTCAGCTTTATGCCTGACTTGATGGAATTCTTTGCTTACAAGAGCCAGGTATTCTAACCTTCTACCTCTGGTTTTGGCTAACTTTGGTTACCCAAAGTTTGACATTCTTCAACGGTTTGAACAGTCAAAACCGTGAAGATTCTGGTTAGAACTGATCTTCAGCGACCCATGTTTGTCGTAAGAGGCGACTGACGGGATCGAGTGGTCAGACTCGCTGACTTGGTTGAGACATATCATCGTATCCCAATTGCGTAGATCTATGCTCATGCTGTTGATCACTGGATTGTCTGGTCCAGACTCGATTATTTACTGACCGCCCCCATATAGCTGGAATATTGTTGTGTGCGGCGTAAAACTAAACTCACTCACTCATTGAACAGTCAAACATACAGGTACGACCAGCACTTCATTACTGTATTGTTGTACCAGGAGCAGTCCTTGTCCTTTGTTTGCCTACAACATTTATTCACAGCTTTCATGATTTTGTGACAGTGTTTTCATTCCATATCTCGTTGGTCAGGAGTAATAGCTTGAATTTATTGCGTAACGGGAAGTGTATTTTGGGTAATGGGGGAAGGATTTACTTTTTTATAGAAATGGCTTATTGTGTTACGGGGAACATGTACTAAGAAATATTCATTATGTGAAGGTACATTCTCTTCCCACAGAGGTTACTCCTGTCATATCTTCCTACATAACCTCTGTTCTAATACGACCCTTTCTTGGTGTCAGCGTTCAAGGCTCGTGATTGGAGACAAGCCGATTTAGTTGTGCAATCAGCGACGTTGTTTCAAAAGTGATCATTCGCAAGGCCTCGGTAATTTCCGTATGCTTCGGGAAAACTAGAACCTTCTTCCCGAGCGCGATGCGCAAACGTTTCTTCTAGACAGAACTCAGTCATGTAATGGCGTATCAATGGCGTCTCCATTGCCCTCGTTGACAACGGACAAGCTAGCCATTAAACGTCTTGTGTGTAACATCAACACAATTCCCCGGCAGATGGGGATATTTGTGGCCCCGCATTTGCTTGTGTTAGTCAAATTGAATCTAAGTCGATGTAACACGTGTTCTGATTGGATAGAAAGAAGGGAGATAATTCGTGTTGCGATCTTTGCCGCTAGGGGATTTTACGAGGACCGGGAAATATGGCCGTATTAGAACAGAGGTTATGTAGGAAGATATGACAGGAGTAACCTCTGTGGGAAGAGAATGGTGAAGGTAAGGGTTTATTGATTTGTGGGTAACGTGGAGTTATGATTTTACGTCGCATCAGCATTATTTCCACCACAAAGCGACAACTGTGCTATGACAAAAACATATTGTAACGTGGTGACCTCGCTGTGTAACGGAGAGAACATCCCTTATGCTGGGGAACCCACTGTATAACAGGAAGGAGCTAGTGTGTAAGACGGAGGATTTAGTATGTAATACGGGGGATTTAGTGTGTAAGATGGAGGATTTAGTGTGTAAGACGGAGGATTTAGTATGTATACGTAATACGGAGGATTTAGTGTGTACGTAAGATGGAGGATTTAGTGTACAAGAAGGAGGATTTAGTATGTAATACGGAGGATTTAGTATGTAATACGGGGGATTTAGTGTGTAAGATGGAGATTTAGTATGTAAGACGGAGGATTTAGTATGTAATACGGAGGATTTAGTATGTAATACGGAGGATTTAGTGTGTAAGATGGAGGATTTAGTGTGTAAGACGGAGGATTTAGTGTGTAAGACGGAGGATTTAGTATGTAAGACGGGGAATATAGTATGTAAGACGGGGGTTTAGTGTGTAAGACGGAGGATTTAGTGTGTAAGATGGAGGATTTAGTGTAAGACGGAGGATTTAGTGTGTAAGACGGAGGATTTAGTGTGTAAGACGGAGGATTTAGTGTGTAAGACGGAGGATTTAGTGTGTAAGACGGAGGATTTAGTATTTAAGACGGAGGATTTAGTGTGTAAGACGGAGGATTTAGTGTGTAAGATGGAGGATTTAGTATGTTAGACGGGGAATATAGTATGTTAGACGGAGGATTTAGTATGTAAGACGGAGGATTTAGTGTGTAAGATGGAGGATTTAGTGTGTAAGATGGAGGATTTAGTGTTTAAGATGGAGGATTTAGTGTGTAAGACGGAGGATTTAGTGTGTAATACGGAGGATTTAGTATGTAAGACGGAGGATTTAGTATGTAAGACGGAGGATTTAGTATGTAATACGGAGGATTTAGTATGTAAGATGGAGGATTTAGTATGTAAGATGGGGGATTTAGTGTGTAAGATGGAGGATTTAGTGTTTAAGACGGAGGATTTAGTGTGTAAGACGGAGGATTTAGTATGTAAGACGGGGATTTAGTGTGTAAGATGGAGGATTTAGTATTTAAGACGGAGGATTTAGTGTGTAAGATGGAGGATTTAGTATGTAAGACGGAGGATTTAGTATGTAAGACGGAGGATTTAGTTTGCAAGACGGAGGGTTTTGTGTGTTGAAGGAAGATTTAGAATGTAAGACTGTTTATTTAGTGTGTAAGACGGGCTTTTTTAGTGTGTAAGATGGGGGATTTGGTATGTAAGACGGGGTATTTAGTATGTAAGACGGGGTATTTAGTATGTAAGACGGAGGATTTAGTGTGTAAGACGAATGATTTGTATGTAAGACGAGGGATTAAGTTTGTAAGACTGGGGATTACCTATGTAACACGGGGGATATGCTTTGTAACACGGAGGATTTAGCTGGTGTATGGTAAGTGAGTGAGTGAGTATGGTTTTACGATGCTTTTAGCAATATTCCAGCAATATCAAGGCGGGGAACACCATAAATGGGCTTCACACATTGTACCCATGTGGGGAATCGAACCTGGGCCTTCGGCGTGACGAGCTAACGCTTTAACCACTAGGCTACCCCACCGCCCTGACAAACAAGATGTCAGTGGGGTAATAATGCAAGTGTTATCTCTGATTGACTATTCACCATGGTTAGACTCCACTGGATCTACACTGGTTACATAGTACGTCAATAAGCATCAACGCATATAATGACCGATGCGGGTTTCAGTGGTCACTCGTGTATTGCAGCAAACGATAAAAACAAGGCAGATACAAAATTAGTTTAATAGAAAGATACACATAAGCGTATGATACGCCTTCGTTCCATTGAGGTACTCTCTACATCACGACCTTGACCCTGATTTCGTCTAGTGATGTTCCTCTACAGCTGGTGCTTCAGGGTGGTCACTTGTCGAGGCAGCAGCTTCATCGTGATAGTTGTGGAGGCGGTCGAGGTCGACGGAGAGGAGGATGCCAGCGATGATGAAGACGATGGCAGCAGAAAGGGTGATTCCCCAGGAGAACCCCAGGTAGAAGACGGCGAAATATATCTCGCCTCTGATCCAGTAGACAAACACACCGGACAACAGCAGGGCAGCTTTAAATGAGAATTATATTGAATTTGCTTATGTGGTATCTGTAGAATGCCATCACAATTTTATTCTTGTCGTTTCTCTGCAGACTTCACAAACACCGCTTATCGAAGGGCCAAATAAGTCATTCATTACTGCTATGGAGAAGGATTCAAAATACGTCAGGAAGAGGATGTAACTCTGTCAGTTCATTATGAACAATAATCAGTTTTGCTATTTTCGACCTGGTGTATAAACAATTATTCATCCTACCTGGTACAAAGGCGTGTACGATTGCAGCAATACGGATTGCCTTCCTGTGTGTGCATGCGACGTCGAACATAATGATAAACGATAGTACGACTCCGCCGAGACCAAGGATAAAGCCAATTGTCACAAGGGCTTGCACGGCTATAAACCAGGCTTCATCTGAAACACGCAGAAAATAATGATACAATCACGCTCTGCCTACCTTCCCCATAAACATGAATAAACAAGCCTTGCTCTATCACATACAGAGAATATTCATACAATCACGCTCTGCCTACCTTCCCCATAAACATGAATAAACAAGCCTTGCTCTATCACATACAGAGAATATTCATACAATCACGCTCTGCCTACCTTCCCCATAAACATGAATAAACAAGCCTTGCTCTATCACATACAGAGAATATTCATACAATCACGCTCTGCCTACCTTCCTATAAACACGAATAAACAAGCCTTGCCTCTATCACATACAGAAAATAATGATACAATCACGCTCTGCCTACCTTCCCCATAAACATGAATAAACAAGCCTTGCTCTATCACATACAGAGAATATTCATACAATCACGCTCTGCCTACCTTCCCATAGACATGAATAAACAAGCCTTGCTCTATCACATACAGAGAATATTCATACAATCACGCTCTGCCTACCTTCCCATAGACATGAATAAACAAGCCTTGCTCTATCACATACAGAGAATATTCATACAATCACGCTCTGCCTACCTTCCCCATAGACATGAATAAACAAGCCTGTCACATACAGAGAATAATTATACAATTACATGGTGTCTTGATTACTCAAACAAAGCATAAACAAACCTGCTCTGTAACATCGAATAGGAATAATGATGATAATATGGTTCTCCAGTAGAGATAAAAACGATACTGAAAAATATTGTATTAATAGAAAACTCATCAACTCGAAGTTCCATTGAAACAGAGGGCACCGTTTCCATCGTCATGAGAAATCTCTGCTAAATGCATTGCACGATCCGTACTATGACACATGCATGTGTTCATTATTCACTGTCAAAATGTCACGATAGCAGATGTTCTCCTGCCCGACCGTTTCAGGTACGTCAGTTAATCATGATAGAAAACACGGATACATATGATGGTTGGTTGGTTGTTGTTTAACGCCGCACTCAGCAATATTCCAGCTATATGGCGGCGGTCTGTAAATAATCAAATCTGAACCAGAAAATCCAGTGATCAACAGCACGAGCATCGACCAACGCAGTTGGGATACGATGACATATGTCAACCAAGTCAGCGAACCTGACCACCCGATCCGGTTAGTCGCCTCTTAGCATGGGTTACTGAAGATCAATTCTAACCCGGATCTCACGAGTCCGGAGACATATGATACAAGTCTTAATATGTAATTGAATTGACCTTTATTTGGCCACTTTTGCTTCTAATGTTGAAATGTCCTCTACATATCTACCATAAACCTGTTTAGAAGCTATACTGAGGCCTCGTCGAGCAATATCACCTGAACACCAGAACAGGACTTCACATATTGTATCATGAGGGGCATCGAACCCGGGTCTTCGAGTAAACGCTTTAACCACTAGACTATCATATTCATACTCATACAGACTAAGATTCCTTTTTTCATTTTCATTTTTCTGTTATCATATTTCGTATTTTTGAAGTATTCCAGGTTTTAGACATACCTCCGAGCGGATCATCGAGAGTGGAGACACACACGCTTCCTGTGCATCTCTCCCAGAGTCCTTCGCTCTGGCCATCTCTTGCACTCCATAGCGGCGTCCCGAACCCCAGAAGAAGAAGGACAAAGGCAAAGAGAAACAAGAAAGCTGATACCTTGACGAAGACCGAAGTCTTCCCACAACAACCTACGTGTGTCATCTCGGACGTGTCTGGGGAGTAACGCGAATTCCAACGACTTTGACAACAGTTATATACCATTCCATGGCCACTAATTGTAGTTTCATTGGTTGCATGGTAATGGATATGCAAATGAAAAGGTCACGTGGTGAACTATGTTCTGATGGTTGGCTTTCCAGTTGTCACTGCTTTTGTTTAGAATATTGTGTTAAAAGTGATGTCACGTTTCTCTGTTTACGCAGATGTATTTGTCGCACGCCCATAGTTCGAAGGATTTAGTAGGTAGTAGGCTCCGAATACTGATTTTGTCACGTTTATCGTAGTCACATTGGAAACGAAATATTGCTGAGAGCTTATTATTCACCTTGAATTAAATTTAAACGTGACAGACTAGTGTAGAATAATGTGAACGATGTTCTTTTAAAAGTTAACCTGAGCATCAACAATAGCTATGTATTTTGTAGAAAATCCCCCTAAACAATTACACATTAAGTACACGAGTGAATGGGTGGATGACTTTAGTTTTACGTCGCTTTAGCAATATTCCAACAATATCACGGCGGGGACACCAGAAATGGGTTTCAGACATTAATTGTACCCATGTGGGGAATCGAAACCTGGTCTTCGGCGTGGCGAGCGAACGCTTTAACCACTAGGCTACCCCACAGCCCCTGACAAGTGCGCGAATGAATGCTATTTGACACCGACGGCAGTATATCTCTTCCCGGCAAACCACACGCTCGACCATCCAATGTTGTGAGGTGTGGGTGGGGTGGGGTGGTGTTGCGGAATGACTATATATTCCGCCATGTTATACAGTCAGTGATCCAAACCAACCAATCCATATTTTAGATTCTGGCTAAATAAATTAAAAAATAGTTGAAAGTAATATTTAATGTTTGTGGTATGGTTACATGTCCCTTAAATTTATAGTCAGATTTGGTGACATATTTAATGGCGTGTCATCGTATCCCGACAATGTGGAATGTTGCCAAAATATCAAATATTTTTGCTGATTTTGCTGCTTGCTGCACTCCCCTCACGCTCTGTACCTCTCATCATTGCCACGCTAGCGTTCGATTCAGCCTAAGGTAAAACGCACACTATGGAGTAAGTGAGGGTGGTTTAACCTCGACATAAACATATTTCAGTTCTAACACGCCCTGTCTGATTGGTATGGGAGAAAGGCCAAAAGTGCTGACATTTCTATCTGGAAATTGTGACTCGAATGATGTTATCAGCACAACAATGAGCCCAACTTTACAGAAGGCTTTGTGTGTAACTAATGTTAGTGAACGTTTCTTCATGAACCTCTTTGCTGGTGTGTCGTGGTGTGACGTAAAGCTATACTGCTGTCATCAGATTGTCCCGTCAATCCTTTCCTGATATATGGTGCAACACAGGACAGGTGTACCTTGTATTTGCTATTGTTATTATTTTGCCGAATCAGCAACGACTCGACACAGTTATCGTCAGCAACGAATCAACAGTGTTATCGTCAGCAACGAATTGAGATTTCTGTCGTTAGGAACAAATTAACAACGCTTTTTTCAGCATCGAAATGATGCTATTATCAACAACGTTTGCTTGTATAACGAATCAGATCTGCTAAACGTTCCACCAAAGGATTATTAGATGTATTTTTTTAATGTTTTATTGGTAAATACCGGGTTAAAATGGGTCTTCTGCAACCCATGCTGATCGTAATGGGATCTTGAACAGACTGGATTATTTACAGACCGCCGCCATATAGCTGGAATGTTCCTTAGCGGTGCTTTAAACATACAAAACAAACTGTATTGGTAAAACTCAACAGCATGATTGTCCACAATAATATCGTTCGTGATCTGATTGTATGTGTAATGATTGGTTGTTGATTTCGAAAGAACAATGTCAAGAGACCATGGTTCGGATCCGCAAAACGTTCGTAGCGCTACGACATGCGTAAGCCTATGGTAAACCATAGAGTTACGAAAGGTCGTAACGTTACGAACGCTTTGTGGATCAGGATCCTGGCCCTACAAACCAATGTCATTTATACCTAACATGCCTTGTGTTTTCTATGATAACTGTTGTGCACCCTTGTAGCAACTGTGTCACATGCAATGTACATCTTAGCCATGCATGTCTGGTGCGCTTTATGTTATAATGTGTCTCATTCGTGAGTGAGTTGAGATTGTACGTGGCATCGGCAATATTTCAGCCATATAAGAACGAATGTGTCCCATTCGTGTATCATGAAATATAACATTACAGTGAGTGAGTGAGCTGGGTTTTACGCCGCACTCAGCAATATTCCAGCTATATGGCGGCGGTCTGTATATAATCGAGTCTGTGATCAACAGCATGGGCATCGATCTGCGCGATTGGGAACCGATGACATGTGTCAACCAAGTCAGCGAGCCTGACCACCCGATCCCGTTAGTCGCCTCTTACAAGCATTGGTTACTGAAGGCCAATATTCTAACCCGGACCTTCGCGGGTCTATATAACATAACAAGTTCAAGTCCGAGTAACCGACACAAGCCACTAAACCTAAAGGGTGCCACATTCCTCAAGAACTCACAACAAATTACGTACTTACATACACGGCAAATCAGTCCCCAAATCAGTCGGGGTGCAGTAAATATATCTTCAATAATCTGGAGGAACAAAACTGTTTTGTAGTATTAAGCATTTCTTAAAGGAGAGAACTCCCAAAATAATGACCTCCTAAATTACTCTGAGGATAACACATCTTTCAATGACAAACGAGATATCATATGGCAGACGTTAATCATACAGAGGGCAGCCAATGCTTTATCAAATAATCCTGAAGATTGCACATTCCTAAATTCTCAACAGTGACTGTCAACAAAAGTTCCTTATAGCAGTGTATCAAATAAGCCAAAACCCTAACCAGAGATCAGGGCTGGTAACCTCAAAATGTTAACAGCCAAAAATGGATTTAACCAGACCAGACAACCCAAAGAAAATAATTCAAAATTTAGTTACAATAAATAAATAAATGAACCTGGGACATGTATTCACTACATGTTTGCAGAACTCCACGCATCGATAGGTGTTGCTGTTTTAGTGAAAATATATGACAACGCAGTTCTTTAAGCTTGCGATACGATACTTCAAAACTCAAACAGAAATTGTCAAGTTTAAATGTAACTCTCAATGTGAAAAATAGATTTTAAGATATGGTGAATATACTCAGATGTATGGAACATGTTATCTATTTTTTTACCAGACCATCGGGGTGGCTAGCTGTAAATTTAGACCGTCCATCAGAAATCTAGCCCGTCTCGGACGGTCGGACGGGCCTTACACTGCTTATATTTGGAATATCCAGGATTCTAAGTTGCTTCAGTGAAAGATCAAAGGCGCCGACAGTACTTTATTTAAGAAATACAGTTCGCTCTACCACCATGTATAGTGTAATAAAACACACTTTCGCCCTGAACTATTATAGTTAAAGTACGAGGACGCTTGTTTCCGAGTTTTTAACCTTATAATAGTTCAGGGCGAAAGTGTGCTTTATTTAAGAAATACAGTTCGCTCTACCACCATGTATAGTGTAATAAAACACACTTTCGCCCTGAACTATTATAGTTAAAGTACGAGGACGCTGACATGCATCGTGACGTCGCTTACATTGTCACATAATGCAAATTATTCGATTACGAGGGGGCAGACTAGAATGGCGCAGTGACGCCAATACATTGTGACGTAATGCAAAAAGTTCACATTATCGTCACGATGCATGTCAGTTGTCATCGCCTCGTACGGGCTCCTACAGTAAACTACTCCGTTGCATCCCGTTTCTTGGTTTGCAGTTGCTTCACGCAGCTAACATCACTGGTGGAAACATTACGTTTATGTTTTCCGACGGTTAAAATGTCTCAATTCGACTCACAAGGTTTCAGCGACACGCTAACGTTCGCAATGTTTACATTCCCACAATGCAATCGTGGAATGTCGCTTGACTACTCAGCTTCATCTGGATGTACAAACGTCCTCGTGCTTTTACTATAATAGTTCAGGTCGAAAGTGTGCTTTATTACACTATGCATGGTGGTAGAGCGAACTGTATTTCTTAAATAACAAGCCACGTCGTCAGTACAAGAATCCGGTAAAAATTGCGGAAGATAATAAACAATCTTGGGTCACTAGGAGGGTGACAATCAAAAACACCACAAGGTAACACACACTCTACACTCACCGAGAGGAACAAAAACAAAATACAGACAGACAGACATATTTATTTGTATTACCAACACTATGACAAACGTATTCTTCAACTGCCATGAGTGATGAAAAACCTTAAAAAGGACAATAAACATATTCAACCACCAAGCGGAAAGCAAACCCATTAATCAATATCGTAAATAGCGAATAACAACTTCCCTAATCAATAAAATTCTTCAGTCAAATATATTGCCCGATCACCAAACAGATAACATAGAAACTACTCAATAACACATAGGATAACAAATTAATCCATTTCCGGGACGTATAACAATCACCCATCAACCTGCGAATAACATTTACCTCCATAACCTGTGAACAGCGAGGACAGCAGAATAGAAGGTGAACCGGCGAGTTTGGTTTAAATTGGATTCAGGTCAATTGATTTAACTGATTTAATTACCTAAAGAACACCGACGTGTTTCAATCATTCACACAGTCGATGATAGATATATTATTAATCTAGTTATTACTATTTCCAGGTACCAGAAACATTCAGGTTGCATTACCAAGAAAATTATCGATGAGGTACATTTAAACAATGAATAGTAATTAGCTTCGACACAGAGTGTTAATCAATGAAGAGTGATACTGATTATTAAAACCAGTTTATTGTTGAAAACATTTTAAAAATATACATCATGTATATTAAGTCTTATACAGCTGCTTAACAAATATTGTTATTCTATCATTTTATGGTGAACAGCTCTGTGGGAATGCACGAACGGGGCGATTACATTACTTCAGACAACTTGGGACTCCACATCTACCGTTATTTTGTTCCATACAGCATATAGTGTTGTATCTACACGACGAGAGAAGTGACAGTCTGTTGCTGACTGTTCCTATTTCAGTGTCTTCGTTCAATCTACTCCGTTTCGTCGAATCATTCAATATCCAGAAATACAAACCGAAAGTTGCTTCCCTTAGGCGTCCATGTCATGTCTAAATTTAGAACATAAAGTTCTCGATAAATACACGGGTTACACTTTCTCACCACAGTCGTTATACACGGCCTGATAGAAGGAGGTAGGTGGTTATGCAACCATGATCTAGACACAAACTTAATTTTGAGAATGTGTAGTGTCGTCTCACATCGAGATCCGGAAGGGTGACACGTAGGTGTTGTTGTAGGAAGGGCGCTGACAAAGCAGGAAGTGTCCCTGAATGTGTTCCATGTTTACTCTGCGCTTGGTGAGAATCCTGTTCATACTTTATGTAACAGGTCTATGTTTATGCTAAATCAAGGTGAAGCATTTGTATGGCTGTCTCTAGCATATATCCTCATCGACCTCTAGTTTAGGGTACATGCTTGTTATGTCGTGACCTAAAGGTACACTGTAAAGGTGTCATCAGATTGCCGGTGCACGATGCACATATGCACATCGCAGTAGTGTCATTTATATCTGTGGTGTAACGTTTAGTAATCTACACATTACATTTTACACATTCTTATATCACATGACGAACTAGGCTGTATCCCTACCATACTGACGTGTATTGTCTGTGTCACAGTCACCGAACCACATGGCTTTATTTCTTTTGATATAATGCCTGCATTTGTGGCTTATTTCTATTTGCTATAATGCCAGCATTAATGGCTTATATCTTTTCCGATAATGCCAGCATTAGAGACTCATTTCTATTTTCATAAAGCCAGCATAAGTTGCCAATTTCTATTGCTATTATGCCTGCTATATTCGTTAATTTCTTTTGTTTAATATACCTTTAATGGCTTATTTCTATAGCTATAATTCCTGCAATTGAAGGATATGTCTATTGCTGTAACACCCGCGTTAGTGCATAATGTCTGCATCAGTTGCTCATTTCTATTGCTATAATGCCTGCAATAGTGGTTTATTTCTTTTGATATAATGCCTGCAATAGTGGCTTATTTCTTTTGATATAATGCTTGCAATAGTGGTTTATTTCTTTTGATATAATGCCTGCAATAGTGGCTTATTTCTTTTGATATAGGGGGCGGTGGGGTAGCCTAGTGGTTAAAGCGTTGGCTCGTCACGCCGAAGACCCGGGTTCGATTCCCCACATGGGCACAATGTGTTAAGCCCATTTCTGGTGTCCCCCGCCGTGATATTGCTGGAATATTGCTAAAAGCGGCGTAAAACTAAACTCAGTCAGTCAGTCAGTCTTTTGATATAATGCCGCAATATGGCTTATTTCTTTTGATATAATGCCTGCAATAGTGGTTTATTTCTTTTGATATAATGACTGCAATATGGTTTATTTCTTTTGATATAATGCCTGAATCAGTGGCTTATTTCTTTTGACATAATGCCTGCAATAGTGGTTTATTTCTTTTGATATAATGCCTGCACTAGTCGCTTATTTCTTTTGATATAATGCCTGCAATAGTGGTTTATTTCTTTTGATATAATGCCTGCAATAGTCGCTTATTTCTTTTGATATAATGCCTGCAATAGTGGCTTATTTCTTTTGATATAATGCCTGAATCAGTGGCTTATTTCTTTTTCTATAATGCCTGCAATAGTGGCTTATTTCTTTTGATATAATGCCTGCACTAGTCGCTTATTTCTTTTGATATAATGCCTGCAATAGTGGCTTATTTCTTTTGATATAATGCCTGCACTAGTGGCTTATTTCTTTTGATATAATGCCTGCAATAGTGGCTTATTTCTTTTGATATAATGCCTGAATCAGTGGCTTATTTCTTTTGATATAATGCCTGCAATAGTGGCTTATTTCTTTTGATATAATGCCTGCAATAGTGGTTTATTTCTTTTGATATAATGCCTGCAATAGTGGTTTATTTCTTTTGATATAATGCCTGCAATAGTGGTGTATTTCTTTTGATATAATGCCTGCAATAGTGGCTTATTTCTTTTGATATAATGCCGCAATATGGCTTATTTCTTTTGATATAATGCCTGCAATAGTGGTTTATTTCTTTTTCATATAATGCCTGCAATAGGGGCTTATTTCTTTTGATATAATGCCGCAATATGGCTTATTTCTATTGATATAATGCCTGCACTAGTGACTCGGTATGGATACAAAATATGTAATTGATACTTTACGAATTCATATTTTCTCTTTCATTCATACACAGATATAGACTGGGTTACTTTATAAAGATCAGTTTATGGTTGTAAATGTGTTGTTGTTCGATAACAAAACCACAAGAACGCGTTTTGCAAGTGCGCTTTTGATAACATGGGTGATAACAGTAGGCCAGCATAACCTTTTGGAGAACACCTGTTATCACTCCTTTGTAAGGTGGTATTGTCATGTCATGTGTTTGGTTAGAATGCCGTCAATTTGCATTCGAAAGATTCTGGAAACTGTCCTTATTTCGAATGTTCAAATCTGGCGTTACGGGATGAGCGAGTGTAGAAGTTGTCGCGATTTTGAAGTGTAGAAGCTGACTGTCGTTATTTTGAGGATGAGAGTGTGTAGGAATTGACTGTCGTTATGTTTAGGGTATGAGAGTGTAGAAACTTACTGTCGTTATTTTGGGTGAGAGAGTGTAGAAATTCACTGTCGTTATTTTGAGGGCGAGAGAGTGCAGAAATTGACTGTCGTTATTATGAAGGTCAGTGTGGAAACCGACCAAATTTGAACATGTGAGGCTTAACTTTTGCCTTTTTGAACTGGAAAGAGTGAGAAACCTGACTGTCGTTATTTCGAATGCGATAGAGTTTAGAAACAGTAAAAACGAAAGTTGGTTTCTCTTAGGCTGTTTTGTCACGTCTAAATTTAGAACATAAAAATGTATTCAAAATATATATAAGCATTACACATTCTTACATCAGCTATATTAATATGGGCCCGTTCCAAGGATTCTGTATACAGAGAGCGCCGGTAAGCACATGCAAGGGTATGCTATACGATGTACAACTAATTATAGTGTTACTGGCGTGACCTCTTCATTGTTTTTCCTTAACTGGTGTTCTGGCGTATCTGAATGTAGATGTGCTACTTCTGGTGAATGAATCTCGCATGGGACGTTGGGTAAAACTGTTGTAGGGGGTACAGTGGTAACTGGACCATCATCAGAGTCATAGTAAGTGCAGTTATGTGAGTAAGTTGGCAATTTCAGACCTTGATCGTTAACTTTGTAACAATCGGTCAGCTTCACCCGATACGATGTACTTCTGAGCTGGTTGCCTGTGAATTTTCCTATGTTGCACCATGGATCCTGGCGTTGAGTTTAGATCCGTCATCAAAGAGGTACTCAAGATCACCAACAGATATATTGGTTGGGGAGAAGACCTTTCCTCCTGGGAACTTGGAGTGTTCGCTGTGTGGGTGGTTGCGAAGGTGTTGTATATGTTATTTTGTCACAAGATCTGACACTGGTAACTGTGCATTGGAGAGCTGATCACTTTGTGTCAACACTTCTCTTGAGGACATCCCTCCAGATCTGATGCGGGTGTTGAGTCTAGCGACAGTTAAGGAGCGTGTCAGATGAGTGCGTCAAAAAGATCTTTATTATGCATGAAGGCCACCGGCCCATATACATATAACATATGTACAATCAAAATATATTGGCAACATGATGTAAAACAATTAAGAGTTTAACAAAGTCTGTCTCTTTATATAAGCAGTATATATGAATTTGCATAGATTTAATAATGCTTCATTTGAAGTAGAAGTTAGCAGGTTTTGAAAATAAATATATTTGGAATGCGGTTGTAAATATGTGGAAAATAATAGCATCTTTCTTCAGAATAATATTTGCATACTAAAGAAATGGAATTCATCCTCTATACCGAGTTTACAGACAGGACATGTGCGTAGAGATACATCAATATTTAACCATCTTCCTTCATTTATTTTTAATCGTAATAGGCCTGGTCGGAATTTTATAAGAATATTACGATATTTGTTTTCATGTATAACACTTAAATATTTTTCCGGTTCTAGTAAACACTTACATTCTCTATACAGATTGTAGCGTGAACTGTTGTCGAGAGTACAATGCCAAGATTGGTAGAACATATTTACACATACATCTTTAAAACATCTAAGAAAATCGACCTTATTGCCTACACTTTGTGCTAACCATACAAAGCCAAATCCATGTGAAAAAAGTATGTTACGAATATGAGAAGCATAATTATTTTGCCCAATGTTATCTAAATATACTGACATGTCATATGATTTTTTTTTTGGTATTCTACCAGAGTGCATTTCTGTAAGCTTTAGCCAATATTTAATAACTCGACATAAGGCATTTATATACAAAGGATATCGTCCACATTCACCATATATTATAACATTAGGCGTTTGTAATCCTACATTTAGAAATCTCTTACATGCAAGCAAATGAACTTTTTCAATATTATCATAGCGGCTAATCCCCATACTTCCGCACCATAGAGTAAAATTGGTTGAATTTGTGAATCAAATATTTTAAAGAATACCCTAGGATCAACCACATCAATCTTTCGTAAGTTATATAGTATTTGTAACAATGCTCTTTTTCCTCTCAGTGCTAGATCGTCTGTACATTTATTCATTTTAAACGTGGATGAAAATATAATACCAAGATATCTATATGAATTCACAACGTCAATAACAGAGTCTTTATAATACCATTTTTCTTTAGCTGATAATCGCCCACCCCTTCTAAAAACAACAATATTGGTTTTATCGAGGTTGACGTCAAGTCCCCATTTATCAGAATATGATTCTAAGATGTTCAATTGTTTTTGTAGTCCCGAAGCAACGTCAGATATGAGAATGACATCATCTGCAAAAAAGTAATAGCAATATCTCTAAAAAATCAGGGAACAGCTGTACACCAAATTTACCACTTTCTACAATATCAGTACACAGTTCACCAATAAAAAATGAAAAAAGAAGTGGACTTAAAATACACCCTTGCCTTAGACCGACTGGGCAATCAAAATAATCTGTATAAACATTATCATTGCATCTTACACATGCTGTAACAGATACATATATACTTTTTATTGCAGCCAACATTTTGCCATTTAATCCAGAGTTTTGAAGACAGTACCAAAGTTTATATCGTGAGACGGAATCAAAAGCTTTCTTAAAATCTACGAAGGCAACATACAGTTTCTTCTTTTTTTCTTGATAAGCATTTCTGAATTATTGCATTTAAGGTGAAAACATGATCAGTTGTAGAATACTCTTTTCTAAAACCGGCTTGAAATTCAGGTATTTTATCTCTTATCGTAGCCCAGGTTGTAAGTCTGCTATGAAGAATCCGTGTATATATTTTGCTGAGTGCACTTAAAAGGGAAATCCCTCTGTAATTATCGGGATTACTTCGGTCACCCTTTTTATGTATAGGAATTATAATTGCTTTAGTCCAGTTTTCAGGGAAAACACCTTTTTGAAACAATGTATTAAAGAGTTTTCTAAGAAATGGTAAAATGATATGTGTAGAACATGTAAGCATTTCTACAATTATACAGTCATTACCTGGAGATTTACCTCTTTTTAGATGATCTAAGGCTGATATAATTTCAGAATCAGTGAACTCACATTCAAGAATAGTTGCATCAATATCATCAACGCAATCCTTATCATCTTGACATTCCCAGGTTTCTGTATCACTGGGCACAGGTCTATTAAAAACTGTGTTAAAATGCTTAAGCCACACATCTTTATTGATCTGAGGTGATAACTTATTTCCTCCAGAGATGGATCGGAGCTCTTTCCAAAATGATTTTGGGTCCGATAATGTTGTATTTAATCTGTTTCTCCTTTTAAGCTTAAACATACCACCTAGGGGGTCCTGGCGCAAGAGTTCCTGTTTAAGCTCCTGTATGGCCTTCTCTGCCACAGGGTTCTTGTTAACGTTCTTGGATCTTCCAACCTCTACAACTAATCTGTGACGCCGTAATAGATCATCTTTGGCTAGAGCAGTGAAACCTGGAGCTGGATTAACACGTACCACAGAAGGTGGACCATCCAGAGGTCAAAGTATCTAGAGGTCTAATTTCGAGGCACATTTTGAGAAGAGCATCTCTCAAAGTAAGGTGTCTTTTGTCCTCCACAATGCAGGCAGTTGTATAGGATGTTACACACTCGCGTACCACAAGGATGAGTTGGCGTTCCCGCTTCATGACCTCAGCTGCGAAGAGCATCCCAATGGCTTCTGGGGGACGACTGGTTGATTGGGGGGTCACTGGTCGACTGGACTGACTACCAGTCACGTGGTCTATAGCTTTGTCCATATCTAGTGCGTAGAAGTAACGATGCATTACTTCCTTCATTTGATGGCAAGAGGGGTGATCTAGCTGGATGTGGATCGCCATGAGGAGACCTTCTAATACTGTTCGTGGTACTATGAGGCAGTCTCTGGTAAGGGCAAGAAGTCGGAACGACGAGCAACATGGAGACCGTCTTTGGCTATTGTAGCAACGTTGAGAAAGCGTTTGACATCCTTCACGGTAGTTTCTTTGAGGGTCGTGTGCCTTGAGTGAGGTGGGATTGTATATGTCGCAAATCGGGACATTCTTCCTGAAGGGCCAGCCATGCTGCACGACTGGTGTACGGTAGTTTAGCGTCGCCTTTCATGATGTCCTGGACAGATAAACGTGAAACAACAGAGTCTTCAGTTCTCTGAACAAAGGAGCAAACCTGATACGTTGGGTGGAAGCATTCTTTGGTATTGCGGCTTGCGAAGTCCGACGGGATGTTGGCAGAGCCTGATAAGTGGCGCACTGCTTGGTAGCGACTGACACCAGAGACAAAGGTAGACACCCTGTGGCTGGCGGAAAACTCACCGCAACAAAGCTTCTCAAATGCCTGGACACAAGGCTTACTATCTGTCGATATGCAGGCTCTGTGGTGGGACTATATGATTAAGGAGAAAAATGTTTAACAGCAACGGCATGGACAGGGCTTCAGTCTCATATGGTAACCTCGTGATCTGGAGACCTCTGAGTTTGGCGCTGAAAAAGCCGGCTAGCAATGGCTTTTGGTTGCGAGTGACATATAAGATAACTCCGATACCATGTCGTTTCACTGCTCCATCTGTGACAATCCACAGTTGATCCTCCGGTCTCGGTAGGGTAATGGTCCTAGCATTGGTTAGGGCCTTCTGCGCATGATCGAATGCTGATATCAGAGAGTCAGACCACTGTATGGTATCATGAGACATCATCTAGTGGGGCGATGAGTGAAGCACAGTGTGCAACGACTTTGTACGCCCCGATAAAGGAACGTAATCCGCTCACCTTGGTTGGACGAGCGCAGGAGGAGAGGTTGGCTATTCTGTGTGGACTGGCTTTGATGGTGCCCTCTTGCCTTACCCATCCTAAGATGGTCACTATCTTCGGACCAATTAGTCTTATGTGCGAGGCACAAATTGTTTCGTTGGAGAGCATCTAATACCCGTCGCCAGTGAAGTAGGTCTTCAAGGTTATCTGCACCGCAGTACAAGTACAACTGCACCCTCCGCTAACAGATCGCCTAGGACACGACACATGAGCTCTTCTAGGGTGGCCGTGCAGTCTCAGAGCTGGGCATACCCATCATACACATCGCGTAAGCTCTGACTCCTCTGAAGGGAATGGAGACTCCACAGTACTTGAGTCAAAGTATTTTCTTGGACATTACACTTGAATCACTTGTGGAGTTCTTGCCGAGATCTCTTCGGGGTTCGATGGCAAAGGTAGAGTCGACTTGAGACAATTCCTCTAGGAGAACAATTTCGATTAACCCTCCTAGCCAAATGGTTGTAATTTTGCCGAGGGAATGTGTTCTTCTGATGCTGTGTTGGGAAGGCGAGTCTTTTGATGAGCTGTACAGGTAAGTAGTACCATCACCCAGTATGGCCTGATGTTTGGCTGGACGAACAGTTATATCGTTCAACTCCATGAACGGAATTCCTGCGAGGATATCAACGTCCAAATCCTATACTACTAAACCTTCAAACTGGAACTCTCTACCATCTCGAACACCTGAGAAGCGGGTTTCATCAGAGACATTCAGGGGAAGATGCCATCTGTTTGACGTGCTGATTGAAATGTACTCCTAGGTACGTCGCAGTTGAAAGACGAATCATATTACCTGTGGCACCACAATCGATTGTTGGCCACCAGGTGACCATAGAAAGCAGTCATCGATGGAGAACGTCCGACCTGTATCCGCATTACAGCAGCCTGGGGTGCGGGTCTGATAGCACACTGCAGCTCCATGTCATCATAGTCTTCAGAGATGTCACTGTCTGGACAATTTAGGATGTCAGCAATTCTCCGGGCTTTCGCTCATTTTCCGTTTGTCATGGTCCGGCAGAAATGGGGATTGACTCAGGAAGTGTCCGGAACAAACTTTGTGTCCATTGTTGGGGAGTCGACCTTGAGTCGAACCGGGAGGCCGCGGACCTCATGACCATGACCTCCCAGAGGAGTGGAGCTGTGAAATCTCCGTTCTCCCAAAGCTTGTTTGCACAAAGGACAAACTTTGAGGAGGAGTCTTGGATGATCTGGGCTTGAAACCCGACCGATACACGCACGTGTGTAATCTGTGTGGAGATTGAGTTTTTAACCGTCACCAACTCTTCTAACTTGGCTGATCGCTCACCTATGTGATTAATCCCCTTAGATGCGGGCTATACAGACTTGATGATAAGTAGCGCTGTTAGACGTGAGTACATTGTAAGCGCTGCCACCACGCCAGTATGGTCACAACAATCAGAGACGACAACGACACAGCTTCTTGGTAAACGGTTGTTTTACTAGACACGGAAGCGGGCGATACAGAGAGGTTAGCAAGGGCATGCCAGACGATGTACAACTGATTACAGTGATACTGGCGGAGGGTAGGTGGGGAGGGAGACTGTCCGTATTCTGAGTTCTAGAGATGCACAGTACTGTGTAATTAGCTGGTTAATTTGTGTTACGGTTGCTGATAGAAATCCATCTGAAATTCCTCCAAATGTGTTTATGTGTACAGGCTTGTTTGTTTGTTTGTTGTTTAACGCCGCACTCGGGGGCGGTGGGCGAGCTGTCTAAGGCGCCAGGCTAGTAATCCAGCGAGCTTGGAGGTGCCGGGATCGAGCCCACCTGTGACCGGGTGTAAAAACCTTGGAGTCAACTTTGTGTGCAGACTCTTTCAGTGTTATCACAACCCCTAGTGTACAGTACACAACCCTGTGCACTTTAAACAACCCACGAATCCGTTGGTAGATGACCAGATGGTGGCCACATGAATACGTGCAAACACCTAGTTGTGGGTACAGCAACGTGCAGTAATATTTTGACAAAGTGCTGTGACTATGTGTCCCAGTAATGGAGAAAAATGCAGAGTTTGTGAGCCTTCACTTTCTCTGAAAATCTCTCGGTGTTCGATAAGGAAGTTCTTCCTTGGTGACATTCGCTGTCTTGAATTCATGGAGAAGTGCCAAGGGTCTTAGGCTGATGATGAACATAACCATAAGTGGATCCACTTTGCTGCATGTATGTATCTGCAAAATAATGTATGTGATTAAAACATGTAAAGATGATGAAAATATTTATGTTTCCTTAAGGACGATTGCGGTCAACATGGAGATCGGGACACGGGTACTCCGTGGCCCTGACTGGGCAGGCGGTGACATTGACGGAGGTGAAGGTCACCTAGGGACTGTTGTCAATGTACTAGGGGAGACAACCTGCGAAGTGCTATGGGACAATGGAAAACAGGGTACATGTCGTTCGGGAGCACAAGGGAAACACGACTTGCTTGTGTTTGACACTGGTCCAGCAGGTGCGTGCTTTTAAAGTAAAGCCACGTTAACTTGAAGTGCTCGAGTAATCCGTATTTCGAGATAAGTGGAGCACTGATTGTCTTGATGGGATACTGGTGGTTTCTTTGTCTTAAACGACGCACAAAGGTAACAGTTATGTGATATATATCGATTTAGAATAGGTATGTCAAACATATCACTCCAGGGTATGTGTTAATACTAGCTTACAGTGAATTGAATCGTATCGAATATTGATATCGAATTATGTGTGTTTGAATATCTTTTCAGGACTGCAGCATACGGGAATTCTTTGTAACGGATGTGACGCATTTGGAATAGCAGGAGCACGCTGGACATGCAGCACGTGCAAGACGTGCAATCTGTGCAGCGTGTGCTATGGGAACGCTGAACATGATATCACCCATGACTTTATCAGATATGACACGCCAGGATGCGAAGGGTAATATTCTATAATTTTTCACACATGGTTGGTTGGTTTGTTGTTGAACGCTGCACTCAGCAGTATTCCAGCTAAATGGCGGCGGTCTGTAAATAATCGAGTCTAGACAAATCAGTGATCAACAGCATGAGCATCGATATACGCAATTTGGATCCTGGGGGATGACGAACCTGACACCTATTAGTCGCCTCTTACGACAAACATGGGTTGTTGAAGACCAATTCTAACCGGGAACATGAAGTTAGAAACGGATTCGGGATTGGGGATTCGAATCCCGAATCTGAATTTTTCATATTCGAGATTCGATGAAATACACAATGCCATTTTAGAAAATGATGAAATGTAACATATGTTATATTTGGGATTACACTTTCTTAGTAAAGTACAGATTCTAGTACTTTTGGGTTGAGTCCCATCAGGTCTAGGCGTCTGACTTTGTGTGCTGGCGATTAGGTGCCTGACTCTGAGGGTGTGGGTGCGAATCCCAGATGGGACTCAACACAAAAAGGTACTAGAATCTGTACTTTACTAAGAAAGTGTAATCCCAAATATAACATATGTTCGGGATTCGAATCCCGAATCTGAATTCTTTTTCATAATTGGGATTAGGATCCCGAATCTGAATTTTTTTCATATTCGGGATTTTTCTTTTGCACATTCGGCACTCGGCACTCGGCACTCGGCATTCGTATTTGGTATTTGAACTCTTATTATGCATTTCATTAAAACATTTGGTGAGCGAGTGAGTGATTTTAGTTTTACGCCGCACTCAGTAATATTCCAGCTGCATGGCGGCGGTCTGTAAATAATCGAGTCTGGACAAGACAATCCAATGATCAACAGCATGAGCATCGATCTGCGCAATGGGGAACCGATAACATGTGTCAACCAAGCCAGCGAGTCTGACCACCCGATCCCGTTAGTCGCCTCCTACGACAAGCATGGGTTACTGAAGGCCAATTCTAACCCGGACCTTCACGGGTATTAACACATTTGGAATTCGGAACTTCAGCGTCCCTGTAACTATACTCTTTGCACCTTCATCTGTCAAACCTATCTATCCTCGACGTTGCCGTGCAGATAGTCAACGGTCCAGAAGCTCTTCCCTGCTTGCAGGCGTCAACCCTCGATCACGACCGAGCAAAGACGAACAAGGTCAATATTCATTATTTCATCCCCCCTTCTAATGTACTAGGTGCTCGTTGTATACGTGGGTATTTTAAAAACATAAACAACCAAACTACAGTTTTCGATATTTGAACCTCAAATCTGAGTTTTTTTAACATTTGGGTTTCGGGATTTGAATCCCGAATCTGAATATTTTTTTCATATTTGGGATTCGAATCCCGAATCTGCTCATATGACGACGTGCATGCGTGTGTATGTGTATGTGCGGCTGCTTGTACTAGCCCAGACTTAAGCTGGTTTTATAGTGCTACCCCACTCAGACACATTATACTGACTCCGAGCCGACCAGTCCTTGTTGTACCCATTAATGCCGAGCGCCAGGCAGGGACCAACAAGTACGATACTTTAACGTCTTTTGGTATGATGCGGTCGGGGATCGAACCCGCGACCTTCCGCTCTCCGGGCGGACGCTCTAACCACTACACCACGGAGGCGGTCTCAAAATTAGATAGGCACTGTAATCAGATCATTACAGAAATGGACATAATAAGCGGATCAAAAACACTTTTGGTGTACAATATATTGACACATCGATGAATACCTCACCACAATGCCAAGACATTACGTCAACGTTTGCAGTCCATTCAGACTCTTGACTTCAGTATCTAGTGTGACCACCACGAGCGGCAATAACCGCAGCACAGCGTCTATGCATGGAGTGCACCAATCGATTGATGAAGGCCATTGGCACCTGGAACCACACTCTGAGAAAGGCCTGGCGCAATAAATTGGCTGTGTTCGGCCTTGGTATGACATTGTTCAGTCTCCTCTGAATTCCATCCCAAAGATGTTCAATTCGGTTTAAAGCAGGACTAAGGGCTGGCACTGCATAATGTTGACACCGTTTTGCTGTAAGATGTCAGCAGTATAGGCCCGAGCGTTATCATGCTGGTAAATGTTGTTCCGGTGACGTGCGAAATGTGGTATGACGTGGGGTCTGAGAGCTTGGTCGATGTAGCGCACTGCGGTGATGCCGCCTCCTCTCCCTGGACCAAAGTTCTGGAACACCACAGGACCCACTCTCTGGTTCAGGCCTATTCCACCCCATACCATGATGCTTGCGCCTCCCCATGAGTCTTTTTCAATAACACATTGGTCTGAGTAACGCTGGCCATGTCGTCGCCATATTCTTGTTCTACCATCTGCAGTTGATACGCAGTACCGACTCTCATCTGTGAACAGAACAGTTCTCCATTGCCCGTATCGCCAGTTTTGGTGTTGTTGGGAAAACTGTTGTCTTTCACGCCGATGACGAGGGGTGAGGATAGGTCCACGGTAAGGTCTACGGCAATGGATGTTCGAGCTGTTAAGACGTCAGTGTACTGAATCAGTCTTCCGTGTGTTCCCCCTGTCTGGCGTGCTGTTTCGGATGCCTGCATGAAGGGATTCTGTACATGCTGTCGCACAACATGGCGGTCTTGTCTTGTGGTCACCCTTGGTCTGCCAGTACGTGGGCGATCATTTGTGGTGTTTGTGGCCCGGAAACGTTGCTGCAGCCTGTAGATGGTCCGAACGTTGACCTGGAAGTGATTGGAAACGGCTTGTGCAGTGTGGCCAGCTTCAAGTCTTCCTAGCGCCTGGTTCCTCTGAGCTGTCGTAAGTCGCGGCATCCTGCTGACGTTGCAAGGTGAATGTTTCAGTTGCAGTTGCATGAAAAACATGGAGAACACCATACCATCTCCGAGATCAGGTTTCGTTTTTGAGACGATTTCCTGGGTTCCATTCTGAGTTTGGGAAGGAATGTCTTTGCTCAGGTAAAGTTGGAGATGTTGTCAAAAATATACAATCAAAACATTAAATGAGTTCACAGTTATCCGTTTCTGTGAAGGAAACTTCGAAACTGACGTTTCTTTTGCTGCATTGTATACATAATCACTGAACTTTGCGGGGATTATACATAATCACTGAAAAGTATTCTAGAATTTGAGACATATTCCCTGAAATCACTACTTGTATAGTTTGAGGTATATTTCTTCCACAAAGATGTGAAATTAGACTTTTGTATTAAGCAGGATAGAGACGTTCCTTTGCTACCATGATATCTTTATTCAACATAATAGATGTACATGATGTGCATAAGGAAAAGCATGATGATCATGTTTGGAGAACATCAATTCAGTTTTTATTTTGACAAGACAGTGATGAGTGGCACGTTGAATTACATTTTACACCAGCCTTGTAGCATTTGCATCTATTTTTCTGGCACCTCTTGACTCCAGCGCAATTGCACTTAACAAAGCCTTGTCCACCACAGGCTGACCCAAACTGGACTGCTAAGCGTAAGGAGACGAGTTTTTCAGTAGACATATCCTCTAAGGTGTACGGAGCTGTGGCGCACACATCAAATTGAAATTACGAGAATATTTTCCAGATAAAACACCAGCTTTGACAGCAGTTGTGTATATCCCACTGTCATTAATGGGATCAGCTCTAATAGTAATAGTAATAGTCCGCTTATATGGCGCTCATCTCCAGGCACATTGCCTGATCACGGCGCTACGTACATTACTATCCCCGGTAATAGGACACTATCGTACGTTCCGATACTCTTTCAACTCCCTTGCGATCATAAAGCCATGCTGTCTGTTAGGCGCAATAAATTAAACATTCACACTGCCAGCACACCCTCACGGGTACCCATTTTACAGCTGGGTGAACTGAGACAATGTGGATCTAAGTTTTTGTCCAAGGATACTACGCAAATGTGCCCACCTCGGGACCCGAACATAGGTGCCTCCACCGGGAATTGAACCCGGGCCTTCAGCATTATAGACTGACGCCTTACCACTGCACTATTGCGATCTACCTCTGTCCACGGATGGGATGGGAACTGTAACGTTGTCACCAACGTGAACTTCTGACAGAACAACTTTACTTCTTTCCACCATGGAATAAAATTCAGATTCGGGATTCGAATCCCCAATCCCGAATCCGTTTCTAACTTCATGTTGCTTTCTAACCCGGATATTCAGGGATCTGTTTACATATGTATTGATCAAATTCAACATTTGAATGACCATGAGACAAAGTATGAGTGAGTGAGTGAATATTTCAGCCATATCGTGACGAGAACAATTTAATTTATATCAATATTAAAATCGATAAATTTAGAACATAAAAAAATATCATCGAAGGACAGTAAAACAACTTGTTTATCACAAATATAATTTTAAAACTAGTAATTAAATTTAAAACATTTTAACTATACATGTCAAGACAATATAAAAACAGGCTATAAATCGCCTGAAGGTAGATCACCATACTAGGGACCATGGGGACTCACAGTACCTTTGCTACCTGCATGGACCCTGTCTGGATTTACATCATCCCTTCAGCGCCTGGCAATTGTAGGAAAGTTTAGCCAAAATTAATCACAAAATTACTACGTTTTAAAAATCCTGGTAAGTATGAAGTTACTTTGAAAGTTTGGGCACTTACGAGACAAAGTATGAAAGTAAAAGTGTTGTATGTGCTTCTCACATGTGGCAGGTGATGAGGGTTTTTAACAATGAGGTGTATGTTTTAAGCGGCGCCAGGATTTTAGGGTTAAGGTTTACCAGGTCGTGGCACTGGGTTTGGGGGTTTAGGGGACAAACTATGAAGGTATTCAAAACCGCATTGCCATACGCCAACACCACGCCCATAATGTCCTTTCACTTGTTTTATGTTGCAGTGGATGTGTCCCACTACACCCATAATGTCCTTTCACTTGTTTTATGTTGTAGTGTCAGTGTCCCACTACGCCCATAATGTCCTTTCACTTGTTATCCCCGCAACGCGTTTTGCGGGGTGGTGTGTGTGGTGGGGTGGGTTGGGGTTGTATTAAAATGGATCCGTCCGTCCGTCCGTCCGTGCACTTTTGTCTTTTCCGAAGCAGAACTCTAAAACCGTTCACTATTTCTTCACCAAACTTGGCACATAGATTGGTCTGGCGGTGTACTGGTGCCTTTTGGTAGTTTTGGAATTCTGAATAAAATATTGTTGGCGTTTCCATGGCAACAATTTCGACTTAGACTGAAATTAGTGGTAGTGCTCTTTTCCGGAGCAGAACTCTAAAACCGTTCACTATTTCTTCACCAAACTTGGCACATAGATTGGTCTGGCGGTGTACTGGTGCCTTTTGGTAGTTTTGGAATTCTGAATAAAATATTGTTGGCGTTTCCATGGCAACAAGTTTGACTAAGACTGAAATTGGTGGTAGTGCTCTTTTCCGGAGCAGAACTCTAAAACCGTTCAATGTTTCTTCACCAAACTTGGCACATAGATAGATCTGGTCTACTGGTGCCTTTTGGTAGTTTTGCCTAAAATATTGTTGGCGTTTCCATGGCAACAATTTCGACTTAACTGAAATTAGTGGTAGTGCTCTTTTCCGGAGCAGAACTCTAAAACCGTTCACTATTTCTTCACCAAACTTGGCACATAGATTGGTCTGGCGGTGTACTGGTGCCTTTTGGTAGTTTTGGAATTCTGAATAAAATATTTTTGGCGTTTCCATGGCAACAAGTTTCACTTTGACTGAAATTGGTGATAGTGCTATTTTCCGGAGCAGAACTTTAAAAACCTTTCAATACTCTCCTTCCACTTTTCTATGTACACAATCTAAACTCGTTGACATAATCATGAAGAGTATTTTACCATTGCGGGGGATATTGATGAATTTCTCTTCTTGTTTTATGTTGTAGTGTCAGTGTCCCACCACGCCCATAATGTCCTTTCACTTGTTTTCTGCTGTAGTGTCAGTGTCTCACTACGCCCATAATGTCCTTTCACGTGTTTTATGTTGTGGTGTCAGTGTCCCACCACGCCCATAATGACCTTTCACTTGTTTTCTGCTGTAGTGTCAGTGTCTCACCACGCCCATAATGTCATTTCACTTGTTTTATGTTATAGTGTCAGTGTCTCACCACGCCCATAATGTCCGTTCACTTGTTTTATGTCGTAGTCTCAGTGTTTCACCACGACCATAATGTCCTTTCACTTGTTTTATGTCGTAGTGTCAGTGTCCCACAAAGCCAATAATGTCCTTTCACCCAGTGTCTCATCAATAATCCGTTCACTTGTTTTATGCTGTAGTGTCAGTCCTCGCCCATAATGTCCTTCTCACTTGTTTTACTGTAGTGTCAGTTTCTCACTACGCCGATAATGTCCTTTCACTTGTTTTATGCTGTAGTGTCAGTTTCTCACCACGCCCATAATGTCCTTTCACTTGTTTTATGCTGTAGTGTCAGTGTGTCACCACGCCCATAATGTCCTTTCACTTGTTTTATGCTGTAGTGTCAGTTTCTCACCACACCCATTATGTCCTTTCACTTGTTTTATGCCGTAGTGTCCACGCCCATAATGTCCTTTCACTTGTTTTATGTTGTAGTGTCAGTTTCTCACCACGCCCATAATGTCCTTTCACTTGTTTTATGCTGTAGTGTCAGTGTCTCACCACGCCCATAATGTCCTTTCACTTGTTTTATGCTGTAGTGTCAGTGTTCACCACGCCCATAATGTCCTTTCACTTGTTTTATGTTGTAGTGTCAGTGTTTCACCACGTCCATAATGTCCTTTCACTTTGTTTTATGTTATAGTGTCAGTGTTTCACCACGTCCATAATGTCCTTTCACTTTGTTTTATGTTATAGTGTCAGTGTTTCACCACGTCCATAATGTCCTTTCACCAGTGTCTCACCACGCCCATAATGTCCTTTCACTTTGTTTTATGTTATAGTGTCAGTGTTTCACCACGTCCATAATGTCCTTTCACTTTGTTTTATGTTATAGTGTCAGTGTCTCACCACGCCCATAATGTCCTTTCACTTGTTTTATGCTGTAGTGTCAGTGTCTCACCACGCCCATAATGTCCTTTCACTTTGTTTTATGCTGTAGTGTCAGTGTCTCACCACGCCCATAATGTCCTTTCACTTGTTTTATGCTGTAGTGTCAGTGTCTCACCACGCCCATAATGTCCTTTCACTTGTTTTATGCTGTAGTGTCAAGGTCCCACCACGGAGAAGAAGCGTTCGAATACAAGCTATGGGCTTATTTCCAAAGGCAAGAGTTACACGAGGAAACCACTGGTCATCGAAAGATGAAGATGGTGAACTGCACATCTATATACTACTCAAAAGAATTAAAGAGCACCTGTATTGAAGGGTTGTGTGTGTTACAATACCTGCTAGCCAGGACAGTTTAGCTATAATAACATGAGAAAGAGCAATTGTTCTTCAGTTTCTTTTCAGTAATGTATCATAATTCCATTGTATATTCATAAAGATAATTGCTGAATTCTTTAGTGATCTATTCTGTACGTTTATAAGGGACCGTTCGTAATTTATGGCTAGGTGTGTGTGTGTGTGTGTGTGTGTGTGTGTGTGATGATGATGATTTTATGGAGAAGCATGTACAATATGAATGACCCCCCAAAAAAAAAATTCATATACAAAATAAGTGACCCCCCTACATGTCATGTACAAAATCAATGACCCCCCCTCCCCTACCCATAATTTCTAAGCATAATTTTAAACATATTTTTATGAACAAAATTGATGACCCCCCTAGTATGTGTGTACAAATTTGATGACCCCCCTAGCTCGCCAGAACAAAATGGGTGACCCCCCTTAAAATCATCATTTCCACACCCACCACCCACCACCACCAACCCCTTAGCCATAAATTATGAACGGTCCCTAAGGATTTGTTTTTTGCATGATACGAGATTTAATACATCCAAAATTCAATTAAATAACGACCCAGAAGTTGCTGGTTTGCTGATACGAATTACAAGAGCTGAATCTGAAGTCATAAGCCGTTCTACAGCTTAAAATCTGAATTACAATTATAAGTTTAATACGATTATGACGTCGCAGGCGGAAAAGACTGTGAAGGTGAAGTGAAGGCTGTTGAGGACCACCCATGTGGAACCTCGTTCAGGAGCATGGTGAAAGTCGTGTGGGATTGCGGAAACACCGGGTCGTACCCTGCTGCCCATGAGGGTAAGGTGGAGGTCAAGTTTGTCACAGAGTATCCGGGAACGTTTTACTACAGGGATCATTTGGGGCTGTTCACCGGGTCCGGAAATGCAGCAAAAGATGGAGCAAAACATGGTATATATATATTTGTTTAATTTATTTTAAAATCACTACTTAACTCAAACAAATGAAACATTTAACACATCTTTCAAATGTAGACCACTTACATAAGGTGGTAGGAGCCTCATCATTTTAAAACGTTTTCTCTGGAGCAATTCACGTCCACTCACACACATATAGTCATCTAGACGTTGCGAGAAAACGATTACACGAGACGAGAAACCTATAAAACAGTGCGAAAAAAGATAAATAGTATCGCTTTCTCGTCTTGTGTTATTGTTTGTGGTTTCTCGCGGCCGTAAACGATGTCCCCTCTCGGTCACCTTACACACAAAATCGTAAAGCGGGTTATAATCGGTCTTCAGTAACCTATGCTTGTGCGTAAGAGGCGACTAACGGGATCGGGTGGTCAGGCTTGCTGACGTGGTTGACACATCGATGCTGATGGTGTTGATCACTGGTTTGTCTGGTACAGACTCGATTATTTACAGACCGCCGCCATATAGCTGGAATATTGCTGAGTGTGGCGTTAAACAACAAACCAATCGAATCCAATTCAAACATCAAAATACATAAAGATCGTAGACGAACGCAGACACAACCAGTTGGAGAGTGGGACGATGGAACAGCTATTTCTAAAGAATTCTAAATGTGACGTTGGTGGGACATTGTTAAAGACGACGTTAAATTCAACCAGTCACATCACATGACTCACTTATGCGCCAACCATGCAGTATGGACGAAAAGCTTTAAATTCCAATATACGTATAACCAACGCCAGTACCTTTCTGCTTTTAGCACAGCGACAGTCCGTCCCCAGAGTCACGTTATCCCAGGGTGATCGTGTGTGTATACGTGTGGCCACAGAGGAACTACAACAGCTACAAGAGAACATCAATCAGTGGAATCCCGAAATGCTCCGCGTGTGTAAACATCATTTTCCTAATAACGATATATTTTAATTTTTAATTAGTAAATAAACGCGTTTCTCACAGTACATTCCATGGATAGATATTGTCCCACTTAGTCTATTCATAAATCTAGCTAATTGAGGAATTTATGATACAAATTTTAAAATGGTATAGGTCAAGTTGTAAGATATTACCACTAGAAGTCGTGTTCATGCTGTACACATAGTGCTTGCCGATGTATGGAACTGTCAAGGGCTACAAGAAGACGGGCCAAGTGGAGGTAACCTTCTCAATCAGAGGAATTTGTGAAGGAGGAACGCACGTCGTAAACGAAAAGGCGTTGAAAAAGGTAACGTTTATACTCGCTATAGGAAATGTGATAAACTGTTCTTAAACACATTTTAAATTAATCATTCACTCACTCTTGTCGTAACTCGCCACTAAGACACACTTCGGCTACTACCCGTTAAGATCAGGGTTAGTAATGGCCTCCAGTAACGTTACCCCATGCTTGTCGTAATCTTTTCATTTTGAGGCGACTAACGGGATCGGGTGGTCAGGTTCGCTGACTTGGTTGACACATGTCATCGTATCCCAATTGAGCAGAACGATGCTCATGCTGTTGATCACTGGATTGTCTGGTCCAGACTCGATTATTTACAGACCGCCGCCGTATAGCTGGAATATTGCTGAGTGTGGCGTTGAACAACAATCAATCAAGCAATCATTTCGGCTACATTCGCTACTGAGACACACTTCGTCGGTGGTTATGGGAAGGAAAACACTACCGAATCTAGATGTACACGGTTCAGACAAACCAGTGGTTGACAGTTTGAGAGCTGATATGATGCTGTTCAAAGCTGATTTGAACCCTACTCATCTTTATTTTCACAGATTGACACTTTCAAAGTTGGCGACAGCGTGCGGATCATAGCAGATGAAAATGAAATGAAACGATATCAGTTTGGCCATGGTGGATATAATCCCATTATGGCACGGGTAGGTCAATATGTAAAATTTATATCTTCATAAGGACTACAGCTGTCAAATGTATGCAAGCCTCCATGCCCTCTGTTATATTGAACTTGCTTTCAAAATTAAGCTGCAGTTACGGTTAAAATCTGGATACCACACCGGATTAAAATCCAGAACCCTTCGGAGCGTTTGTCTGAAAGGGCCGAAACGTTAGCTTGTGTGTATAGTTGGTAGGTTTATCGTTTAACGCCGCACTAAGCAATATTCCAGCTATATGGCGGCGGTCTGTAAATAATCGAGCCTGGATAATACAATCCAATGATCAACAGCATGAGCATCGATCTACACAATTGGGAAACGATGACATGTGTCAACCAAGTCAGCGAGTCTGACCACCCGATCCCGTTAGTCGCCTCTTACGACAAGCATGGGTTACTGAAGACCGATTATAACCCGGATCTTCACGATTTTGTGTGTAAGGTGACCGAGAGGGGACATCGTTTACGGCCGCGAGAAACCACAAACAATAACACAAGACGAGAAAGCGATACTATTTATCTTTTTTTCGCACTGTTATATAGGTTTCTCGTCTCGTGTAATCGTTTTCTCGCAACGTCTAGGTGACTATATGTGTGTGAGTGGACGTGAATTGCTCCAGAGAAAACGTGTAGCTAAAAAACTAAAGTCATTTCATAATTTACATGTCATTCAGACATTGGGCAAGGTTGGAAAGGTCCGTGAGGTCAACATACTCGGTGACATAGTGGTCAGTTTCGGCAGGCTTATGGCTCAGTTCAACCCTGCGTGCTGCAGTCTTGTCCAGCAACAACCAGAGGACCACCTTGGGGACCCGGATGCTGGCCAAAACACACTGGAAGGTTGCTATAGGAAGTCTCAAGACCCGTTATATGATATATACATATATTAGTACAGTGCTCACTGGTTTCACCAAAGTGGTAAACGTTTCACGCCGGCATCACTTTCCTTACCGTGAAACAGACTAGCTATATGTTATAACTGAAATACAGTTCTAGTTAAACCTTCCTCCCGCACTCATTCACTTAAGCATGAAACATGTAACAAACAGTTTAATCTAGTTAACTCGAATTAATTCGTATCGATATAATATGGGAATAAGCAATGGTCAAAATATTATCAGTTTTGGACTCGAAAACATGGCAAATCTTGTCTTAAATGATTTATCGAGTTGATAAAAGTAATTATTAATTCTGTCAGTCGTGTGTATCGTTTTCCGAATTTGAATAATGGATCAAAACTTCCCTGATTGTGTTTAATTTGAACAAAACGATGTAGAAATCAATTTAGTGTACCTAAAATATTTGCGGATTTGGATTAATATCAGGGACTCTTAAGTGTGTCCTTTCGTAAAGATGTATACGAAATTATAGCATCTTTGATAGTTTGGTTACATTTACAAAACTCAAACCTCGAAGTCTTGTGAACTACTCAGAATATCTCACAAATAACGCAAATTAAATCTTAGCCCCGTTAGTGATTATGCTAGTAAGTTGCACTGTTTCACTTCGGTGAGTTGAAGTTAATGGATACTGTAATCATAGTTTTACCAGAAATTATTGAGAAAGTTGTTTCGGCAAATATCTAATACATGCATATAAACTATAGAAGTTTTACTTCAATGAATATGTTGAGATGTTGATTCTCTTACAGTCTAAGTGTCTTTTGAGTACTTTGTGAGACCTCCTTGCTCTGCAATACACGACTGAATGCGCCTTGGTACACTACCGATCAAAGTTTGTAGGAAATCGTGTGACAGCATATCCCAATATTCGACCACTTCTTTCTTCATATCCTCTATATTTCTAAGTCCTTTTTTGGTTTATTCTGTCCTTCATTAGTCCCCACACATTCTCAATAGGGTTAAGATCTGGGCTGTAGCTGGGTCAGTCTAACACGTGAACATTTTCGTCCAACAACCACTGTTTTGTGCAGCCCGCAGTGTGGTTTGGGTTGTTGTTTCTTGGTAGTTATAGGTTTTACGGTATCTTTTGTCCAAATTTTCACACAGTTTGGAAAAAGCCAGACAGAACTTACATCAGAAAAATACATTATCCCAATTTTGATTTTCGTGAGCCCTACGCCAGTTAAAATGTCTTTTTCAATGGTGAAGGAATTCCGCGCTTTTTCACCCGTTAAGTCTTTGTAATTCATGTCTAAGGGTTTGATTACATACCTGAGGACTTCCTTTATTAATCATCTCGTTTCTGATATTCTCAATGCTTTTCAAGTTTCCCCTACTCACAATCTGACCAAGTCGCCGGCGATCCGTACTTACGGAACTTCCTTGGCCTCCCTGCCCCTGTTTTGTGCTCGATCCCAACTCCTGACTTCTCCAAGGTTCTGTATGCTGTAGACAGAGAAATGTCATGTCTACCAGCAAACTCTTTTGCATTAGTCACACCCCTTTCAAAATCATCTAGAACCAGCTTTCTTTTCTCTTCTGCTGTCAAATCTGACATGTCAAACATGGACGCCGTCTGCTACACCAGGGAGTAAGCTTCATTCTTAGCCTACAAGAGTTGCCTCCCATATTGAGTACCTTACTACATAATGTAACACTTATTTTAAAATTCTATTATCAGTATTAGGGAACAATGAGTTTCTCAATAATTTCTGGGGAAACTGTAGTTATGGTGAAACGGGCGCAACATGGTTTCAGGGCACCTCCTCTCTGACGTGTTCATACCCACCATCGTGGACGGCAGGCCCACGACAGACAAAGACCTGATTGCAAAGGCAAACGGAATGTTTGATGCCTTTTCCATGCAGAATTTCAGCCTCTTTATGATGATTTTTAAGTTGGATGCAAGACTGGTAAGTACAGGCCAACACAGCTTTGGGGCAAGACGGTGAGGTAAGTTATGATTCACGTGCATCTAGGGCAAGATTATGTGTGTTTTTCATTTACAATTTTGTGTGAGAAAATAACAATAACTAATTTTATCCAATGCCGTAATTCTTGTATTAGACGCCAGAGATCCAATACACTCCCGTCTTTAATTAACCCAGGTCATAAGCTCAGTCCAAAATGGAAGCTGCGTTAATACAAGCCAATTATGTTTGGTGTTTCATTGGGTTTTGTCATGATTGATGTTACTGTCAGTAAAGGATATCAATTGCATTTGTTGGCGTTCTTCAGCTGATGAAAGTCAACAAATACAACTTTAATCCTTAAATGAACCACAGTTGGCTTGGTAGTGTTCATCTGGACGTGGTCATCCGTTACTGTCTATATTCACTGTTCTTTCCTTTCAATTAGAAAAATATCATTCATAATGGAGTAACGCCCCTGACACTGGCCTGTTCCAACGGCATTGTCGACGTCGTGAAGCAGTTGCTGGATGAAGGCGTGGACATCAACCAGCCGGATGCGGGACTTCAGACGCCCTTGCTACACACCCTTTTCAAGTGATACTCACTGCCTCATATCTTATATGTTTAGTCAGTGTCGAATTTAAACGACAAAACGTATGTGTTTTCAGTGCTGGTGTTACTGTGTATTTACTCAAATGCGGGTAATTGATGACGACATTTGTCTTAGGTCAGATCGCGCGGGGTTATTCGTTGATTGGTTGATTGGTTGAGCGAGCGAGTGAGTGAGTGAGCGGAGAGGAGCGGGAGTTTTTTATTTTAGCGTTTTATTTTTATTTTTTATTTTAGTTTTAGTTTTTGTTTTTTAATTCAGTTGTTTAGTTTTAGTTTTGCGCCACTTTTAGCAATATTCCAGCAATATATTGGCGGGGTACACCAGAAATAAGCTTCACATATTGTGACCCATGTTGGGAATGGAATATGTGTGTCTTCGGCTGTAACCACTAGACTATACCAACGCCCCAGATCAAGTCTAAGATATTGAACTGAAACACTTACTGCCACAGGGAAAGAGATGCTGTTCTCGAAATGCTGTTGGCGCGAGGCTGCGACGTGAACAAGGCGGGACAGCAAGGCATCACTCCGTTACATCTGAGTGTCATAAATGACAAGACAGCATATGTGAAGCTTCTGGTGAAGAAGAAAGCAGATGTCAACATTCGGGTAAACTGAAGCACAAATCTATCCAGCCACTTAAGGAAATACGCTACTGATTTGCAACCAATTACTTCACCCGTAGACACGTGAAGATCTTGGTTAGACTTGGACTTCAGTACCCCATGCTTGTCGAAAGAGGCGACTACTCGGGTGGTCAGGTTCGCTGACTCGGTTGATGCATGTCATCGTATCCCAATTGTGTAAATCGGTGCTCATGATGTCAATCACTGGATTGTCTTACCCAGACTCGATTATTTGAGACATACCATATACAATTATTAACGGTATATCAATCTTTACCAAATCAGATCTTTTACTCACATAGATACCTGCATCAAGCTCAGCGACAATTAGAGAGTAAACAATCTGGGTGCCGTTGTACAAAGCGATCTTAGAGCTAAGGTGACCGTTACTCCCATGCCTTAACATAGACTTAAGGTAGTCTTAGTCTATGGTTGTTTTGTACCCTGACCGATTCATCTACCTCTGAGAATGTATGCTGTCTGTCTCTGTTCAAGGACCAGAATGGAAACACGCCCATTCATATTGCGTTACGAATGGGCAGAAAAGACCTGGTGTCCATCATGCTCGAAGCTGAACATATTGATCACAGAGTATGCAACAGAGGCAACTTCAACAACCTACAGCTGGCATCATTGATTGGAAACCCTGAGTAGGTTGATCATAATTGGTGATCTAAACATATATACATGTATAAGCTTGACCTTCTAGCGCCTGGCAGTTTGTGTACTTCTTAATCAGTTGAGAATGAAATCGATTGCATACTGAAACAGACCAGGGTGAGATAGTGTAGCTCTTTTATCATGAGACTTCTCCAAGAAAGCGCCGCCTAATCGAACCCACCAATAACGTTTCGTATTATTCTTGTCCGTTGATATTTTTGATTTTGATTACCAATGACCTTTACAAGAGTCATATTTTGACTGGATTATAGGGTCAGTTTGAAACGTTTGTCAAACATGGTGCCTCACCGTCTGGTTGTTTTCTTTTCCTGGCAGCAAAGCATTGAATCATCATCATATTTGTCAAACTATTCTAGTATAAAGAACTTATTCCAATGCGAAACATATATCCATACACTTGAAAATAGAAACTTAGTTAGATCGATGTGTAAATTGCGTATATCTCGCCATGATTCCAGGGTTAATCAAAAACGTACAACGTAAAAGGACAGTCAATGATAATTCCGATGTAGAATCTATTTGTTTGCACTGTGATATGAATGTTGTAGAAAATGAATACCATGTTTTCTTTGTCTGTAATAGATATTTTCTGCTCCATAATGAATACTTTTTGTCCATCAAAAATTATTGTAAATCTAGTTTAACTTTGGCAACAAATATTAAAGACATCTGATGTATATATACTCCTCAAAAGAAGTTAAGGGTCACAAGTATTTTGGAATATAAGTAGAAGATATGGAAATAAAATTGTGACAACCAATGACAAAAACAAAACCTCAAGCTCTAAAGAAACGAAAACACAAAACAAAAAGTGAATTGTTTAGCACAACTTTATTCCACAATTCATCGAAGTCAAGTACCCCAAAATCAGAGTTCACACAAAGCCAGAAATCTTTAGTAACTCGTGTAGCCACCGTTAGCATGGATGAATTCCTGACCCTGTTGACACATGCTATTCATTAAACGCCTAAAAAATTGTTGGGCGGTTGCTGCCCATTCTGCGACTAGTCGTTGACCCAGTTCCTGTGGGTTGATGGCAGGGACGTGATAAGCTTGAATTCTTCGTCCTAGCTCATCCCAGGCATGCTCAATTGGTAACAAGTCGGGTGAATGAGCAGGCCACACCATGTGCTGAACGTTCTGCTGCTGCAGAAAGTCTGTCACCACCCTGGCACGATGGGGTCTAGCGTTATCATCCCGGAACCAGGCCCCTGGTCCAAGTTGACGAAGCAGTGGCGATAACCAGAGGTTGAATAATCTCGTTGAGATATCGAAGACCAGTCAAATTCCCATTGACGATGTAGAGAGCAGTTCTGTGGTGCACTGAGATATCCGCCCAGACCATCACACTTCCGCCTCCGAAAGGTAAACGTTGAGCAACGTTGACGTCAGCATACTTCTCTCGTTGGCGACGATAAACACGGGCACGACCATCATTAAACTGGAGTGTGAAGCGGGATTCAGCAGAAAAGATTGTCTGTGCCCACTGATCACGGTTCCAACGAACATGCCAACGACACCAATCTCGACCAGCTCTTCTGTGCCGCTCAAGTAGTGGTGGTCGGACTGGAGAACGTCGAGAACGCAAACCTCGGACACGTAGACGATTTTGAACTGTCTGATCGGATATGTTGGTGCCACGGCCAGCTCTCAGCTGATCCCGAAGATGTCTTGCGGTCACAAATCGCTGTCGCAGAACCATCACCATCAAGTAGCGATCATTGTGGGCTGTTGTTGATCGAGGTCTTCCGGAAAGGGCCGATTCTGGACAGCATTTGTTGTCCTGAACCCCTGCCATAGTCACCCGATAACACTTTGGCTTACATTTAGTCGCCTAGCAACTTCTTTGGGTTTGACCATCTTGAAGCCAACCTATTGCCCTTCCTCTGTCTTGGATGCTGAGCTGTCGTCTGATCATCTTCAAATTTCAAATGAGGCCGATTTGAAAATGCTTGGTCTTTTTATTGTGAAAATGTGCTTGCATAAAATGACATCCATGGACAGCACGTGTAAAATGTGCATTAGGTGGCATAATGGTTGTTTCGCTGATGAGGGTCAGTTTAGTGTGGCCGAGTTCAAGAAGTTCTAATTTACGGTTAGATTTGACAGTTACCTAATGAAACGGGTAATGATAACTTTTGTCATGAAGTTATGATGTCTTCAGTCCAAATAACAGCCATACAGAAAGTTTCCTGTCCCTATTTGTCTCAAAATTGCCCATTCTAATTTTGATGTCCACATTTCGTTTGACCCTTAACATCTTTTGAGTAGTATATATTACGTTTAACATCTATATATTTGCTAAAAATATTTAGCTTAAGATCTTCTAAACATAGTTTTGGTCATGTGACAACGACTGTATTCATTACAATACAGTTGTACTATGGGCTATGTGGCCTAAAATACGGAATAAACTTGACTTTGAGTGCTTCCTTTTCTATTATTGCAGACTTCTCAAAAGAGTGATGGATGTGACGCCCCTCGACGTGGTTGACGTTGGGATGGTGGACACGCGGTTCACAGCGTTGCATATTGCTGCTAACAATGATCATACCGACTGTGCCAGAATTCTCATCGAAAAGGTAAGACAGATATTTGTACATGGAGATGCCATACAGTAGGTCTTGTATTCTACATCTTCCACAAGCAATTTGACTAACTAGTTCATTTCTACAAACCATGTATTTTGCACATGTAATTCTCGTCAAGATCCGACAATGGGCCGGAGATAGAGATAAATACTAATAATATGCAACATGTGTATAGTACCCAGTAGATGATTAGACAGTTAAACACTCTAAGGCTCCTCACAGAAAGATGAATAGATGAGTGTAGGCTGATATAAAGAGATGAGTTTTTACGCCCATTTTCAAAAAGTGTTGAATTTCTCAGGGGTGATGGAAGATCGTTCCACAATGTTGCTGCAATCTTGATGAAGCATCTGTCACCAAACATTACAGTTCGTGTTATGGGCACAGTTATCAGAGATGCAGATTGTGATCGAGGAGATCGAGCTGGCTCATAAGGAATGACGAGTTCCTTGATATATATAAGTTGCGGCAGTGTTGTGCAAGACTTTGTGCGTGTACATCAAGATCTTGTACTGACAAAGGAAATTTTTAATGGCAACCAATGCAAGATCTTCAGATCGGGTCATGACTGATTCCAATGATCCATTCATATAATTTCCATCGCTATTTTGCCTTTTACGACCGCTTGATTCAGTTTTAGCGGATAATCCAATGAGTGAGTTTAGTTTTAACAATATTCTAGCTATATGGCGGCGGTCTGTAAATAATCGAGTCTGGACCAGACAGTCCAGTGATCAACAGCATGATCATCGATCTGCACAACTGGGATACGATGACTTGTGTCAATCAAGTCAGCGAGCCTGACCACCAGATCCCGTTAGTCGCATCTTACGACAAGCATGGGTTACTGAAGATCAATTCTAACCCGGATCTTTATGGGTCGCGGATAATCCAGACTGGGTGTACTCTGGCGTTGATGTATATATTAATATGTTATGCTGACACTAGATGTGTTTGTGTTTCAGGGCAAGGCGAATGTGAATGCACAAAACACCCAGGGCCTGACACCTCTCAGTCTTGCCTGCTCCAGGCTCAATGACACCACTGTGGCTCTACTCTTAAGAAATGGTATGTAAACACTTGATCCTGTTATTAATAACACTTATAATATGATTCTTGGTAGTTGAAACCACTTGTTGAAAATACACACACACACACACGCACGCACGCACAAACACACACGCACAAACACAGAATTCTCATTCTCTGTATGGGCAGTAGGCGTATGTATACATAACACCCCCAGTCTGCCTCACCCATACCCGCAGTACCTTCTATCAAGACTAGTGAGTGAGTTACGTTATCACCATTATCCTAGCCATATGGGGGCGGTCTGTAAATAATCGAGCCTGGTCCAGACAATCCAGTGATCAATAGCATGAGCATCGATCTACCCAATACGCAGTAAGATGACAAGTTTCAACCAAGTCAACGAGCCTGACCACCCGATCACTTTAGTCGCCTCTTACGAGTGGGTTACTGAAGATCAATTCTAACCTTGATATTCACGGGTCTCTATCAAGACTAAACGTTGTCGGCAAACCTAGATCCTGAAATAAGCATTGTTCTAGGTTCCATTGTTTTCTTTGTGTGGTTACATTTTCTTTTAAATACGGTAACTAACATTTTCTAACCGGGTGTAAATATTAGCCTAAAACTGCTTAAAACAAATGTCTCAGAGGGATCACTCAAAATGAACATTTCTAAATACACGGGATCTACTTGTTGGAATAAAAAATGGCTGCCTGAAAGGAATCAGTTTGATGTTCTGAATGTTGCCTTATGCCTTTTGTTTATATTCCCTGTGTATGCCACCCGTGAAGATTCGGGTTAGATTTGATCTCTGTGTATGCCTCAGATGGGTTTCACAGTGAAGCGGGTTTGATGGGAGGAGAAAGAGTAATAAGGTTCTCCCTGTATTGCATGCCATGCGTTAGGTGGTTAAACTTCGACGACGTAACGAAGTCTCGATTCACATGAGATGTGGTAGTCACAAACTATCAAATCCTATATTTACATGCATGGTACAGCATCTGAACACAGCGTGTCCAGCGTGCGTACCTGTTTAAATGATAAAATATCTTAACTTTTTGTGGTGAGTTGCCAAATATGTTTGACATTTGCTGTATGAATCTACGTGACGTGAATGTCTTGTACAGATGGAGGCTTATTCTAGTTCTAGAAACTTACCTGTTTTAATGGTTAGGGCCTAACCCTGTTAAAATAGACTGTGACCAAATTAACAGATTTAATGTTTTTGTTAGTATGTTCTTTTTAGAAATAAATATGCGTGTTTTGAATCACTTACAGAAACCTATCCTGACTCCCAGGTCAGGGTGTTGCATGGTCTTAGGCAGAAGCGTTGCACGGTCAGACCGAGGCAGAAGCGATGCACGGTCAGACCGAGGCAGAAGCGATGCACGGTCAGACCGAGGCAGAAGCGATGCACGGTCAGACCGAGGCAGAAGCGTTGCACGGTCAGACCGAGGCAGAAGCGTTGCACGGTCAGACCGAGGCAGAAGCGTTGCACGGTCAGACCGAGGCAGAAGCGTTGCACGGTCAGACCGAGGCAGAAGCGTTGCTCTGTCAGACCGAGGCAGGAAAGATGCACGGTCAGACCGACGCAAAATGCGTCGCACTGTCAGACCTAGGCAGAAGCGTTGCACGGTCAGACCTTAGGCAGAAGCGTTGCACTGTCAGACCGAGGCAGAAGCAGTGCACGGTCAGACCTAGGCAGAAGCATTGCACCGTCAGACCTAGGCGGAAGCGCACAAGCACTGCAGGCAGACCTTGGCAAAACCATTGCACCGTCAGACCTAAGCAGAAGCGTTGGATAGCCTGAAAAGCATTGCGCTGTCAGCCTAAGAAAGAAGCGTTGGATAGCCTGAATGTCCAAAGAAAACAAAACCGTCCCAAAACTGAACACTGTGGTACTCAACGTCAGACTGTGCGAATCAGACTTTATACCATCCGCCTGAACTTGCATGAAATCTTCCTGACAAGTAAGATATGAACCAGTTCTTGTCATCATCATTTCTTCCCAGGTGCTGACGTCCATGTCGCCGACAGTGCAGGGGATACGCCGCTTCACTTCACGATCCGTCCACCCATGGACCTGGCTTTTATTAGGTTTCTGGTAGGGAATTCTACCAATATGCATCACCTTTATCCCACAGTCTATAACACCCAATACAAATACACTAACACATACTACACCTACAATAACACCTATTATACCCACCCTAACACCAATACAGCTAGGTAACGCCCATTATACCTACAATAACACATAATTTACTAACAATAACACCCAGTATGTCTACTGTAAAACCTAATCCACCTACAGTAACACCTATCACACCCACCATAACACCTAATATACCCACCATAACACCTAATATACCCACCATAACACCTATTATACCCACCATAGCACCTAATATACCCACCATAACACCTAATATACCCACCATAACACCTAATATACCCACCATAACACCTAATATACCCACCATAGCACCTAATATACCCACCATAGCACCTAATATACCCACCATAGCACCTAATATACCCACCATAACACCTATTATACCCACCCACCATACATAATATACCCACCATAGCACCTATAACCCCCATATACCAACCATATACCATAGCACCTAATATACCCACACCATCATAACACCTATTATACCCACCATAGCACCTATTATACCCACCATAACACCTATTATACCCACCATAACACCTAATATACCCACCATACACCTAATATACCCACCATAGCACCTAATATACCCACCATAGCACCTAATATACCCACCATAACACCTAATATACCCACCATAGCACCTAATATACCCACCATAGCACCTAATATACCCACCATAACACCTATTATACCCACCATAACACCTAATATACCCACCATAACACCTAATATACCCACCATAGCACACCTAATATACCCACCATAACACCTATTATACCCACCATAACACCTTATACAGGTATACCCACCATAGCATATAATATACCCACAATAACAAATAGTTACAATACCCACAATATACACCTGTAACACCTAATAACACCTAATCTACCTTCATAACACCTATTATACCCACCATAACACCTATTATACCCACCATAACACCTTATACAGGTAAATACCGCCTAATATATCTACAATAACAAATAGTTTACCAACAATAACACCCAGTATTCCTACTGTAACACCTAATCTACCTTCATTAACACCTATTGTACCCACCATAACACCTACTATACCCTAATACCATACCCACCATAGCACCTAATATACCCACCATACCACCTAATATACCTACAATACCCACCATAACACCTATTATAACACCTATTATACCCACCATAACACCTAATATACCCACCATAGCACCTAATATACCCACCATAACACCTATTATACCCACCATAACACCTATTATACCCACCATAACACCTAATATACCCACCATAACACCTAATATACCCACCATAGCACCTATTATACTAATATATCTATAATAACAAATACCTTACACCTAATAGTAAAACGCCTAATATGCCCAATATTCCTACCAATAACACCCAGTATTCCTACCATAACACCTAATCTACCTTCATTAACACCTATTGTACCCACCATAACACCTATTATACCCACCATAACACCTTATACAGGTAAATACCGCCTAATATATCTACAATAACAAATAGTTTACCAACAATAACACCCAGTATTCCTACAGTAACACCTAATCTACCTTCATTAACAATTATTATATCGACGTAAACACCTGATATTCCTACCATAAAATCTAATAAACCTACATCAACACCTTAGTAGACGTACATAAATCAGAGGCTGTGTTGGAGTACCAGTTTTGTGGCTATGTAAAGCTTCCAAAAGTGAATCGTCGCATAGGCTGACTTTCCCGAAAGGAAGCCGTAACTAAACGGCTTTACTAGAATGTAACCAAACTACAACGGTTCCAGCTGGAGGTAAAACACAAGAAATGGGCATCCCCATAGGCACCAATTCGGCTCCCCTCTTTGCGGATCTGTTTTTATGCTTTAATTCTTAATCGTTCACTAACAACTGTACAATTGATTCTGCTTTAAGTAGTGATTTCCTATGAATATGGAAATGATTTTGTTGCTTAAATGTCATTAAACGCTACTTTTCGTTGAAGTAAACCTTTTGGCAAGGACACGCTCGTTTCCCTTCTTGCCTGTCCTTACATATGTGCAGATAAAAATGGTTAAGTCAGTTAATCGTAGTGAGGTATTTTAACCTTTCATGGAGTATATTAAAATGTAGTCATTTGAACCGTTGATAAAAGCCAAGTTCAAGTCAAAAGATATTCATTGTATGAAAGGAATCCGGCATATATACATGAGGGTTACAGTGGTAAAGGAACGTTTCTATATTTACATAGATATTTAACTTGGAAGCGGGCTGTCTGGTGAATACTCGGTGAAGGCTTTGGTGTGAGCTATTTTCATAATGTTTTGTTGATATCTCACAGGCGCGAGCTTTTATATGTTATGACAGTAAATAAACTGTTTATATAATTTCATTTGTCTATTTCACCACACGTTCTTCTTACCGAGTCACTTTCTCAGTTCGATACTTAAAGCAATGTCATTATTTAGCGTTGACACAATTTCTAACTGTGATATATAGATATGTCGCTTGTCACAGACAAAACTCAATGTCTTGTTTTATTGACACCTGTGTGTCTGCCTGCCTGTCTGCTAATGACAATATTCAATACACAACTGCGATCACTGACCACATGCAATTTGAACTTAACACCAATCAGGCTATACACCATAAACAAAATGCATTGATTTATGGCCCGAGTTCGGTCTCTGTCACATTATGTAATTACACAGACAGGCAGGTGTGATATTTGTCACACAGACATGTTATGATGTCTGTTGATTTTAATTATGTTTGATTTTGGTTGCATGTGACCTTTAAGCATTTACAATTCGTTTTTTAGGAAGATATCTTTTTGCTAATGCATGCTTTGTATACAAAGACCTCTGGTATAGTCCGGTAGACGAGGAATTAGGAGAGTCTTGTGGGGCCGGCCCCTTATGATGTACATATTGAAGTTAACACTTCTTGTTTTAGGGGGTTCCGATATCTGACGACAACCAGGTGCGCGTCAAGATAGCGTGCCTGCTGTTACAGAGCGGGGCGAGTGTGTACAGAAGAAACGCCCAGGGTAAAACAGCCCTTGACTGCAACGAGAACTCGGCTATCAGAACAGCTGTGATGACATTCTCGGAACAGATGTAAATGAGTTTATGATATCTCTCATTATTGTAACGGATCATGTAATCTTATTTTATCAGTTGTTGTTCGTGTTGTGTGTGGTAAAATCTTCGTGATCTGGATATAAGCAGTGTGGATGTATGGACTGAGTGTAGTCATTTCACCATATCTTGTGACTGAAACTGTATACAGATAAACTTGATTAATCTGGAAACGTGGCTTTCCGGACATGATCTGGTTATAAGCAGTGTGGATGTATGGACTGAGTGTAGTCATTTCACCATATCTTGTGACTGAAACTGTATACAGATAAACTTGATTAATCTGGAAACACGGCTTTCCGGACATGATCTGGATATAAGCAGTGTGGATGTATGGACTGAGTGTAGTCATTTCACCATATCTTGTGACTGAAACTGTATACAGATAAACTTGATTAATCTGGAAACACGGCTTTCCGGACATGATCTGGATATAAGCAGTGTGGGTTTATGGACTGAGTGTAGTCATTTCACCATATCTTGTGACTGAAACTGTATACAGATAAACTTGATTAATGTGGAAACACGGCTTTCCGGACATGATCTGGATATAAGCAGTGTTGATGTATGGACTGAGTGTAGTCATTTCACCATATCTTGTGACTGAAACTGTATACAGATAAACCTGATTAATCTGGAAACATGGCTTTCCGGACATGATCTGGATATAAGCAGTGTGGATGTATGGACTGAGGTAGTCATTTCACCATATCTTGTGACTGAAACTGTATACAGATAAACTTGATTAATCTGGAAACACGGCTTTCTGGACATGATCTGGATATAAGCAGTGTGGGTGTATGGACTGAGTGTAGTCATTTCACCATATCTTGTGACTGAAACTGTATACAGATAAACTTGATTAATCTGGAAACACGGCTTTCCGGACATGATCTGGATATAAGCAGTGTGGATGTATGGACTGAGTGTAGTCATTTCACCATATCTTGTGACTGAAACTGTATACAGATAAACTTGATTAATGTGGAAACACGGCTTTCCGGACATGATCTGGATATAAGCAGTGTGGATGTATGGACTGAGTGTAGTCATTTCACCATATCTTGTGACTGAAACTGTATACAGATAAACTTGATTAATCTGGAAACACGGCTTTCCGGACATGATCTGGATATAAGCAGTGTGGATGTATGGACTGAGTGTAGTCATTTCACCATATCTTGTGACTGAAACTGTATACAGATAAACTTGATTAATCTGGAAACACGGCTTTCCGGACATGATCTGGATATAAGCAGTGTTGATGTATGGACTGAGTGTAGTCATTTCACCATATCTTGTGACTGAAACTATATACAGATAAACTTGATTAATGTGGAAACACGGCTTTCCGGACTTGATCTGGATATAAGCAGTGTGGATGTATGGACTGAGTGTAGTCATTTCACCATATCTTGTGACTGAAACTGTATACAGATAAACTTGATTAATCTGGAAACACGGCTTTCCGGACATGATCTGGATATAAGCAGTGTGGGTGTATGGACTGAGTGTAGTCATTTCACCATATCTTGTGACTGAAACTGTATACAGATAAACTTGATTAATCTGGAAACACAGCTTTCCGGACATGATCTGGATATAAGCAGTGTGGGTGTATGGACTGAGTGTAGTCATTTCACCATATCTTGTGACTGAAACTGTATACAGATAAACTTGATTAATCTGGAAACACGGCTTTCCGGACATGATCTGGATATAAGCAGTGTGGATGTATGGACTGAGTGTAATCATTTCACCATATCTTGTGACTGAAACTGTATACAGATTAACTTAATTAATCTGGAAACACGGCTTTCCGGACATGATCTGGATATAAGCTGTGTGGATGTATGGACTGAGTGTAGTCATTTCACCATATCTTGTGACTGAAACTGTATACAGATAAACTTGTTTAATATGCAAACACGGCTTTCCGGACATGATCTGGTTATAAGCAGTGTGGATGTATGGACTGAGTGTAGTCATTTCATCATATCATGTGACTGAAACTGTATACAGATAAACTTGATTAATCTGGAAACACGACTTTCCGGACATGATCTGGATATAAGCAGTGTGGGTGTATGGACTGAGTGTAGTCATTTCACCATATCTTGTGACTGAAACTGTATACAGATAAACTTGATTAATGTGGAAACACGGCTTTCCGGACATGATCTGGATATAAGCAGTGTGGGTGTATGGACTGAGTGTAGTCATTTCACCATATCTTGTGACTGAAACTGTATACAGATAAACTTGATTAATCTTGGAAACACGGCTTTCCGGACATGATCTGATATAAGCAGTGTGGGTGTATGGACTGAGTGTAGTCATTTCACCATATCTTGTGACTGAAACTGTATACAGATAAACCTGATTAATCTGGAAACACGGCTTTCCGACATGATCTGATATAAGCAGTGTGGATGTATGGACTGAGTGTAGTCATTTCACCATATCTTGTGACTGAAACTGTATACAGATAAACTTGATTAATGTGGAAACACGGCTTTCCGGACATGATCTGATATAAGCAGTGTGGGTGTATGGACTGAGTGTAGTCATTTCACCATATCTTGTGACTGAAACTGTATACAGATAAACTTGATTAATGTGGAAACACGGCTTTCCGGACATGATCTGATATAAGCAGTGTGGGTGTATGGACTGAGGTAGTCATTTCACCATATCTTGTGACTGAAACTGTATACAGATAAACTTGATTAATGTGGAAACACGGCTTTCCGGACATGATCTGGATATAAGCAGTGTTGATGTATGGACTGAGTGTAGTCATTTCATATCTTGTGACTGAAACTGTATACAGATAAACTTGATTAATGTGGAAACACGGCTTTCCGGACATGGACATGATCTGGTGGATACTGAGTGTAGTCATTTCACCATGTGACTGAAACTCGAACTGATAAACTTGATTAAGCCATTTCACCATATCTTGTGACTGAAACTTTCACCATATACAGATAAACTTATACAGATAATCTGGAAACACGGCTTTCCGGACATGATCTGGATATAAGCAGTGTTGATGTATGGACTGAGTGTAGTCATTTCACCATATCTTGTGACTGAAACTGTATACAGATAAACCTGATTAATCTGGAAACACGGCTTTCCGGACATGATCTGGTTATAAGCAGTGTTGATGTATGGACTGAGTGTAGTCATTTCATCATATCTTGTGACTGAAACTGTATACAGATAAACTTGATTAATCTGGAAACACGGCTTCCGGACATGATCTGATTATAAGCAGTGTGGATGTATGGACTGGAGTGTAGTCATTTCACCATATCTTGTGACTGAAACTGTATACAGATAAACTTGATTAATGTGGAAACACGGCTTTCCGGACATGATTGATCTGGATATAAGCAGTGTGGGTGTATGGACTGAGTGTAGTCATTTCACCATATCTTGTGACTGAAACTGTATACAGATAAACTTGATTAATCTGGAAACACGGCTTTCCGGACATGATCTGGATATAAGCAGTGTGGATGTATGGACTGAGTGTAGTCATTTCACCATATCTTGTGACTGAAACTGTATACAGATAAACTTGATTAATCTGGAAACACGGCTTTCCGGACATGATCTGGATATAAGCAGTGTTGATGTATGGACTGAGTGTAGTCATTTCACCATATCTTGTGACTGAAACTGTATACAGATAAACTTGATTAATCTGGAAACACGGCTTTCCGGACATGATCTGATATAAGCAGTGTGGATGTATGGACTGAGTGTAGTCATTTCACCATATCTTGTGACTGAAACTGTATACAGATAAACTTGATTAATCTGGAAACACGGCTTTCCGACATGATCTGATATAAGCAGTGTGGATGTATGGACTGAGTGTAGTCATTTCACCATATCTTGTGACTGAAACTGTCACAGATAAACTTGATTAATCTGGAAACACGGCTTTCCGACATGATCTGGATATAAGCAGTGTGGATGTATGGACTGAGTGTAGTCATTTCACCATATCTTGTGAAACTGTATACAGATTAACTTAATTAATCTGGAAACACGGCTTTCCGGACATGATCTGGATATAAGCAGTGTGGATGTATGGACTGAGTGTAGTCATTTCACCTGGATATCTTGGATGACTGAAACTGTATAAACTGTATACAGATAAACTTGATTAATCTGGAAACGTGTCTTTCCGGACATGATCTGGTTATAAGCAGTGTGGATGTATGGACTGAGTGTAGTCATTTCACCATATCATGTGACTGAAACTGTATACAGATAAACTTGATTAATCTGGAAACACGGCTTTCCGGACATGATCTGGTTATAAGCAGTGTGGATGTATGGACTGAGTGTAGTCATTTCACCATATCTTGTTGCCGAAACTGTATACATATATAAACTTGATTAATCTGGAAACATGGCTTTCCGGACAATTCGGTTCACCAGAATGTAACCACACTACAACGGTTCCAATTGGAGGTAAAACATTAGAAAAGAAATTGGCATCCCCATAGGCACCAATGCGGCTCCCCTCTTTGCGGATCTGGGTTGTTTTTTAAACAGTGTGGACGGATGTACTGAATGTGGTCATATAACCGTATCTTGTTACCGAAACTGTGTACAGTTAAACCCGGTTTGTCTGGAAACATGTCTTCCCGGACGTTTCGTATAAGTGTTTCTAAAATACATGGCCTACAAAATAGTCGATAAACGGGAAGTTTTGAATCTGGACATTTTCTTTGGAAAAAGAGAGTTGTACCAAATGTATATAACCGTGTAGTGTTGCTTAGTGAGGATATATGCACTATATGTGCCGACTCTCTGAGGCTCAGTATTCATGAGCTGTATAGCTATATAGGTATAAATGGGCGAATGTATTCCTACCATGTACAAATGATATTAACACAGATACTGACACGAGGATGAGGACTAGTGTGTTATTAACGTGATGTACGTGCAGTGCATGCTGCTGTTACTGCTGTCGCTGAAATGGGAGAGTTTAAACCATGAACGAGGCGAGGTTCCGGCGTTGGACGAATAATTAAACAGGCATACATAATGTGTATTTCTACCAGAGAGTGCGTTAGCTGGATTTTAAGCAGTTTACATTATATTCCACCACTATCAGGGAGTGGACACCAACAGTGAATCAGTATTGTCGAATCGTACAGTGCAGGTTATTACTATGGCGTTTGGTAGCTTTTATATACACACATGTGAAGTTTATTATTGATGTCCCCCGACATGGTATTGCTGGGTTGTTGATAAAAGCGGCGTAAAACTAACCTCACTCACCATTTACATTGTATCTGTGAGGGAGATGTGTGACATCGCAATGCTGTAACCACTCCCCTGTCATCTGTTTAAAAGATTTAATTCTCTTTTACTGACTGACTGAGTTTGGTTTTACGCCGATTTTAGCAATATTCCAGCAACATCACGGCGGGGAACACCAGAAATGGGCTTCACACATTGTACCCTTGTGGGGATTCGAACCCGGGTCTTCGGCGTGACGAGCCAACGCTTTAACCACTAGGCTACCCCACCGCCCCTAATTCTCTTTTAAAAATATGCAACTGCAATGTTTTGATTAAAGGGGACGGTCATCATCAACTTCAACAGCAGTATCAGCTTCAACGTCTACTCAGCCCGAGACGTCAGAGGCAGACAGGCCAACTATATCCCTTCCTTGCTCCAACTGTTTGACCAGAACAGTGGACATTCGACTCAAACCGTGTGGTCACAGGTTCCTGTGTAGCGAGTGTGTGGCTACCGTCAAGCAATGTCCCTGTTGTAGACAGAGCTTTGAGGACGTGGAGGAATGTGGCTACCGTCACGGAACGGGTACCAATATGTCCCTGTTGTTGAAATCTGTGACATTCAGTTTTACTGCTTTGAGGACGTGGAACCTGCTTTCGTCAATATGCAGGATGTGAAAAATCGTCTAGACCCTACAGATACGAATGAATGAGTCCATATTCTTGACGGAACGGGTACCGCAGATATCGTATGCAGTACCCTGGTACATTTCAGTTGACCCTCATCTGTGATATCATTCTTATTTGTCTTTACCGTTCTCCATTTCTGCTGACTGTACGTATTTTATACGCGTACCGAAAGTACCTTATTTCGTCATCAATCACGCTGAACCGATGCTTTCTCGTCACTGCTCTATAGAGTAAGTGGTGAGTGAGCATAGTGGCTTTTAGCACCAGAAATGGGCTTCACGGTTTGTACCCATGTGGGGAGTCGAACCCGGGACTCCGGCGTGACGAGCGAACGCTTTAACCCCTAGGCTACCCCACCGCCTCTGCTCTATAGATATGACCCATCACTAATATATGTGCTGTTATGATACATGTCTTTTAATAATTGGTTATCATATGGTTATCGTGTGTATTATATGTTATCCAGGTTCGGATCACACAGATCAATCATGTAAAGTTCAGTGAACTGTCAACTTTGGGGCAGGACCGAACCAGGCAGATACGTCGATGTCAACAGAAGAACAGAAATATACAAAGCAATATTTGTTGAAAGCAGCAAAGTCGCTGTAATTACAAATTGTATGTTTTTTTATCAGTATTAATGAGTTACTTGTAAAGTCGAATGATTTTATTTTCTACCAAATACATCCATACCCTCCACTGAAACTAAACAGAGGACTAACAAACTATATATCAGACTAGTGCTTAGACTTACAATGACAGTCATTAGTATTCTGCGTATCATTCTTGCAGATGCTATATGTTACAGATCTGACCCTAACTTATGTGGTTTCATATTCAATTGAAATGACTCAAAGTTGAATTTTTATTTTTATATTTAGTACTGTTTATGTACGTGTGTGACGTATTTCATCGCCGTTGTAATGTCAGTTTAGTTTAATGTCATCTGGGACAAGTGTTCATTACCCTTAGACTATGTCTGAGATATGAACTATTGCATCAAGGCTAACACGTGTTGCTTTATTCACTTGGTACCTGTGAAGATGGTTGTTTATGCCTTTAGTAATGTGTCAGGTTGCTTTTGTTTGATGTGAGCAGATTCTATTACTGAGCAGACACGTAGTGAACTAAGACAGGGACGAAATTATATAAACTTCTCAATCACTTTTTTGAAACACGCATGTACATATACATAAATAATTTAGTTAAGCACCCCCTGACATATCCCACGACTGAATGAGCCCCGATCGTAACCCTTTGGGGCATATCTGGGACATGGTTGGTCGTCATGTGCAACAAAGGGGTCCTCCTGTACAGAACCTGGCCCAATTGGAAGCTGCTTTGCTTTGGTCCTTCATGGGATCAGGAGGCTGGCAGGGGATATGAGGAGGAGGTCTAGAGTGCTGGCTGTCATACAGTCACAGGTTACACTCGGTATTGACCTTAAATCGTGTAAGACACGCAAAATGACATTTTGAATGTTCACATTCACCAAGAAATTCAACATCAAACATTCCAGGGCCACACATGTACAGACATGGTTTTGTATGAAAATCAGGGTGTTTTTTAATGAGCAATTATCATCATACAATCAACATGGATTCCGATCATTTTGTCGATTTTTATGAGTCAAAGGATCAGAAAAGTAATGGTTTTCCATCGTGGTCACCACGAGAAGTTTTATGTATGTGTTGCAAACGTATCATTGCAGAAATACAGGGGGTCAGGGATGGAAATAACTTTAAAATTGCTAGTGTACTCCGGAACAGTGGCACATGTAAAATCACTTGACCTGATAATTTTTCCACTATACCGGCCATTTTCTTGTTGATTTTTAAAACCGAAAAACATAAATAACATTGGAAAGTCAACTGGACACCGGTACAGTGTGATATACAAATTTGCTTGCCCGACAGAAAAACGCACTGGACTCGGACGTCGGGCAATGGGTTATTTCCACCCCTGCCGGGGTGCTTAATTAAGTTCTTATATAACTACGCAATATAGAGAATGACGAATGACCTGTTAAAGTCTATGCTAACGTTAGATTGCCACATACATCGATATCTCTGGTTTATCCATGCAAAGTGTAAGACCTCGCACTGATATATACTCAAAGCTGACTCCATGTGGGCACTATGGGCTCACATCCGTACTACGCTCAGACCATCCGTACTGTTTGTGTTCCTCATCTCCAAATTCAGCTAGCAAGACAATGCGTGGACGGAAACAATAAATATCAGCAAAAAATATGTTGTTTTTTCTTTAATTTTGTAATTCATTGTTTGCCATTTATTTTTCTCATTTGGTAATTATCTTTAAATCAATTCATGACGTAGATCAACTCGCTTTGTCTAAAAGAAAACAATCTTTTAAAAATGTAGATGAAAGAAATCGAGCTGATCTGACTTTTTGAACTGGACTTGAATGTGCATGGATAAGAATATTTTATATTCTCAAGGGCATACATTTCCACAGTGGCTGAGAAAAATAAGATAAGAAAACATTTTGTTATAATTCACTTCCGGGTGAAAATTCAAATTGGGCGGGAGATGAGAAACGGGCAAAGCCTCGGACAGCCTTTTCTCCAACTCCGTTATCTCGATATTTCGGTTAAGACGATGCCACTCCAAGCAAAATCTCCTTCGAAATATGGCTTATGACGTCACTCCATGTTGTATTCAACAGCTGTGTATGGAGTAAGTTACACATTAGTGTATTCATATTTTTGACACGAAGTCTGTCTTCATAATGAACGTCCCGTAATGTCCAACTGGCAAATCTACCCATTTACCCAAAGCGAGGGGTTATTACAACATTGGTTAGTGGCTGATTCAGTAGCATAAATACATTGATATGTTTTGAATAATATTGCTTACTTCAATAATGTATGTCAGTAATTTTTTTAGAAATAAGTTTCTATGACATTTTCAGTTGTAAATATGTTTGAACATTTTGTAATGGTCATTATTGTCATTCTCATGTCATCATTCTTATCTTGGAATCTTTAAAGCTTTCAAGAAAACAACTGGCTTTGTTTTCATTTCTGTTATTTTCATTTCATGGAGTTCTTCTATCTGGAGAAAGCACTTGACCTCCGACCACACCACCGAGGTACTGTTGCTCACCATTCACATTCCAAGCATGTTGGATGTTATGTGGGAGTGAATTAGAGAAATATGTAGACGCTGCAGTCAAGTTATATCCTGCTGGAGAATAGTATAGTCGGGGAAATAATGCCACACCAAGAAGGAGATTATTGTTACTTGGCATCTGTAAAATTCATATGCATTTACTATGAAGAAACATTCATACTTGATATCATTCAAACGTAAGCACGCCGAAGACTCGATTCCCCACATGGGTACAATGTGTAAAGCCTATTTCTGGTTCCCCACCGTGATATTGCTGGAATATTGCTAAAAGCGGCGTAAAACCATACTCTCTCACTCACTCAAAAGTTCCTGAAGTACCTACAGAGATTGGCCGTATTGCCTTAAGACGGAACAGATCAGTCATACCACAATTCATATTTTAATTAAGCTACATATCAGCCATAACTCCTGTATCTAACACAACGAAAACGAAAACCGAGACAAAGACCGACAATCGTCCGGGCAGACAAGGTGACACACAATGTGTACAACACGTATTCAAGGTGAGGTGAGGTGAAATTGGGTTTAACGTCGTGCTTGAGAATATTTCGCTCATATGACGACGTGCATGCGTGTGTATGTGTATGTGCGGCTGCTTGTACTAGCCCAGACTGAAGCTGGTTTTATAGTGCTAGCCCACTGAGATACCATGCCGCAGTGAAGCATGAATACCCCACTCAGACACATTATAGTGACTCCGAGCCGACCAGTCCTTGATGTACCCATTAATGCCGAGCGCCAGACAGGGACCAACAAGTACCATATTTTAACGTATTTTGGTATGACGCGGTCGGGGATCGAACCCGCGACCTTCCGCTCTCCGGGCGGACGCTCTAACCACTACACCACGGAGGCGGTCAACACGTATTCAAATGCCATAATATGGCACAATAGTCTTAAAACATACACATAGTTAAATATTAAACGTCAAGCAAAAAATCCTTGGTTCACTTCCATATGGAATCTTCCCTGGTCTCCGTTGTGACGAGAGAACACTTTAACCACTAGTCTGCCCCACCGCCCCCTGAACATTCACAGACAACCATTGGCTTTGTTGAACGTGTGTACTCTCTCGGGCAGTGAGTGAGTAACACATATCAAACGACAATGTATTATAATAACCATTATTATTACAGATTATTTCAAGGTAAGCATTCATATAAGTATTGAATGTTACCTTGTGTGTGAGGTCATTGGAGTATGACCCTTCATAGACAACCTTGTTTGAACCTCGATGCTTCCATCAATGCCTACCCCTCACTCTGGGAAGATTTATAGTCCAATGAACTTGCACATGATGAGTTAAAAGATGTATATGCACAAAAGTGGAACCACGTTTTGACATTCGGGAGAAAAGAGATTCGCTTTGTCATGAAAGGAAAGATTTGTATCTGTCAAATTGGTGCGGAAGCAATTCCTGTATTGCTACTGAATAGTGTTCCTGCTTACTTGTTTATGTAAAAGCCTTAGTGATGGAGTGAGTTTAGTTATACGCCGCTTTTAGCAATAGTCCAGCAATATCGCGGCGGGTAGTTCAACATTAAAGTATCGTGATGAACAAACAACTGTTATGTGGCCACAAATATCACATAGAGATGTACAGTTATTTTGTAGTTGAGTGATAACGTATATATAACTAATATATTATCCCCTTTCAATGATCAAGGTCTCTCATGAACAGCCTCAATACATCAGTCACAGTGACGTTGCATCGTAATACATTTTTGAGATTATTAAGTACAGGAAACCTAAATGGCTCACGCGATCAAAGAGATGTGGGACATTCACAGTGGACATCATTGATTGACTGTCCAGTGAAATATTCTCCGGATCTGACCATCTGTGGGCTGAACTCGATAGGTCAGCTGGCCAACACGTTTTATGAAGAACATTAGAAATTTCTTAAGGCAGAATAAATATATTCATTCTATCTATGCCAATGAGTACAGTGATGACAGCAAACTGTGGTTACACCAGGTACTGACCAGAACGAGCTTTCGTGGACGTTCGTGTCTTATGACATTAAAATCAGTGCACATGTAAATTCAACATAGTAAAATGGTTTCAAAGTTGGCCTATGCGCTTCCTTTTTTGAAATGTTCAGGTGTTACAAGTGGAAAACGTTTAAAAAAATATATTCGTTTTGGAACATAGTGGTGGGTATTTTTACTATCTCGGCCCAAACATTTCATGAAAAGTGATAAAATAATTGTTTTGCGTGGATTCTATTTGTACAAACTGAAAGGTTTGAATTGTGATTTTAAAGAATTGAACCGGATCATTTAAGAACATTAACAGATGACTGGTCACTTAACTGAAACATTCATCATTTCGTATGGGCGATCAAAGTCCGTACAGCGTTCATTTGAAGGGTCCAACGGATGTTAATTCAGATCCTCAATCAGAATCAGAGAGGTATCGTACAGAAGAGAAAAACTAGTTAAAGGAGGATATCACATCCATAGGAACCAATACCGACAGCACACTATGCCCGGGGCTTATGTTCCCCATGCACATAAACCCCAGGAGATGCCATTGAATACCAGATCATCTCTACTGCTGCATATTATGGTAATGGATAATCTTAAACCAGTTAATGACTGAACATAACATTGCCGTCCAGATAGATAGCCAATATTGCATCAGGTGGATGTAAAGAACGAAAAAGGTACATAATTTTAAAATTAAAATTGCAAAACAATAAGTATCCATCTGTCAGTTTTGCAGAATTACCAAGGGATTCATTATAAAAGAGAACTGATTCTTTCTGTCAGTAGTAAACTTTTTACTCCAATAAGAGCAAACTGGTGATAATTATGCGCACACAAAATGGCCAGTGTGGTATATAAGGGATAAACCGATGAAAAAAGATTTCAAGCTTCCAAAATCGAACCATTAAAAGGATAAAATGTCGAATATCGGATCAATTTCACTGAATAGTTGGGTTTAGTATTCCTTGTATGTATGATTTTGTTTAATAAGGTTCAAAGTTATCTTTTTAAAAATTCGCCGTCCTCATAGAAACTAAACGCATCAACCTGTTATCCTGCTAATACCGATTTCCTGTGATGCTAATGCACTTTCCCGGATGTCCTTATTGTGTAAACTTCCCGTGATAGTCTGTTAAGTAGATTCATACTTTTCTGACTTGAACTTAAAGCCCGTATGTAATACAACAGGGGCCTGAAAAGGATTGTAGCATATAAATGAAACACACAAATATTACGGAAGACATATTCCCCAAGACGTGAGACGGAAACAGTCGTAGCACACAAAAGATGTTTCCAGGTTTACAGATTGTCTTGACACTTCATGGTTATTTTCTGTCCTCCGAACCCCACGGTTTGGTGGTTGAATCGAGAAGTGAATGCATCTCCAAGTGTTTCTTCAACATGACTTGCCGTTCCTTGTTTTACCAGACCACCTCCAAGACGTGTTACCTGTCAGATGCAGTTTACACTGAGGGTGACCTCCAGGTTTCAGCTGACATGCAGTATCTGATATGGAAAAGAGGTACCAGTTTCATTTTATGTTTATATAGCATTGTTCTAAATAAGGTTTAGTGTTATCACGTCATTCCTGTTAAATATCAAACTCAGGCCATGGCAATGGCCTATGTCGTAGTTTACGATGCCACATAGAAGCGAATGAATGGTTCTGTAACGAATTTGTCAATGCCTCCGTTTTCAGTGATTTCAGGGATTTGATTCCGTTATAAGATGTTCACCATTATCATTTCAGTTTTGAGAGACTTTACCTAGTTAGGTATTATAGCATTCTTTCACGATAAACCTGTAAAGACAGGGTAATAATGTATGTTATGAAGTACGATGGCACATAAACTAGAATGAATGGTTCTGTAATGCTTTCGTCAATAAGTCAGTTATCAGGCTTATTGTGAGTGAATGCGTGAGTTGGGTTTGGAACCGACATGCAGTATCTAGTGCGGAAACAAGATGTCGTTTTCTTTTTCCTTTTGGAGGACTTTTAATGCCTTACATATAACAACTACATAACAATATTCTTGTAAATAATATTTTTATGTTGTTTGTCAACCTCTCCAATATCTGGATCAGGGACACTAGTACACGTAATTTAACATATGATTTAAGTACATTTTTCGAGTTCTTTCCGGAAGTTGTCATGGCTGGGTGAGAAAGATCGTTGACTTTGTGTGCTATCAATTGTGTGCCTGAATGAGAGTGTGTGATCGAATATAGGATATTACTCAACCTGAAACAAGTAAAGGAATCTGTACTGTACTGAAATGAGAAAGTGTAATCCCAAACATAACACACTCGACAGACAAGTGAAAGAATCAAGTCTTGTTTTCACACTTGTGTCCAGTGTAAGATTTGTTTTTGATTGAGACATTGACCTGGAAATTTACGTATGTGTTTAGATGGCTGCGACAATGGATACAGCTGGAATCCAAAACTAGATCTGTGCTATAATATTGACAGACACCAAATTAAATCATGGATGGATGCAGAGAAAACCTGTATTCAAACTGGTGGACATCTTCTTAAAGTTGACAACCTCGAAACAAATCTACTAATGAACTACCTTGCTGTAAAACGCAGTAAGTACATAAATATTTATATATATATATATAGTAGGACCACGAGTGTGTCAAAAGCATTCTGTAACCCACCTGAGGAAGATCCGGGTTAGAAATGATCTTCAGACACCTATACATGTCTAAAGTGTCGATTAACGGGATCGGGAGGTCAGTAGATTGATGATCAGTCAGTTATTTGGTCCCGACTCCTATGTATACAACCATCCACCATAAAGCTTGAATAATACATTCTGTAATCTGTTGCTACCAAACGTAAACTCCGGATTGATTACAGGTTTTTCTAAGTCCCCAGCAAACTTTGTTGCTGGTAAGAAGCGACTAAGTCGATTGGTTGGTCAGAATGGCCAGATTGGGTGATGGAAGTCATGGCACCTCAACGGCCTTGGTCGTTGCTTGCAGGTTCGACCCGTGCTTGTCGTTTGAGGTGAATAACGGAATCGGGTCGTCAGGCTCGCTGACTTCATTGACGGGCGTCATAGTACACCAGTTGAGTGGATCAATGATTAATGATGTCAATCACTGGATTGTGTGCTCCAAACTAAAAATATAACAAACCCTAGCCAAAAAGCTTCAATGTTGCGGATTGAAACAAACAAACAAACCAGTCGTAAAGTAAATAGAAGTGTGTGTTATGATCTGAAACAAGATACGATCAAGAGTGAGTGAGTGAGTGAGTTAAGATTTTAAGTCACATCGGCAATTTTTCAGCAATATCGTGACTAAATCAAGTTTTATAATGATTAAAAGTAAATTGTAAACACCTGCCTGCGAAGGACAGTTAAACAACTAGATTATCACAGATATAAATTTAAAACTAATTATTAAATCTAAAACTCTTTAATTAAAGAAGACAATACAAGATAAAACACGGCCTATAGATCGCCAACAACTGAAGGTAGGTCACCATACTAGGGACCATGAGATATGATCAAGAAAATATTTAGTTTGACTTCGTAGTTGTTTTACTGAATCTCCAATTTGAAAAACATTGCTAGGAATTAGGTTTTATCATCCAAAACTGTGTTCCACAGGAGATATCGCTTGTGTGAGATCAAACGATATCTCCTAGGAGATATCGTTTTGACAGTAGATTTTCTACAATGCCCTGACAATGCTATGACGTCATGTACTTGATGACGTCACAATGCTATGACATCGCTGCACTGCAAGTCTAATGGCAGTACCATGTTCAGAGATGTACATTTTTTCATTGAAAATTAATGAAGAGTGATTTTGAATGATAAGTAGAATCTCACCATCGTGTCTTCTGATATCAAATATATCAACACTCGTTGATAAAGTAAAAATATCCTCGGCAAGCCTCGGATATTTGTAACTTTTTCAACTCGTGTTGATATAATTGATATCAGAAGACACTTGGGTGAGATTCTCTATCTAGGATATGGATGAAACATGATTTGATTACATTTTATGAGAACAACTTCCATATTTATCTACAATTAGATTCCAAGGAAATCTGAAAATATATTACGTTCCTTGCCTTAATTTTACATATATTTATCGTCTTAATTTTTTAAGTGTAAAATGTTACAGATTGACTATGTGATTGAGGTCATTTATTGCTTCCCCATGCGGATGACGCCATCTTTGACTCATAACTGTGAAACGTCACGTAGAACTAATGTTTTGTATAGTTCAATGTTGATAGATATGAGGGGAAATCAAAACATTTGAAATGAAATTTCCATTCATTCATGTTAAAAACACAATTAAATCTGAAAATATACAACGTTCATTGTTTTAATTCCACATATATGTATCGCCTTAAATTTTCTTTTCCACTGGTAGAATGGAGAAAACGACATCTGGGGTGGTTTCCTGAAAAGAATACTAATGTTGTTTGCTATTATGTAATTTTAGCAGTATCCATCTGGCTTGGCGGTTCTGATATACAAGAAGAGGGAACGTGGTTGTGGGCAGACAACTCCTCAATTAAATCCTTCTGGTGGAATACAGAAGGAGGTGAACCTCAAGGACAAACAAACCAGAATTGCCTAGTACTCTTGTTAAATTCTGAGGATCCTGTGAACAGATGGCACGATCAGAGGTGTGACAAACGCCACCGTTATGCATGTCAGCTACCAGTGGAGCCAAGTCGCTGCTGAAGGTATACATGTTATAACAAATCTATAATGCGTGACACATGTATTGGTTTCGTGTGCATGTCAATAGCACTATAAACAATACATCGACTCCATCATTACTTACTACTTGTCAGCTAGTTATGCAGAAAATTGTTTTAATCTGATTATTCTCTATTGTTGGCGTTTTGAATTTACTCTTATCAATGAAGACAATAAAGATATCAAATTCTCCTCATACTGTCCTTCTATTCGCCTGAACTGTTTGTGTGCTTTAAATACCAGTCACAATCTGAGGTGTGTTTTTTTCATGTTTGTTCTTATGGTAAATCAGTAGTTTTGTAAATGTTAACTCCATTTTTAAGGGGTTTTTGTGTCATAAGAAATATTTACAATCACTAATACCCGTTAGCTAATTATGTAGTAAATTGTTCATTAATCTGACGATTCTCTAACGGTGATGTTTTGAAGAGTGGCCAGTCTGTGAAGATGATAAACATATTATATTCCATATGATGTTGTTTCATTGTTGAAATTATCACTGAAATTGTCCTTGTCAGATCTACACAATTAGTACAGACACGTTTAGTACACTTGGCAGGACTCTTATCTAACGTTTTCCTCATCATTACTTTCATCTGTGTAGTTTTAAACTGGCTGTAAATCGTTAAAGGGCAAGAAATTAGTGAGAGTGAGTTTAGTTTTACGCCACACTCAGCAATATTCCAGCTATATGGCAGCAGTCTGTAAATAATCGAGTCTGGAGCAGACAATCCAGGGATCAACATCACGAACATCGATCTATGCAATTGGGATACGATGACATGTGTCAACCCAGACAGCGAGCCTGACCACCCGATCCCGTTGTCTTACGACAAGCATGGGTTGCTGAAGATCAATTCTACCCCGAATCTTCACCGGTGGCAAGAAAGGAACTACATGTATCTGTATCTTAACGGCTTCCGAGATGTTCCGTATTGCCCAAATTATCAAAAACGAGAACTCAAACGACCAAACCAGGGACCCATTGAGTCGCTGGGCTCTCTTTCGCAAAGTGATATTTACGCTGATGTGATCGTAACGCCCTTTCTACAACATAGACTTAAGACTGTCTGAGAACTAGTGGACCTAGCATAGGTTGCTGGGGTCGGATTATCGGGCCCGTGAGCATCTTAGCACCAAGTAAACTTATTTCAAAATCGCTATTTTTCGCTATAAAATCTTTGAAATTATTTGAAGCTAGGTTGTAAAGAAAATGTTTTCCTTCATAACTGTTTGATACGAATAACAAAAGGACAAGCTGCAGATTTGTTAGTTCATCGGAGTAGGACCTTTCATAGTGTGACGGTCGCATTGTATGAACGTCGGAAGTTGCGACAGTGTTTAGGCCATCACTTTATGTAGGTTCGTACTCAAATAGGTTCTAAGTAGAATTAGATTCTTATACCATTGGATAACTCTATCTGGTACCTTGAAAGGATGTTCATGCATATGCAGCACACTTAGGCCTCTTATGAACAACCACGGCACGCTAGTGGCAATTCCTGTGCCTCGTAAAACATTCACTTCATGTACAGGAACTTAAAATGACCACCACGATCACCGAGATACGGGAGATTCTCAGTGAACAAGTTATGAGCTGTCAATCATCAACGAAAGATTTTGATGTGTCGAATAGGTGCGGAAGACATTCCAATATTGCTACTGAATGTTGCTGAAGCAGGATATACTGTCAAACACTCTTCCTTGTTCAACTTTAATAGAGCCCTTAGTAGGCTACAAGACCATAGATCCACAATGATGAAATCAGCGGTTATGTACACATTTGTGCTGGTTTTCACCTTAATCAGTATGTGGTCATTTCACAATCAGTATCTGGTCATATATTGTATACGGGTCAAACTGGTGATGGTCGATATCAAGCCTTACTCTAAACCTTAAAATGACAGCATGCCAAATTCTCAGTTTCATGAAAGAAACCGTTTCTTTATAAACAATTTAGGACTCCCTCTTTCTTCCGGAACATCGGATGTGCATACAGAAACGTAAACACGTCGACTTTTATACACTATACAGATTTCAAGTATCTAATCATTCTAGAGGCATTATGTATTAGTTATGTCTTACATTGCAATATTCCCCTAACCCAAACACCATAATGGTCACTTACAAAATCGTTATATCAACCCCGTGACATTTCGTGTCCATTAACCTTTTGGTGATGTGACTAAAACATGGAAATATTGACTTACCAAAGCCTTTCTGTAATATCACTGAATCTTTCGTGTTGTTTCTTTATTGCAAAATTTCCTGAGTAATATCATGAGAGACTAAGAAAATATTTGCTCAGACTTATATCCCCTGAGATGCTACGGAATACATACATCCAAAGGCGTGTCACGTGAACAGTTCCCACCCTAGAAAGGTTTACAGGTTTACAGATCGATCACACTGTGTCATTTCTCCAGGATAATGACTCCAATGTTTGTTGGTTGAATTGCGACGTGAATGCATCTCTAACTTTAAAGCACATGCCACTCCTTCACTTATGGGACCTCTTCCTGTCAGATGCAGCTTACATGAGGATGACCTCCAGGTTTCAGCCGATGTACAGCATCTAGCTGCCTTTCTATTTTCATATTTGATAAATTCCAATAAACTGAGAGAATAAAACCTTTCCATACTAACAACATCTTTTAAAGTTCCATTTACAGATATAAACAATATTTGAGGTGATCAGGAAAATGACAGCGGGCATTAGAACCATAACTATGCGATTTTCATAAAAGACATCGTCATGATTCGTAATGTCAATCTAAACGCATTTGTACAGTAACATGCATGACTTTTACGTTATTTTAACACCACTAAGGTCTTCGTATTGTTTAGGGTCCAAGAATGGGTTAACGAATTCTATTTGGGAAGTCAACCATGGATATCCTGTTTGACATTTAACATTTAACTGTGTGCATAACTGTGTGGCAATATCTGGAATAAACGCTGGAGTCAGACGCTGACGGACATCCAGAACTGTCTTCCCAAGGGCGTCTCATCCTGACTGATACCTCAATATCACCGTTAAGTAATGATCGCATTTCAGTCAGTCTTAATAATATAATTTATATTTTCATGTTTACGATCAAATAATGTTATCACTGGCCAATTCTCTGTTACTGTTCTTAGATTTAAATATTGTAAAGGCATTGAACATGTTGTTTTTATTTTAAGGGTGGCTTTATGGAGTTCATTGAAATACCATACATTGTCTGGTTCTTTGTCCCACAACAAACTATTCGTTTGAGCAAGACTGTTAACTATTGGTGCAGACTCATTTGCCTACATCCCAGTGACAATCACATCAATGTTACAAAATGTTAAAATCTTTAGATGGAAATAGACATATAAACTAGACAATTACACCTTACACACATACCTTTTCATTTTCTTTCCGGGTTTGCTTGAATGCATCAAGATATGAATACACAATGCACTTTAGAAAGTGATCATCTGTAACATGTGTTATATTTGGGATTGCATTTTCTGTAATCCCCAAAATAACATATGTTACGTTATCGAAATGCGAAAATATTAAATTTTCTACAATTATGTGTAAAGATTGTTTGACAGCTTCAGCAAAGTTGCTCCAATAACTAAGCCACTGCACCTAAATGTATGTTCCTCTTAAGCTTTTTAGGTCGTTTCTAATTGTTCAAGTGTATTTATCATTTCCATATACATGAGAAAAGATGTGGCAACACCTGATTTTTAACTCCGATATAGCCATTCATATTCATCCCATAAATCTGTTTGTATGGCTGTTTTGACCCATCGAGGGGACCATACACGTGCTACGATCAAAGGCGAGTACACGTCATAAAACAAATATCAAGTTTCATAAAACTGTTCTTTCAGCACAATCATATTTGATTTCGGTGTTGGTATGCATGCGACCTCCTCAACTGACAACTGCTCAAGTTATGATGTGTAGTTACTGGTATGCGGAATGCTGGCATGTCATGGACGGTCATTGTAATATGGTGATCGGATATGTTTTCTGCAGTGTGTGTGTGTGTGTGTGTGTGTGTTTTCTGCAGTGTGTGTGTGTGTGTGTGTGTGTGTGTGTGTGCGCGCTTTCAGGGTAAATGAGCATTCTCTGTGACTTTATTGAGCAGTGGGTGAGTGACATACATAAAACGACAGTGCGTGGTGATAGTTATTCTTCAGACATAATCCGAGGAACATAGTAAAAGTCAACGTGTTGACACTTGGGAGAGATTCTCAAGAAACAGGTCGCTATACGGCTGAATTGCTGCCGATGCGATGTTGAATATTAACTCACTCACTCAAAGAACAGGAGATTTGCTGCCAGTGAACAAAGAAAGATTTGGATGTGTCAAGTTGATGCGGAAGCCATTCCTGCATTTCTACTGAATAGTGTTGATGGTGAGCCTTCAGTCACACATTTTACTTGTTCAAATGAAAGCCTCAGTTCAACATTACAGTATTGTGATGAACAACCAACTGTCATGTCACCACATGTAGACACAGAGACCAATATCACATAGAGATTCACAGTTCCCTTGCAGTTCAGTGATAACCCATCGATAACTATTGAAAATATCACCTTTAAATGAGCAAGGAACAATCTCAGTGACATTGCATCATAATACATTTACAAGAAACCTAAATGGCTGAACAACGAGAAGGAATGATTGACCGTCTAATAAATAATCTCCGAATCTGAGTCCGACAGAGCGCCTGTGGGCTGAACTCGCTAGGTCAACGTCAATATACGCCACACTTGCACAACTGGGCAACGAGTTGCATGAAGGAAAGGACGAGCATTCCACAGGGCTGATTGCATAGGGTTATTCAGTCTATTCCGAGAAAGTGTAGAACTGTGATCACGGTACACTGTGGTCACACGAGGTACTGACTGAAACACCCCTTCATTGTCGTACGTCTCATGTGACAGGATAATCAACATGGCCATAATGTCTACAAAAAGTGTGACTATCCCCATTTTAAAATTCACCTTTGTAGCCATCACATTAAATATTCACATGTAATTCAACATAGGAAAATGTTTTCAAAGTTATCCTATGATTTCCTTTTTTTTAATGTACAAGTGGAGAAAACTTCTTAGACATATATTCGTTTTGCCACATACTGTTTAGGACGAAACATTGTAGTAAACTGACAGACATTCACCATTTGATATGGGCAATCAAAGTTTGTTTAACGTTCATCGGAGGGGTCCTATGGAGGTGTCCTCAGATCCTCAAGGGGTGGTGGAGTAGCCTAGTGGTTAAAGCGTTGGCTCGTCACGCCGAAAACCCGGGTTCGAATCCCCACATGGGTACAATGTGTGAAGCCCATTTCTGGTGTCCCCCGCCGTGATGCTGCTGGAATATTGCTAAAATCGGCGTAAAACCAAACTCAGTCAGTCAGTCAGTCAGATGCTCAATCAGAGAGATATCATTTAAGAGGGAGACGTACTAGCTTCATGAGAATATTGCTTATTACACACATGGAAATCAGTTCCTACAACACACCATGCCCGGGGCTTCTAGTCACTTGCCCATAAACCACAAAAAAAAGCCATTGCATACAAGACTACATTCATTGCAGCATATTTTGATAAAAATAGCTCTTCAGACTAGTTAATGACCAAACATAACATTGCCAGGCTAATGGTTTCCACGCGGACAGCCGATATTGCATCAAGTTAATGTAAAAAAAACTAAAAAGGTACACAAGTTTAAAACTGAAATTGCGAAGCAACAAATGCGAATATTTTGCCTCAACAAAGACTACCTGAAACGGTAACTCATCTAACATTTCTGCAGAATTACCACAGGATTCATTGAGAAAAACTCTTTCTATGAGTAGTTTACTGTGTTTGGTGGCGTTCCTGGAGCAAACAGGAGCAAAATGTTAAGAATTATGAGCACACACAATGCTGGGTTGCCCTCACGAAATAAAAGACGTTATTAACGTGAAAATTGGTCAATATGGGATATAAAGGATAGGACAAAATGCTTGAAAGATTTAAACAAGACAAACTAACGATTAATCTGACAGAATGTCAAATAATCGATCAATTTCACTGAAATGATGTTTTTGGAAAAAAAATTCGAATATGATTTGTTCTTAAAAGTTTCAAAGTTTTCTTCTGAAACCTTAGCCGTCCGTACCAAGAGTAGACAAATCAAATATCAGCCTGTTAATACCGACTTGTATAGGTCTTCTGAAACCTTAGCCGTCCGTACCAAGAGTAAACAAATCAAATATCAGCCTGTTAATACCGACTTATATAGGTCTTCCTGTGATAATAATGCACTCTTCCGGATGTCTCTTTAGTGTAAACTTCCCACGAAACTCGGTTAAGTAGATCCATACATTTTTGCAGTGTGAGAGCAACTTAAAACCCGTGAGTAATACAACGAGGGCCTGAGAAGAGAGTAGCATATAACTGAAACACACAAATAATATGAGTTACATATATCCCAAGACGTGAGACAGAAACACCCCACAGTACAAAAGATGTTTCCAGGTTTACAGATTGTCTTGACACTTCATGGTTATTTTCTGTCCTCCGAACCACACGGTTTGGTGGTTGTGTCACGATGTGAATGCATCTCCAAGTGTTTCTTCAACATGACTTGCCGTTCCTTGTTTTATCACACCCCCTCCAAGACGTGTTACCTGTCAGATGCAGTTTACACTGAGGATGACCTCCAGGTTTCAGCTGACATGCAGTATCTGATGTGGAAAAGAGGTACCGGTTTCACTTCTTCTTATGATGAATTTTCTAAATAAGGTTTTAGAGTTGTATCATGAAACTTTAAATGATCAAACTCAGGCCATGGCAATGGTTTATGTTGTAGTTTTATGATGCCACACAATGAATGGTTCTGTAACGAGTTTGTCAATGCCTCCGTTTTCAGTAAATAACTCTGGTTTAACACCACTTGGAACAGCATTCTAGTTACACCATATATCATGCCACTGTGGGAATTAATTCAGGTCTAAGATATTCACCATTTTCATTTGGGTTTTGAAAGCGGTTACCTGGATAGGTACAGCTTATATCACGATAACAACCTGCGCCAGGGTAACGATGAAACACAAAACGAACGAATGGTTCTGTAATGATTTCGTCAGTTATCAGGCTTATTGTGAGTGAATTAGTGAGTTAGGTTTGACACCCACATGCAGTATTTAGTGCTGAAAAAATATTTCATTTTCATGTCCCTTTTCAAAGACTTGTACATGCTATGTAATACATATTACAACTACATAACACTATTCCTGTAAATAAAGTTGCTGTATGGTTTGTCAACGTCTCCAATATCTGGATCGGGGTAACTAGTGCACATAATGTAGCATATGCTATATTTGGGATTCCGCTTTCTCATTCAAGTACAGATTCTTGTACTTTTGTTAGGTTTAGTCCATCCCGGAAGTCCAGTGAGTTCACTCCGAATGTTGAGTGGGTTAGATCACTGGCTTTACCGGCTGACGAGTTGGTACCTGACTCTGAAAGTGTGTGTTCGAATCCGTGATGTCACTCAACCTTAAACAAGTACAGGAATCTCTACTTCAATGAGAATGTGTAATCGCAAATATAACACATTTTACAGGCAAGTTAAACAAACAAGTCTTGAGTATGAAAAGAGTTTCTCTTTTCACACGTTCGCACCGTTTGAGTGTTCTAGGATTTGTTTAGGTTTGAGACACTGACCTGGCAATTTACGTATTTGTTCAGATGGCTGCGGCAATGGATACAGCTGGAATCCAAAACTCCATCTGTGCTATAATGTCCACACAGGTTCTCCCAAATCATGGACGGATGCAGAAAACGCATGTATTCAAGATGGCGGACATCTTCTTAAAGTTGACAACCTCGCAACAAATCTACTAATGAACTACTTTGCTGTAAAACACAGTAAGTACATATATATTTATGTATATAGCAGTACCACGGCTGTGTCAAAAACATTCTGTAACCAACCTGTGAAGATCCGGGTTAGAAATTATCTTCAGGCACCCATACGTGTCTAAAGCTTGAATAATACATTCTGTAATCTGTCGATACCAAACGTAAACTCTGGATCGATTACAGGTTAGACTTTGTCCCCAGCAAACTATGTTGCTGGTAAGAAGCGACTTAGTCGATAGGTTGGTCAGAATCGCCGATTTGTTTGATGGAATTCATGGCACCTCAACGAGCTTGGTCGTTGCTAGCATTTTCGACCCTTATTTGTCGTTTGAGGCAATTAACAGAAGGGAGTGGTCAGGCTCGATTGACGGCCGTCATTGTATAATACTTGACTTAATCAATGCTCAGGATGCCAATCACTAGATTGTGTGCTTCAAACTACAAACATTACAGTTTAAACAACAAACCAGTCGTTACGTGTGTGTTATATTCTGAAACAGGATATAATCAATAAAATATTTAGTTTTAATGCGTAATTTTTTTACTCAATTTCAAATTTGAGAAATTGTTAGGAATTAGGTTCAAAGATATTGAAAAAATATGATTCAATTAAATTTCATTAGTTCAACTTCCATATTTTTCTACATTCAGTTTCCATAGAAACACACTTCCAGTCACAGACTGAGATAACATTGAGGTCATTTATTGTCTCCCTATAACTGTGAAAGTTTGTGTAGAGCCAATGTTTTATATAGTACAATGATGATAAATATGCCTGGAAATCCAAAAATTAAAATTGAAATTTCCATTCATCGACTTCTAAAAACACCCGCAAATCTGAAAATATATAACGTTAATTGCCTTAATTCTACATTTATTTATCCTCTCAACTTTTAAGTGTGAGATGTTTTTCGCCATTATGTGATTCTAGGAGTATCCATGTGGCTTGGCGGTACTGATATACAAGTGGAGGGAACGTGGTTGTGGGCAGACAACTCTTCAATTCAATCCGTTTGGTGGAATACAGAAGGGCATCAACCTCGAGGACGCGTAGGTCATCACTGTCTTGCAATCCTCTACTATTCTGAGGATCCTGTGAACAAATGGCACGATGACACATGCACTAAAGACCACCGTTATGTATGTCAGCTACCAGTGGAACCAACTTGCTGCTGAAAGTATACATGTTATAACAAGTCTATAAAGCCTTGTACTCCTCTACCTTTCTGAGGATCCTGTGAAGAAATGGCACGATGAGAGGTGCAACAAACTCCATCGTTAGTGGAACCAAGTCTCTGCAGAAAGTATACATGTTACAACCAGTCTATAGTGTGTGGCATGCGTTTCGGTCTCGTGGCTGGCCGTATGGTGTGTCAGTAGTACTGTAAACAATACATCAACTCCATCATTACTTGCTTACTACGTCATCTGTTTCTGTGTAGCCTCTGGGAATAGATACTTTCATTTGGGGGAAATAGTGTGGATAGTGCGTGCAGTGGGCGGGGCAAGAAATACCATGCTTTTCGTTAGAGGAGACTAACGGAATCGGGTGGTCAGGCTCGCTGGCTTGGCTGACACGCGTCATCGTATCCCAATGACATAGATCGATGCTCATGATGTTGATCACTGGATCTTCTAGTCCAGACCCGATTATTTACAAACCGCCACCATATAGCTGTAATATTGCTGAGTGCTACGTAAAACTAAAGTCACTCACTCATGTTAAATAATACTGACAGGAAAAAGATACTTCCTTGTTTGGGCAAATTGTATGGGTGACGCGTGTTGTCGGCGGGGCGTGAAATTTTGGCCTTTCGTGAACACTTGGTGTCATCACTGAATTTCAGTGATCCTTTCGTGTACATTTCACAGCTATTTGTTCCCTTTGCACCAAACGGAATTTATTTATGGGAATGGTTGAGGCTGGACTCTTTTGCACTTTATGCACACATGTTAGTTAATTATGCAGGAAATTGTTTTAATCGTATTATTCCCTATCGTTGGCGTTTTGAATTTACTCTTATCAATGAAGACAATAAAGATATCAAATTCTGTATGGTGTTGTTATCCTCAATTTGTCCTTGTTCCAATTCGTTTGAACTCCTTGTGTGCTTGAAATACATGTTTCTTTCTCATGTTTGTTCTTATAAGAAATTAATGGTATTGTACAGAATATACTACTCACACTTTGCTAAGGATCACAAACTTTCACAATTTTACTTAAACATAGATTTATCATTTGAAAATGTATTCATTTAAAACTGGGTAAATAATGATATGGTAACCCCTCTTTAGGCAAATAGTTACTTTAATCTAACTTTATGCACCTTATTCATGAGTAACCATAAACATGGTTTTCATGGCACCAATCAATCATTTTGCTAATCATGAAACGAGTCATTGACAAGTACACAACACCTGTCAATAGCAGGTATGGAATCCACAGGATGAAATGACATACTGAAACCTAGGATCCATGCTTACAATAGGCTTAGATATTTAAACCAAATTTGACCCCACATCATAGTTTTCTGTTTAATCAATGATTTGATCCTTAGCAAAGTGCGAATAGTATATATTAACTCAATTTGTTTGGGTTTTCTTGTCATGAGAATTATTTTTGATATCCATTCACTTACACGTTATCTAATTATGTATGAAAGTGTTCGTAACCCTGACGATTCTCTGACGAGACTTTTTGGCAATCTGCGAAGATCTGTTTGTATTCCATATGATCTTGGTTCATTTTTGAAGGTATCATTAAAAGTATCCTTTTCATATTTACAGAACAGTGTTTATTCCAATGAGTGTGAACGGTTTGCGTGCATTAAACATCCATCACAGGAACCCTTAAGAATACATTTCATTTATTCTGCACCCTTGTTGGGAAAACGACTTGCTAGAAGAGTGTTTTGAGCGCTGAGATTTCAGTCACTTCAGTAGCCCCAATAGCACCTGCATCTGTGTAGATTCGTAAGTCCTCGTAAAATGGCAAACATTGAGCAACATGTATCGAACGGCTCTCGATATGTTGCATATTGGCCATATTGTCCAAAATGAGAACGGAGAGGCCCCATAAGTTAAGGAGTGGCATGTGGTATTAGTGTTAGAGATGTATTCACGACGCGACTCAATCAACAAGCCTTGTGGTCATTACCTTTGAGTGTCATCACAGTAATCGATCTGTAAACCTGTAAACTTGGCCTTGGTGAGGACTGGCTCACTTTTGGACGCATGTATTCCGTATTATCTCTGGGTATTTAAGTCTAAGCAAATATTTTCTGAGTCTCTCATTATATTACTTAGTCTCTAATGCATAAAAGCAAAAATAACAGGCTTCCGGGGATATTTGCAATAAAGAGACAAACCGAAATATGAATTGATATTACAGGAAGGCTCTGATAAGTCAATATTTCCATGTTTTTGTCACATCCCCAAAATGTTAATGGACACGAAATATGTAAATAGCATCGACTCGATATAACGATTTAATAAGTGACTATTATGTAATGTTTGGCTTGGAGAATCTCTGTGTTGCAATGTGAGACATAACTAATAGATTCATTAGCTACTTAAAATCCTAAGGTAATCTATCTCTATAATGCATAAAAGTCGATGTGTTTACGTTTCTGTATGCACTTCCGATGTCCCTGAAGAAAGAGGGAGTGCAAAAATATTTATAAAGAAATGGTTAAAAAAACTGGGTATTTGGCATGCTGTCATTTAAGGCATGACATCGACCATCATCGGTTTGACCCATACGATTAATGTGAAAACCAGTACGCATGTGTACATAACCGCTGATTTTTATCATTATGAATCTATTGTGTTTAACTAAGGGCTTTTACATTTGAAGAAGAAATAGTTCTTGACAGTACATTATGCTTCAATAACAGTCGGTAGCAATATTGGAATGTCTTCCGCGCCTGTTTGACACATCAAAATCTTCTTTGATGATTGATAGGAAGTAACTTGTTCATTGAGAATCTCCCCAATCTCGGTGATCGTGTTGACCATTTTAAGTTCCTGTACATGAAGTGAATGTTCTGCGAGACACTGGGTCTGTCACTGGCGTGCTGTGGTTGTTCATAAGAGGCTCTGCTCATTTGGAGATCTATATGTTGAAACCCAACTGCAAAGAGCGTAACTTTTAGGTATTATTGGGATGCACGCACGTTTTCAGAAACTATGTCACTGTATTGCCGTGTAAGCATGTGGTCACTCTCACACGGCCAAGTGTGCATGGACATCCTTTCAATGTACCAACTAAGGTTATTCAAAGGTATAAGAATCTAGTTTTATTTTGAACCTATTTGAGCATGAATCTTCATAAAGCAAGGGCCTAAACATTGTCGCGGCTTCCGACGTTCATACAATGCGACCCTCACACTATGAAGGTCCTACTCCGATGAACTAACATATTTACAGCCTGTCCTTTTGTTATTCGGATCAAATCCTTTTCAAGGGAAACAATTTCTTTATACCCTAGCTTCGAATAATGTCGAAAGATTTTAAAGCGAAAAACTAACGATTTTGATAGATTGAAGCAAAATCCTTTCCACATCCATAAGAAATATCTGCTTAAAGCACAGTCGGTTGTACAGTTGAGACTGTATCATGAGTGTGTGTTTGTTTCAGCAGAATTACAGTTGTACAATGTTGTTCGTAAACAATCGACTCTGGACCAGACAATCAAGTGATTGTCACCATGCGATACAATGACAGAGCATGTGTTTATGAATCACTAGGAAATAGTGATGATACCAGGTGTTCGCGAAAAGGTGAGCGTATCCTGCCCCACCGGTGGCACTCGTCATAAACTTATGTTAAGTCTAGTCATTTGTTCACCTGAAATAATTCGGAAACGTACGGTACAAGTCAAAATAGGGAATTGCAACTTCGGAGCAAGAGTGTTATGACGCTCTTTGAAATCTTGGTAAAAGTGAACATGCTCGATTGTACCTCACAGGTTGTGAAATGTAAACACCAGAGGCTGGAGCCTGTTGGAATATTGCTTGACAAGAATGCAAAGTTGACTATTGGGAAGTTGAAGTCATTCGTGTTTTGTCAATCTGAATCTTTATGCATAGATCCGGACAGGAAACAGTTGACTCGGTCTCTTTTGTCTCTTTAATTTCAAGTTCAGGTGGGTAATTCAGTGGAAGGCAATTGACTATATGATGGTTAACGATATAACTTTACTCAGTGCCAAGATACCCGTGGGGATTCCGTTAGAATTGGGTTCTAGCAACCTATGCTGGGTCCACTTGTACAAAGCGATCTTAGTTCTAAGACGATCACAAGTCTATGTTTTAGAAGTGTCGTTACGATCACCTCAAAGGATCCCTGGTTTGGTCGTTTGTTTTCTCTTTCTTGACAATTTGGGCAATTTGCAGCATCTCGAGAGCCATTAGATACAGATAGTTCGTTTCTTGCCCTTTAACGATTTTACGTATGTTCGAATCTATACAGATGCAGTTATTATTAGAGAAGAGGTTACATAAGAGTCCTGCCCAGTACACTAAACGTATCCGTGCCATACATTAACAGTTCAAACGAAAGGAAGGACAGTGTGGGGAGAATGTGATATCTTTATTGTCTTCATTGATAAAAGTAAATTGAAAACGCCAACAATAGAGAATAATCAGATAAAACAATTTCTGCATAATTAGCTAACATGTGTGGATAATACAGAAAGTCAGTGCAAAGGTGTCCGGTCCCAACTATCCCATACACAAATTCTGTTTACTGTAAAGGGGCAATAGCTGTGAAAATATACACGAATGGATGACTGAAAATCAGTGATGACACCAGGTGTTGGCCAAAAGCGTATGCATTTCCTGTCCCGCCCACTCCACACAATGTGCCCCACAAGGGAAGTATCTATTGCAAGACGCCTCACAGCAGTACTCCTGCCAAATGAATTCTTATGACGAAGTAATATGTATTGTAAAGGTTTTATCATGTTTCCCTTGTAACAGAGTCTAGGTCTGCGAAGTCTTCACAGTGTTATTCACATGCACAGATACCGATACACATGCCATCGTGTCATTTCTTTACAGGATCCTCAGAATGGTAAAGGAGTACAAGGCATTATAGACTTGTTAAAATATGTATACCTTTAGCAGCAAGTTGGATCCACTGGTAGCTGCATACAAAACGATGGAGTTTGGTACACATGTCATCGTGCAATTTCTTCACAGGATCCTCAAAATGGTACATAAGTACAATGTATTATAAACTTATTAAAACATTTATTCTTTCAGTGAGTGAGTGAGTGAGTGAGTATGGTTTTACGCCGCTTTTAGCAATATTCAAGCTATATCACGGCTGGGGACACCAGAAATGGTCTTCACACATTCCAACAGCGAACCCGGGTCTTCGGCGTGACGAGCCAACACTTTAACCACAAGGCTACCCCACCGCCCCGTATACTTTTAGCAGGGAGTTGGCTCCACTGGTAGCTGGCATACATAACGGTGGCCTTTCGTACAGTTATGATCGTGCCATTTGTTCACAGCATTGTCAGAAGAGTGGACAAGTGCAAGACAGTTCTGGTCTGTGCGTCTTTGAGGTTGCCCTCCTTCTGTATTCCACCAAACGGATTTAATTGAGGTGTTGTCTGCCCACACCCACGTTCCCTCTTCTTTTATATCAGTACCGCCAAGCCACATGGATACGCCTAGAATACATAATAGCAAAAAACATGTCACACTTAAAAGTTAAAATGATAAATGTATATAGAATTAAGGCAATGAACGTTATATATTTTCAGAATAATGTTTATTTTCAGAATGTTGTTTAACGCCACACTCAGTATATATTCCAGGTTTACGGTTGTGGGTTCTATATATAGTTTACTAAATGTCATGATCGGAATCAAATAGTCCACATTATTGACTTTTGACATACTGATCTACGCACTACTAACCACCCGATCCCTTTGAATCGTCTCTTCAGACAAGCATTGGTGGCTGAAGGCCAGATCTTCACGGGTGGGTTATGGAATGTTTTTGACACTGTAGTGATACTAATATAGACATAAATATGTACTTACCGTGTTTTACAGCAAAGTGGTTCATTAGTAGATTTGTTTCGAGGTTGTCAACTTTAAGAAGATGTCCGCCATCTTGAATACAAGTGTTTTCTGCATCCGTCCAGGATTTGGGTGAGCCTGTGTGGACATTATAGCACAGATGGAGTTTTGGATTCCAGCTGTATCCATTGCCGCAGCCATCTGAACACATACGTAAACTGCCAGGTCAATGTTTCAAACCAAAACATATCCTGGAACACTGAACACAAGTGTAAAGCAGAATTTCTGTTCACTTGCACATGTAACGTGTTATATTTGGGATTACACTTTCTCATTTAGGTACAGATTCTCTTATTTTTCTTAGGTTGAGTTCCATCCGGGATTCGAACTCACACTCGCAGAGTCAAGCACCAAATTGCTAGCACACAAAGTCGGCGATCTAACCCACAGTAATCTGTACTTTAATGAAAAATACGTAATCCGAATTGTATCATATGTTTCGTTGAATTTACGGGTGTCATGGGTCAAGAAATTGGAGGGGTTGACAAAAAACATAACAATATTTTTTCCAGGAATAGTATTAAGTAGTTGTAATATGTAATACATTGCACATAAATGTCCTTCAAAAGGGAAGTGAAATATCTTGTTTGAGCGCTAGACACTGTATGTTGGCGCTAAAACCTAACTGTCTCATTCACTCACAATAAGCCTGACACTGACTGATTGACGAAAGCATTAGAGAACCATTCACTCGAGTTAATGTGTCATGGTGCCTCATTACCCGGGCGCAGGTTTTCACAGGTTTATTGTGATGTAAGCTGTACTACCTAATTGAAATGATAATGGTGAACATCTAACGACGGATTCAATTCCCACAATGACATGGCCCATCGCGATAGAAAATGGATAACTGTTCAAAGTGGTGTTTAACCTAAGTGACTCACTGAAAACGTAGACATTGACAAATTCGTTACAGAACCATTCATTCGCTCTTGTGTGGCATCGTAAACTACGACATAGGCTATTGCCATGGCCTGAGTTGTATTATTAACAGGAATATAGTGATAAAACTGTAAAACCGTATTTAGTAAAATCTTTAGAAAATGAAATGGAACTGGTACCTCTTTTCCACACCAGATACTGCATGTCAGATGAAACCGGGAGGTCATCCTTAGTGTAAACTGCATCTGACAGGTAACACGTCTTGGAGGAGGTCCGATAAAACAAGGAACGGCAAGTCATGTTGAAGAAACACTTGGAGATGCATTCACATCGTGACACAACCACCAAACCGTGTGGTTCGGAGGACAGAAAATAACCATGAAGTGTCAACACAATCTGTAAACCTGGAAACATCTTTTGTACTGTGGGGTGTTTCTGTCTCACGTCTTGGGATATATGTAACTCATATTATTTGTGTGTTTCAGTTATATGCTACTCTCTTCTCAGGCCCTCGTTGTATTACTCACGGGTTTTAAGTTGCTCTCAAACTGCAAAAATGTATGGATCTACTTAACCGACTTTCGTGGGAAGTTTACACTAAAGAGACATCCGGAAGAGTGCACTATTATCACAGGAAGACCTATACAAGTCGGTATTAACAGGCTGATATTTGATTTGTTTACTCTTGGTACCGAAGGTTAAATTTTCTGGAGAAAACTTTGAAACTTTTAACAAATCATATTCAAAACAAAATTCCAAAAACATCTCTTCAGTGAAATTGATCGATTATTTGACATTCTGTCATATTTATCGTTAGTTTATCTAAGCTTTAAATCTTTCAAGCAATTTGTCCTTTATATCCCATATTGACCAATTTTAACGTTAACAACTTCTTTTATTTCTTGAGTGCGACCCAGCATTGTATGGGCTCATAATCATTAACATTTTGCTCCTGTAGACTTCCAGGAACGCCGCCAAACACAGGAAGACCTTTACAAATTGGTATTAACAGGCTGATGTGTTTCGTCCCGGTACGGACGGCGGAAGTTTCCAAAGAAACATTGAACCTTATCAAACAAAACCATGCATAGAAAGAATGCTAAAACCATATATGCAGTGAAATTGATCCAATATTTGACATTCTGTCATTTTAATGGTTAGAATATTGAAGCTTGAAATATTTTATTCATCGCTTTGTCTCTTTTTAACCACATGGCCCAGTGTTTTGTCTGCGTGGGAACCTTCAGCGTTTTCAATGAAGAGCTTCTTTTATCATGGTATATAGCAGTAAATGTAGCCTTGTATACCATATGACCCAGGCTTTTGTGTGCTCATAATTATCACCAATTTGCGTCTATTGACTTAAAACGGTCTACTGATCACAGATGCATTCTTTCATAATGAATCCTGTGGTACTTCTGCAGAACTGACAGATGCGTGGCCGCTTGAAATCGACTTTGTTGTGGTAACATATACATACTTTTTGTTTCCCAATTTCATTTTTTCAAAATATTGTACCCTTTTTATCTAACTTGATGCAATATTGGCTGTCTGCATGGGAACCTTCTTCGTTCTCAATGTTATGTTCGTCAATAACTGGTCTGAATAGCTTCTTTCATCATGATGTGCAGCAGTAAATGTAGTCAAATGTATACATGGTTAGTTAGTTATTTACTTTATTTAGCGTCGCACGCACAGCTAAGGTATTTCGGCGACCTCGTAGTACACTTATTAAGAAATGAGGGGGAACAAAAATAGAAATTTTGAAAGAATGGTGTTACTACCTAAAAAATGATAGCAACGGAGTATTAGGTATGTGTATGTGCGGCTGCTTGTACTAGCCCAGAAATTTTTAATGGAAAACATGAATTACTCAATTAAAAAAGTAAGGCAGGGACCAACAAGTACCATATTTATATGAAATAACGTAAAGAGTAATAGAGGTCGAAATTTGGAATTGAAATACGTAAAGATAATAGAGATGGTAGATATAATAAATGGTTACTGTTACTGTTATTGTTTGAGGACAGAAACTTGTTAGTATGTTTAAATACATATTTATTAAGTGAATAATGATGAGCATATAAAAGGTTAAAAAATGAAGTTAAAAAGAGAAAGATGATTTGAAAAGTTAAAAGAACATATAAACATATTTTTAACAATTTTTAAAATGATAAAGAGTGGAATTATTGCATTATTGTTTGTGTTGCTGGATGGTTTGGTATAGTTTTGTATGAATGAGATATTTAATGAGTGGTTTAGTTAATTTGGGGTTTGTTAGAATGTGCTTGAGATCAGAAGAGTTAGCATTATTGAGGTACTGTTTTAAAGCATTGGTCATGGGGTTCTTGTATACATGGGCATCTTCTGCTGTTTATCACTGGTAGGGAACTTGGTTACAGTGAGAGTGGAGTCTTTGTGATTTTGCACAGAGTCTTTGCATTATGACGGAAACTTTTAGCAATATTCCAGTATCACAGAGGGCTCTTTGCATGTGATGATTCGACAGTGAGCCAATTTAACCACTGAGCTGAGCCCCTTTGCATTGACAAGTATTTGCATTGAGTTTTGACAAGACTATTTTTAATTATAGTTTTTGTGGGTTTTTTACACATAGATACAACATTCACTCACACATTACTATAAATAGAGAATACAAAACGATGTCCCGTGCACACCACACCTATGAAACGAGTGAACGCTCCGGTATCCAGCGAGCGAAAGCGAGTTAAATACCATTACCATTCACAAATATGGCACTACACCGGACACAGCCCAGTATTTTATTTATTACTCACCCAAACTTAGCAAAATAATATGGAGCAAAGCACTTCTTTCCTAAGAATTCAACGAGTGTGATGACTCTCAGCTTTCCGCGAGTCAGTAGTTTTGTGGGTGTCTTTGGGTAGCTGCTTGAGGGTTGAGTCAAGGGTGATGTCTGTGGTGGGTGGGGGGTTGTCGTGAATGTAGCTTGTAATGGGAGGTGTGTGTTGTATGGTGTTTAGCTGTTGTGCATGTAGCAGACTGTATAGGTGTTCGAGGCATGGAGCTTTAGTTGGGTTAGATTTGAACTTTTTAAGTGTTGATTTCTTAATGTTGTTGTATTTGTTTGTGATTAGCTTGAAGACAGGGTTGTGTTGAGCCCCAGCCCAGTAAGTGAGTGTGGTTTGGTTTATTCTTTGTGTGATTGAAGAGGTGCCTGTGAGTAGAAGTAATGTATTAAGGGAGGTACCACTCCTCGTGCCAAGGGCTAATTTGAGGGATTTAAACTACACAAAATTGAGTTTTTGTAAATTACAAGGGTAGAGGTTGTGGAGGACCGGAGCGGCGTAGTCCAGCCTCGACAGTATAAGAGTTGTGTATATGTTGATAAGTGTATGTTTGTCGGCACCCCAGTTTGTGCCACTGATGGCTCGCATTAAGTTTAAATCTGTTTGACATGAATCGACCAAGTTATGAATGTGGGGTGTTCATGTCATATGGTGGTCGAAGGTTACTCCTAGGAATTTGGCTTCTTTTTTTAACTCAATTTCTTGGTTATTTAGGTGTAGTTTGGGGGTATAATTTTGCATATACTGTGTTTTGAATAATATGCCCACGGTTTTTTTTACATTGATGTGGAACCCCCATTTTTGGGCCCAGTTTTGGATGAAATTTAGCATTCTTTGAATTTTAGTGGATGCCTGTTTAACTGAGGTGGAAGAAGTGCAAAATGAAATATCATCTGCAAATTTGGCAGTTGTGATATCAGGCCATTTATCTGGGAATATGTCATTAATCATGAAGTTGAATAGAGTTGGGGATAATATGCTCCCTTGGGGGGTTCCATTTTCTAGAGGATAAGGATCCGAAATGGTGTTGTGAGATTTGATTGTTATTTGTCTGTCGTTTAAGAAAGAGTGGATGAAATTTAGAATTCGACCGTGAATGGCATGTTTTTGAAGTTTTTGTAGTAGGCCGTTGTGCCAAACCATGTCGAAAGCCTTACTGAAATCGATGAAAATGGCCATAGTGTATTGTTTCTGTGCTTCTTTGATATCTTGTTCCAAATGTTAAATGTGGTCTAAAGTTTGGTTTGGAGTAAATCCGCTCTGGTCCTCTTTAATTAGGTTGTTGGTTTGAATGAGGTGTTTCAGCCTGTTATTTATAATAGTTTCGAGAGTTTTACAGAGGTGTGAGGTGAGAGATATGGGTCGGTATGAGTCAGGCTCGTTATTGGGTTTCCCTGGCTTGAGGATTGGTACCACCCTAGCTGTTTTCCATGTGGTTGGTATAGTTCCTGACGTCCAGATATGGTTGAAGAGGGTAAGTGTGAGGTTTTGCATTTTGGGAGTGAGTTTGTTGAGTATGGTGTATGTAATGGTATCTGGACCAGGGGCTGAGGCTGTTTGTAGTTCATGGATGTTGATGATTTTGTTTATTGGTAGATCAGTGTGTGGGGGGTGTGGGGAGTAGGGTGGTGTTTTTTATGGTGTTTTGGAAGGATGGTGGGTAGTTGGTGGAGCTGCTTGTTGGCGAGAAGTGGACAGCAAATGCATTAGCTTTGTGTTTGTTTGTGTCTAGGTCCGGAAAGTTGAGATGGTGAGATGGGGTTTTTTAAATGCCCTTTATGGCTTTAAATGTATTCCACATGTTCCTAGTATTACATTGAGATTGAATAAGGGTAGAACAGAATTTTCTCCAAGGGTTGATTTTTGCTGCCTTGATAATCTTTTTAGTTTTATTCCGTAGTTGTTTAGCCAAATATAATTTTGAACGGTCCCTCTTTGATTGGTTAAGGGCCTTCTTTCTAGCCTTTCTGGCATTGATTATTTCTGAGCTCCTCCATGGGACTGTTTTTTGTGCAGGGTTGAACCGAATAGTTGGAATGTATTTATCTGTGATGTCTAGAATGGTGTTTGTAAGGTTTCTGTTGAATGTGTCAATGTATGGGCTGTACATGGTTGAGGTGTCTACTTGTTTGCATGCCAGTCTGCTTTTTTAATATTGTATCTGGTTTCTGTGGGTGTGGAACGGGAGGGGGGTGGAGTGTGGGTTGGCATGTGTGAGGTGATGGTGATTTTGATGGGGCAGTGGTCGCTGCCCCAGGTGTCGCTGTGGACCTCCCAGTTACAGGCTTGAGTAAATTTGGGTGTGGTGAGTGTAATGTCGATGGCTGTGAGTGAGTGAAGGTGGGAGAGTGGGTAACGAGTGGGTTGACTGTCGTTAATGGAAGTTAGGTTGTGTTTGTCTAGCCAGTCGGCAAGGCGGGATCCGTCGATATCGGTGAAAGGTCTTGCACCCCACAGTGAGTGGTGTGCATTGAAGTCTCCGAGTATAATGGTATCGGAGCCTATGAATTTAGAAATTATGTCCAAGTCTTCGTTAGTGATTTTGATACTAGGTTTTCTGTAAACGTTAATAATGGTGATTTCTTTGTTATGACTTTGGTTTTAATAGCCAGGACTTCTAAATTTTGTACGGGAATTTGCAAAATGTGATAATTGAGCTTCTCTGCAATGAAGATGCCCACGCCTCCACTAGGGGGGCCGGGATGATTAAGTGTCCGAGGTCTAAATCGTCTTCGCACACCTCTGTGAAGGTTGTATGTATCCTGATTCTGCAGCCACTGTCTTGTCC